TTACTCACAATTTTACAGACAAACATATTTATATTATAACACACCTGCGAAGAAGCATCTCCATTTTCATAGTGTAAAAACCTGAATAATGACAAATAAAGGCCGTTCTATTCAATTCAATTGTATTCTATTGTATTTACAGAAAAATGGACTCATAGATAAACATTTCATCATGCTGGAGAGCTTTATGACCCATAATGCAGTCAGTTAACAAAAGGAGTAACACATATTTTGACTTCACTTTTCTGCAGCTGTCATGTCATGTTGCTTATGTTTCACAGGCTTCAGGGTAAATTGAAGGAAATGTGATTAAATAACAGGAATGAATGCTGTGCCAATGAAAAGCAGAAGCAGGACTTATTATCAATATTTTTAGCTGTCCTGCGAAAGTATATTTTTGCTGCAACACCAAAGGACAGGGGTACAAAAAATAGAAATCTGAAAAAAAAAAACAACTTTGGGCAACACATCCAAAAGATGGTGAGTCTTTAATGGGTTTTTTATCCAGCCCTTGACAACTGGCTATCCAACAACTCTCACCTCTGAGTTTGAGGCAGAGGTGCAGAGAAGCATTTAATAGAGCCATAACTAACCCAACGACTCCCGAGGGAAGTAGCTCAAACTGACGTGATGTGTCTCTGGGGTCTCTGAGATCTGACTGCACAGGGCTGTTGTTCTCCCTTGCCTGCCTGCCTGGCCTGTTGGGCCCCATACCACAGCTTTCCAGAAAGACCCCCAAGCGATGCTGCATTGAGCCAGGCCGAGCAGCAAGCTGAAATTAAAGCTGTTTCACTGCGGTTAGTTAAATAGTTGGACAGTGAGAGCATGGGGTGGCCCAGAGTCAAGGCTAAGGCTGTCTGGGCTAGTGAGTGGAAATCTCAACAACAAAAAAAAGGAGGGCTAAGGGTTGGGGAGGGGAGAGGGGAACATGCAAAATAAAGGATTAGAGGAAACTCTCAAAGTGACCTGGTTAGAAGGGTTTCTGGGATTTTGGTCAGGGAAGGCTGGGAAATGGATGAGGGTGTGTTCTGTGGTCTGCAAATCTATTAAGTGTACTGTCACTGCTTCTTTGCTGCTTGTACAGCAGCGCACAAGGAAGGAATGCATTACATAAGATAGAAAGAGACTCACTCAACGGGACATACTCAGAGTAAGAGTTAACATTTAAAGAAGTCATGTAGGAGTGACACAGAGGCTGGATGGTATACGGTTATGTTTAAATAATGAAATGCATTCTTAAAGGTGTTAATGCTTTATTTCATATCAGCTGCATCAGCCAACATATGCAATAGTACTTAACATTTCCCCTTCTTGCTTTACAACTAATTAAGAGAATGGAAATGCTGATCATGTGGTTGTCTGAGGGTTTGATGGCTGGGCTTCTGCAACAGACTTGGAAGTGTTTATTGAATTATATAACTGTTCGGCATAAATCTGGGCTAAGGAGCAAGGGGTGGATCTACTAGGTCCCTCTACCCCCCATGACTCGCGGGGTTTGACCACAAGTCCAACCCACATTCTTCTGCCTCTGCTCATTGCATTTTGAGGAAATCTTTGCACTTCCTTCAGTCAGGCAGGCTATGAAATGAAACCACATCAAACTTGTCAGCAGTAAGTTTTCTGACAGATGATTTCATTGCTGCCTCTCATCCCAAGCACAAACTGGAAGATGTATGCATGATTGTGATCGCAACTTTGCCTTCGCTATTATTTTCTATTTTTATGCATGTTGGATGCCATACAAGAGGAACATTTTCCTAATGTTTCCAGGCTACAGCGATTTGGCCACACATAATGGCTGGAATAGAGGCGAGCAAATTCCTAAGCCAAGTTCCTTTAAATCCACAGGGGTTCACGCAATGTATGGATCAGTCTTCCAAGACGAACAGGAGCCAAGACATCTGTGTGACTAGCAGGGACTGATCCCCTCTACCAGAAGACTGGGAATAGGAAACCCAGGATTATCTGGTCACATTGCATATCACGGGCATATATTCTCTGCATAATGGTACAAACCCTGCCTCTCCGCTACTAGCAAAGTGGTCGGTGTCAAATTCATAATGCAATTTGAATAAAACATCCTAATTAGCATGTACAATTGGACGTGAGCACATACTTGTGAGGTGGAACTCTGAGTGGACAGGCATTCATAACCATGTCTGAAACTGTGTGGCACTCAGTGAGAATGCGTCTTTCTCTGCTCTAATCTGCTCTGTATTGAAGTTTTTCATTATCCACTATCCACTGTGTTCCTGTTCAGTGGGGTCTCTGTGTCCATTTAAGAGCCCCACTAGCCTGAGGGTAAAAGGATGGTAATGGGCATGACGGAGGAGCTAGGCTTAACTATTTCACAGCATAATGTTTTACTCCCACAATAATGCAGTAAAAGTAGAAGATTATTTCATCACACTGTGATTATGATATCAAATATTCTGGTTGTCATTTTTTAGTTAGGAAGCCAAAGCTTTTTTAAGGAATGGATGAGTGCATGAGTGGAGGCTTGAAACTATTGATCATATTCTCACAATATGTAACGATTGTAGGTGAGTAGCTTAGCACAGATTGTTACAGGCAGGCCCTCTCCATCTTCTCTAACCTCTCAGGGATGAGGCTTTTTCCTATATTTGTCTTTTGATTTCCCCCTTCTCTCCTTTCCTTTCCTGCCTCAACTTTGCAATATCCCTGCCTGAGTCTTGCACTTTCCCTAAGCAGGAATTGAACTGAGGACCATTTCATATTCATTGCACTATAGGCCTGCGTGACTCTACATATTTTTCCAGGTCTTTTGACCATTTTGTTTTTGTTGTTCAAATGGACAGTGCAGTGCTGCAGTGTGAGGCAATCTTTGCAGTTTTATCTCACATAGAAAGTTCCTTCCACAGCCTGGATTTGAACCCAGAACCCTCAGACAGCGAGGTAGCAGTCTTAACAACCACACCAATGATCAGCCAGTAAAGGTTCACTTCTACAAGGTTTCTCTACTTTCCTGTTCATTTTGTTCATTTAAAAGATGTTTTTCCAAACTCCAAATGGATAAGCCCAAACCTGGATTTAAACCCAAGATGCTTTTATTGCAAGACAGAAGCCTCAGCCTCTATCCCACTGATTTGCAATGTTCAGGTCAGGTTTTTTCCTGGTCAATTAAAAGCAGTTCCACCTCCAAACATCAAGGCCTGAGCTGGGATTTGAAACCAAAACTCTCAGACTGTTGGGCACTACTACACCACAGGCCTGCCAGTCTGTGTCTATCCTTTCAAGATCATATTTAACAATCTCATTAAAATTGTTCGAAAGCTAGATTAGGACCAAAGAATAGGGAAAGCACTTAATCTGTGTTGTTGTAGAATTTCTCTGTTTTAGGATTTGAACCCAGGACCATTTTACCCACAGTCAGAAGCTCCAACCCTTCTGCCACAGGGTCTGTCTGGCTTTGGTCACCTTTTTTGGTCTTTTTGTCAACAACTTCCGAAGAAATTTTTTAAGGCTGGGATCAAATTTACACAAATATCCTTCACAAAAGAGGATTTAAACCAAAAACTACTGTAACTTCAGTATGGGCGGCTCTAACCATCATACAGCAGGTCTGTCTTGCTGTATTCATCCTTTTAGCTCATCACATTTTACTTTTTTTGACACAGCTTCGACTGCAGAGTCGGAAAAGATTATAACTTGATGTCATATGAAAAGTCCAAAAGCTCATCTAAGACTGTAGAGAGAGAAAGCCCTTTGCCCCTGCTTGGATTCAAACCCAGAACCCTCTCACCATGAAGGAGCAGCCTTAACCACTTCACTACTATGCCACAAGACAGTTATTTTTTTCACGTGTTATATGTCATCCACCGCAAGTTAAAACTGCAGGATTGTAATCATATTTCAATGTAAAATATGATTTAAGTAAGTAGGGGTGGGTTAGAAATGCTATTTTTTAGTGTTTAAAATCTAATTTCACAAATGTAATAATCCAGTGAATGTGCAAGACACTTTGCTGAATAATAACATGCATTCAACGGTTATGTCATGAGAAAAAGCACCCATTTCATGGAATAGCCCAGGAGCATTCCGGCTGATTTCTCGAGGAAGATGGCCACCGTATGATTACTATGACTGACATGAAGCACTTTCCATTTGATTTATAGCTTTGCTGAGGTTTGTCAGTGGACATTGTGGCTCCATTTGACCTCTTTGCATGTCAAATACATTGTAAAATGCACACATATATGACAAGAGTCTGTTTGTACATGCAGAAGCGTACAGGAATGGAAGCTTGAGCTCTCTCATATGTGACCTCCTGTGTCCTAGAATGCTGCCTCCACCCAACCACACCCCCTGCTGCACGCACACAAACACACACAAACACACACACTCACACACACGTATTCCACCCTAGACAGGCCAGGTTGCCAGAGCTACACAAACTCCCACCCATTAGCGGCAGGATTCCAGGATAACCATGGCAACCAGTCTCTCACCCCCGGGGAGACGAGCAGTAGAACTGAAAGGCTCCATTCAATTTCCACATCCCAGTACAGCACACACAAAAGGACACACATGCACACTTTCTTGCAGACTAACACACACTCAGTGACGAGCAAACACTCATAGATCCACACACACACGCACGCATGGGCGCGCGCACACACACACGCACAGACATGGACACGTCCAACGCAACCCACTTGCTCTAACAGCCTCGCAGTCACTCCAGCCTTCCCTTTCTGCCTCCACTGGGGTGAGTGGGAGCTTGTTAGAGAGACCGCACACTACATCCTCTCACCCACGGTCCTCGCTGCACATACACAATGCTCCAGTGAAACATTAATTACACCTCACTCATTGTGATTAGACACACTTTTAGAGGGAGATGACGGACTCTTTTATTTCCTGCACAAAGATAATGTTTCTCTCTTTACACAGGAATGAAGCACAGCTCTGTACTGGGTCATATCACCTGCATCCCCAGTGACTGTGGCATGTGTGTTCTTGTCTTATATCACATGCCAGAAAGCGCAGAGAGGTGAGATTGGCTTCGCATGGAGCAATTTTCTTTGGGATCTCTGCAATTATGCATCTGAAACCAAGGTAAAAGAAATATTTGTATATGTTAAAAGAGCGGCATGTGGTTGCAGGATCAATTCAGAGACTAATAAGGAGGTAGTTACGATCACAGGAAAATCCAACATCCAACTTGACTGAGCACAGCATGCTCCCAGTCTTCTCCGTCTCAAACAGCAGAATGTACTCGCAGGGTTTAACCAAGAGGAGAGAGAAAAGGTTAATGACGCTCAGTGGGAAATCAAAGATCACAGATAGTTTCACAGGAAATGGAATAGAGAGGTACAGGGGTGGAGAAGGATGGTGAATATGAGAGGGAACAGATGATGACATCCTGAGAGAAAAATACAGCAAGAGAGAGACAGTCCTAGAAATAAAGATGACAGACAAACAGAGCTCTGAAATGCAGGGTGTTGATTATCTCCTGTTCACATTAGAGCCCACACAGACCATTAGATGCGAGCCCAGCTTGAATCAATTTAAAGATGGTCTATTCAGGAAAATCTTGAGTGGCATGCACAGAGCACTCAGCCTCTTACAACACAAAACATCTCAGCGGCAAATAGAAGTGAGGATGTGCGAGGGTGTCTTGTTGGGATGCATGGACAGGTGCGAAAAAAGGCAGAATTTAGGTCAGCAAGTATTATGAAGGGTGTGGTGTTGTTTTGGACAATGTTAGAGAGGGAAAGGAGGGAAAGAGAGATATCTGGAACAAGGGAGGGTTGGAGGAGGAGTGGAGCGAGGCTGGCACTAATGACGGGTGTGCCCAGGGCCACACAAGTACAGCTGTCTCCCCTCCCAACTTCAGCAATGTCAGATCGGCATAATAAAAGCCAGTGTGTTAGTATGTGCTCGCAGGGAACAGCTGGGTGGCTTGGCCAAAAAGGAGAGAAAAAAAAGGGAAACGAGGAAGAGGAGAATTGTGCATCGCTGAATCCTATCAGCTCTGCCTTCAGCTGGAAGAGTTTCTTGAACCAATACAAGAGATGCTTAAGGAGAGGATCGTTTTGAAAGCAGCTAAAAGAACAATATCTTCGACTCAATTAGCTCATTGGCCTGGAGTGAGGGGAAAGGTGGGACTGACTACCTGTGGCCCTAGAGGGGAGGTGGTCTGTCATAGACTGTCACAGTAAAACTAAAACTTTTTGATGAAATAAAAAGATACTCAAAATTTTATGAGGAGAATGAGTTCATAAGTTTATGGATAAACGGCGCCCCTCTTGTATACATGGGTATCTACTGCACTCCAAAGATATTCACGCAGTAAGACAGTACTGTTTAAGTGTTATTACCCACTGTTGCTGCAAGATGGAGTGTGCTGCTTGTGAATCTTTCTGCAGGACATAAACAGTATCGCTACACACTGTGCTGTAATATGAAGCCATGCTATCAACATGCTCTTCTGCTTTTGTGAATATTTGCAATATTGAACCCAAATTCTTTTAGAGATGTACCCCTACCAAATGGTGGGGAATGGATGGGGATCAATTTTCTCCTCTATGTTTACACTTCTACCAGACTGAAACTCGGCTTAATGCTCTGCACATGCATGAGAGTTTGCACACTGGGCTTCATCTCAAAAGTTGAACAGCATAAAGGAGTTGCTGGGAAACACTAAACCAAACATAGACCGATAAAGAAGGGACATGGAAGGAAAAACTGTCTAAGGAACAGAGCTTTTAAAATGAAAATGTTTTCATCTTACAACATAAATCAAGTAAGCCACTAGTTAATGTGCTTAGTTAATTGTATTCGAACGTAACAGGTAGTGATGAAAGACAACATGTCGCAGGGCTCTCAAGTCTCACGCATTCAGCGTGAGACACACGCATTCCCACCTGTTCACACGCTCACACGCCGCACATTGTATTTCTCACGCATTTAAATGAACATGGTGATGTCCACCAAGTTGCACCTCTTCAACTATGGAACAGGGGGAAATCAACGGAGTTTCTCCGAGAGTTCAGAAGCTGCGTGCCACGCGCAAGCCAATCAAATAAAGTATATCTACTGAACAGCCAATCAAAAAGCAGCATTGCTGTATCCGGGTAGATTTTGATATCTTGCGGTTTGACTACAGAAGAAGACAGACACTTGCTGAAATAGAGCAGGTTTTTATAAGGACGAGATAGACCCGATGATTACAGTAAGTCAGTAACCTACACATGCAGAGACCTCAACACCTCATGGCAGATAAACTCATATGATAAACTAAAGCCCTATGCTATTGCTATTAACAGCTGCATTGATGAATTTAGCCTCTGTACAGCCATTTCCCCTCCACAAAAGCAGCATTTCTCATATATTCTTTTTAAAGTTCTGATACTCGTGACAGTGTAATGCTGATATACCAAAGGATTAAGTATCTCCATGTCTGTGAAACCTGTACTAAAGTACAATTCATCTAAATGCTCCTCAGTGCTGATTTTAACAACTCTCCTCCACAACAGGTAACTTGACTACTTTATTCTTAAAGTCATTAATGACTTTATTCTCCTAAATAATAACTTTAATCTCAAAGATTTAAAAATGTTTTTTTCTTTCTTAATGTGGCCCTCATACTCCATTGTATTTATTAGATTATTATACTAATAATTATCTTCAATCACTGTCCAACCCCCCCCCCCCCCCAAGGAAATCTCACTCTAAGCTTAGTTCAAAACTTGAGAGCCCTGATGTCGCCACTTGCGGGCGGGCATGCGTCTGTCAGCTGCGTTTACATGGGGGCAAGTAATCGGAATAAATGCGCGATCGGGATAAAAAAAGCGTCATGTAAACATGTCGATCGGAAGATTCTGATCCAATTCGTCTCATTCGGAAAGAAATTGTATTCCGAGCAAGAGGGGTCGTTTATGCCGATCGTTATTGCGAAACGTGTCCATGTAAACACTTATTCTGATCATGACTCTCTTACCTCACTCTGTCTTCACTCCTCAGCCTTTGGTTTATTTGTTGAGGCCAGTTCAGGAGCTTTCATTATCAACACTCTGGCATAAAACACAACCGCAGGCGCCATGTCTGCTCTTCCAGTAACATTTTTTTCTAATTTTTTATTTTTTTCCTCTTCCGGTAAGATAACAAGGCGTACATACAGCGTAATGATGTCACATCTGCACGCACAGTGCAACCTTTGACAGGACAGTAAAATAAGTGAGCAAGGGCGCCATCTAGTGACAATATTTAACAGGAGGGGAAAATTCATGAATTACATGGAGTGAGCCACTACCGCTTTGTTAGTTTGTTGACGGCACAGGCATATGTACAACTTGCTATGCAGTTGTTCTGGTGAAATTAGACAACTCTGCGCATGTCCAAATGCTTCTAATCTGAATTAAATTTGGTGCATGTATATGCACGTCATGATCGGATTATTGATTTTGCGCCCATATAAACACTGGATTCATATTATCCGATCCCTCAAATTTTTAATCGGATCAAGAAACTTTGCACATGTGAATGTGGCTAATGATTGATTCTTGCCCAGTGCTCATACACTGGGACAAGGAGCTATAACCATATCTTGACTTCACTGTGCATGTTACCGTACTGTCTGGAAGTTTGGCAGCTCTTTATTTGGCTGCCTTGGACTGATGATACTGTAATACCGCCACCCCTGAAATGAACTGTCCTTAGGAAGCAATGTACTTCTCACAAGACAGCACATCAGCTCAATGAGTTACTTATCGTGCTTTAGTGTCATGAGGTCTTGTGGCACAAGATCTCATCACACCTTTGTTTAACTCAGCAATGCAATGCTACAATTGTAAGTTTCTAAGGGAACATTAATAAGATAAGATATGATGAGATAAAATGAGACGAACTTTGTTAATCCCGAGGGGAAAATTTGATGGAGACTAGTTCAGAACCAGCGAACAACTCTCCACAGCAGTGCAGTTTGTAGGTGCAGTAAATGACTATTTGTACTTTTATGTTACACCTTAGTTGATGTTTGACACTTCCACCTCTGGCAGTCTTCACTTGGCCATATCAATCTGCTTTTATCGAGTTTCCTGAGGTTGACGTCAGTTGTGTCCAGAGTGCATTGAGTCACTCTTGTCACCACCTCGTCTTTGTGTTGGTGCCCTTAGTGGCCTTGTATAAAGAGCCCTTATTACATGATGTCAGATGTACTTCTTCAACTTTACCTCACACCCAGAGTCCCTTATTGCTGATATCATACACTGAGGTCTTACAGGGCTTAACCCTGAACACCCAAACATAAAAGTGCGCTTGAAAACTGTCTGGACTTTATCTTTACATATTATATGCACTTTTATTGGATGGACCTACATGTAGGAGGATGTCTGCCTGTCTGACTCACTCCTTGTCTGTCTGACCACCCCCTCCTTCGAGCCTGCCAGCACCCTCTTTGTGTCTCCAGCCATCTCTTCTTCCTCCTCTTCCGACTGTGTTTGTCTTAATCATTGCTGAGGTGATGTGGGCCGGACAAAGACAGTGGATAATGTGATTAGAAGAGGCTCAGGCGCAAAGTCTCCGCTCTGATCGTTCCAGTCATCAGGGACTTCTGTCACATTTGTCAGGGATTTGGCATAAAAAAAAGGCCTCAACAAGATCTTCTTGTTATTTACGGAGTTTGAGCCTCACCTCACTTTTTCTTTGCCTTGTTTGTGTGCTTAATGTGCACCAGTCATGCCTGGATTTTTGCATGCAGGCGCAATACCCAATCCAGAATTGTATCAGTCAAATAGTATTTCACTGTTAAAGGCATTTAAGTCTTACTTTGTTTAGCCTGTGAGGGGGTAGGTGTCTGCTGAGCAGCAAGACAAACAGGACTGCTTTTGCAATTTCCAGATTGGATGTTTGCAGCTTATGATACATTTCACAGACTGTAAGCTAAGGTTACTCAATCCACAGGGGGTGCAAAATAGATAAACCAACCAGTTTTCCACAGGAGCTTTAAGATGTGCTTTTTTCAACCATAAAATCAAACCATTCCCCTTTTTGCCGGTGAGTGCCATCATCCTTGCTAGTTGTAGATATTTCTATCACTGTAGGCCTAAAATGCAAGTCATATGTTATGTCTAAGCTGTGATGCAGCTGTAGCTGCTCACTGCTATAATGCTCTACTACCAATATGTTGGCAAACATATACACTATATCAGAAGGTGAAGTGTAGCACGGTGCAGTTTGGTAGTACTTTGATCCAGAAAGTGCAGATGAAGTTTAAGTAGTCTTTGTTTGTTATACTGACCAGAGCGATGTGTAACCAGCATGAACATATGAATGTTGACCTGCGAGAATGACCCGAGGCTGGTAGTGTTTGCTCTGCTAATGTTAGCTGCGTTTAGCAAACCAATATGAAGTCATATTCCGGCAAACTCTGTAATCCTGTGTGTCACTACTTAAAGGTAAAAAGGTTTCAAAAGTATCCATATATATAAAAATCTTGAGTGCACAACTGTGGTATTTTTCCTGTTCTTTTTTCTCCAATCAGTTCATTTCACAGTGCCACTCAAATACGCAATGTCAAAGGACCAGCAGAGCTACTATTGAGCATCTCTGATACATCAATTGATTATTTTTTTACATTTAGCAGTTGATTTAGTGGTATTACTGGCTTGTCTGACCTGGTCCATTTAGAGTGGGAGGGACCAATGCAGACTACTTGGCCCCCTTTAAGACAAAAACCCCATGCAAACCATGGCGACTCAAAGAATTCTGCCCCAAAGACAAGCTTAGCATAGACAAACAAGCCAGCAGATGCACCATAATGGCAGACAAATTCAGTTCTCCAAAGACAAAGCATGCTTATGTCCAAAGGGTTTTGTCTCAATGACACAAAACATTACAAACTGTCTGCTAAAATGCAAGCAACTTGTGTCCCCCAACGGATGAATGAAATTGTCAGTTTATAGGAGGCAGCTCTAGTACTTTCATATCTGTTCCTAATCCAAATGTAAAAGGACAATGAGTGTGTTTCCCAGGCCTCCAGAGGCTGCGCACATGAATGAAGTATTGGATCAGGTAAGCTGGGAGATTCATCCCTCCATATACTGCAGCTGGCTCCTGGGAATTGTGGGTTGTGTGTTTGCCACACTGCTGGGGGGTTTGAGGTGAGGAAGGGGAAGAGAGTCTTTCGTCAGGAAAAAAATGAAGGGGGTTTAGACATGACAAGCGTGTCATTAATCACAAGATTCTCCAGGCAGGATTGATGGATCTACCTGCGCTCAATGGAAGGAACCAAAGGGATGGACAGGGGTAGCCATGGGAATAGGAGAGAGAGCGAGTGTGTGTGTATATGTGTGTGTATATGTGTGTGTGTGTTTGCTTCTGTGTTACTTCTGTGGCTTCATTATTGCCCAATTCCTTATTCCCTCTGCCTTCCCTGGCTCTGGCCATTTACAGTAAGCCCCTCTGGCAGTTACATCCATGACAGGTACAGAGAGAGAAACACACTCTGCAGGAAGCAAATCTGTCACCGTGCTAACTAAAACATGTCAGTGTGGTGGTGCGGTTGTATCTCGCATGCCAGTGCCAAACGGAGAGCTGATTGAAGCCCAAGGCTGCTGTGGTGGAGAGTTTATTTTGTAGCTTTGGTGGAGAAAAAGGCGAGGAAGAAGCAGACGTTGTATTTGCAAAGTATGGGGAAAGATTGGGGGAGAAATCAAGGCGCAGCTAAAACTACGAGATGTGGGGAAATGTGTTGGTGTATGTGTGTGTTCCTGGCCTCAGGGGAGCTGCGTCCTCTCTCAGGGGCTAGACTGATCCCACCTGAGTCTCTCCCCCACCCCTCCAGATGTTCCCCTCCCTTCATCACCCAGTATCACCCTTGTCTCCATCATCTAAATTCAGCGACTCCCATCTCTGCCTCTCAATTCTGATGCTACGTGTGTTGTACATTCCTGATGTATTTCTGCAGTTGTATAACATTTGCGTCTTTGCCTTTTTGAACCACATTATCGATTCGAGTAGCAAAGTAAAAAAGTTGAGCAGTAGCATGGATTTTTTTGTGCTGTGTTTTACTGCAGCACAGTGTTTCTACTCCAGCTTTTAGACCGTGCCACAAGAGGAGCAGTATGAATTCCCATATAAGGCAGGAGGACCCTTTCTAACCTCTCTCTCCTCCTCCTCCTCCTCCTCTCTCAGTCTTCTACCCCTTTGCTCCTTTATTGCAACAAGCTCATACTGTCTTCCCTTTCTGGTGCGACCGTGGTCTTATGCCAAGGCTTAGACAAAAACATAGGTATATTTTTTTCTGTTTCAGTACTGATGCTTGTCGTTTTCTGTTTTCTGTCAGTTATTCACAGGAGAGACTTGGTGTGGAGCTGCCTCTTGTGTTGACACCTGCCAAGATATCTGCATTCTTAGGTCGTAGTTTCTTCTGCAAACACTACGATACAGTAAATATTAAACCAAAGCTACAAATCAAGCCTCACAATTCCAATGGGAGAGATCAGGAGAGAGCGGAAAGCTTGCAGAGTGGGAGGTAGAGATGGATTGAAAGATGAAGACAGTGAAGACAGAGAGAGAAAAAAAAAACACAAACAGAGCTGATAAGACCTTCGGCAGAGGAAGTGTCGTTCTCAGCCGATCCCCCAGTGGATTTCCCAGCATCCCACTCTTCCCCTGCTGCAGGATGTAACCTCGTGTGGGAATACGTAAGGAATGTGACCCCTTTTGTTTAGCATGCGATAGGCTCCTGCTTGGCGGTCATTTGTGTGTCTTATGTGTGACAGGCTCCAGGCTTGGCAGAGGCTGATCAGAGAGACACTCAACAGTCCTTTCTCAGTAAGACCCTCCTAGGAAAACAATGACTGCTGTTATGGCTGCTATCTCTCAAAGCCCCTCCCTGGCTGATGGGGCTCCTGCTGGGCTCTCACTGTGGCTCATTTTCATATACTGAAGACGAAACAAAAGGCTTTGACAGTTTACATTAGTGTCTTCCTTTCTGTGGTCTAATGTTCTTCCAAAGACATGTTTGATGGACTTAAGAACTATTTCATTTGCACCATTTGACATCCTACAGAACTGGTCTATTTGTTGGCCTGCAGTATTTGTACTGTACTGGAGGTGTCAAGTGATCAGACCATTGACTGTATATACTAAGGACAACTTGGTTTCACCAGTGTATGGATTTGAAGCCTGCAAAGCTATCGGTATTTCCACGATTTTTCTCCATTTCCTTAAACCAACATTGCGCAGTAGCATTGTGCGAATTTGATGGGAGAGTCGCCGAGAGTCGCTGTGATGATGCACCAAAGGCTGTATCAAGTATCAATCATAGAAAACAGGAACCCCCCTAATAACTTTTAAAAACAGAGCTGTACAGAAAAAAAAGAGGACTTGAGCACAAACCAGTCTTACAGTAACTACATCGCAACCAGTGGGGAGAAAAATTCATATTCTGTGTAATAAATTTCTAAAGATTGTCCACAGCTCCAAAAGCTTTGCTGGAGGAGGCGGGATTTAAGACCTATACTGCAACCTGTCACCAGAGGGTGCTGTTCTCAAAGTGACTTTAACCAGGGATGAGGCAGACGGCGTCCATTCTATATACAGTCTATGGATCAGACCTGGAACAGTTAGGCCTACAGCCCACGTGCTGTATCATTTCATATTGTTTTAACATTCATGTTAATTTCAAAAATGGTTAAAAGGTAGCTTTTTAACCGTTGTTAAACTGGTTTTCTGCAAGGTTGTCACATGGCTCAGCACTGTGGCAGCAGACAGTATCTGCACTGAGGGCAGGACTTCCAGCGTACAGCAAACAAATCTGTATAACAGCCTTTATACCCATCAGTAGGATCTATGCTGAAGTTTTTGCTGCAGAACCATCTTCATGCTCTTCATCCACAAAAAGTTATAAGTAGCATAAACATTAAAGCGTTGTTAGCATTAGAGCATCATTCACTACTTTATGGCTGATACACTTGGCAGATTTTTTAGATACTTTAGCTCATGAGGGGTTTTATTTTACAGCCTTTTTTTGTTTGCAACACCTGTAGCTGTCTTTGCCCAGGGCGTTAACACAAGTACAACTCTTAAAAGGCTGTAAATGGATACTCTAAAACTCTTGGAGTACCTTGGTCAATTTACCCAGTAATATGTCTGCACATACAGACCATTTAGGCTGGAGGCTACAGTGTACCTGGCGCTCCACCTTGCAGAGAAGCGAAGGAGCATGAATTCTTTATGAGTGTACCAAGCAAGGAAGACAAGGTCAGAAACAAGGCAGAGTGAGTTTTATTGAAGACTTTTTGACAGTTTTTCTTTGCTTTTGTGTAGCCCTAATGCTGAAAGAAAAAACAAACTTTCCTCAAGAGTCTTTTCTTAAAATACAGCGACAAAAGCTCATTTAAGCAGTCAAGACCGAGGGAAACTAATGCACATCACAGATTCTTCACTGACTACAAGGATCTGCTTATTTCCCCCAGTAGGTGATCTCATACCTCTGATAAAAAGAGAATTAAGGCTGTTATTACCTTTTGGCACAAGGGAGAAAGAGCTATGAGAATACCAACCTGTTACTGTCCTTTTTTTGTTGAGTATTTTTATGTCCGTATTTGGTATTTTTTCAAGCTTTTATCCCAAAGACGCATAAAATGTGTGTATTGACAGAATGCTGATCACATTAACACACAATACAATGACATTACAGCATTTTGAATAAAACCATTCACTTCTTTACCATTCATTTTTTGGAAAAACAACCACATCTTTGGTTCCACTGTCAATATGAGTGTGACACAAATACTGTAAATATGTAAAACACACACACGAAGATAGAGGACAGCACTGTTGAGCACCGTATCTTTTTGACATGTCATGAAACGAGTTGTCTGATATGTTTCCCTCTCTGCACTCTTGAACGTGACCCTGCTGTTTGAAGGTAAGAATTCCTCTATTATTAAATTTACCATGACATCAAATGCTGTATCAATCTATTGACCTTTCTTTTAATTATAGGAGCCTGGATCTTATCAAAACAGGAAAAATTCTCTCTGTACATGCAAATATAGAAGGTTGCGTAACACAGGCATATCTGTACACAGAAGGCAGTGTCTGCTCAGACTTTAAAGTTTGTGGATAGAAACTTTAAACAGACGAATGTTTTCACCACAACTTGTCACCAAGGACGGTAAGACTGATAAACCCTTTTGTTAAGCACTTTTTCCACGGTACAGACATCACCTTGGTTTAAATGTAAGGGTGTTTTATGAAAGCAGAGTCAAGCCCAAGTCTGTTTTTCTTTCTTTCTGAACCAGTGATGGTGAGTCAGACACGGAGGTGGGACAAAACAGAACTGAGGAGCGAGCCAGGGACACACTTTACACTCATTTGAACTGTCTGTCCATACAGCCAGACAGGTCTCTGCACTGCTTGTATGTACATGTACTGTTTTTTTTTTACCGCAGAGACTTATCCACTCAAAATGAAACTCTCTGTTCAACTTCACAGCCAGGTTTCACAGCAAACATCAGATTGTGACTTCAGATATGTTCTTATAAAATCTTTAGCTGCTTGTAGTTCACTGTCAAGAACTACAAGATATAAAAGAGACCCTACGTCTGTCAGAAACACAAATGTAACACAGACTCTCAGAAAGCAAGTGATGTACATTCAGACCTCTCCTCCACCTTCAGCCTTTTTTCTTTTTTTTTTAAGTGCCTCCTGCAGGGTGTGAACTCTGCTTCAGCGTCTGAGCGTGGTGCGAAAGCGAGGCGACGCCGCGGTCACTCACACAGGAAACTGAAAGTCAGACAACCTCACATCCTGCCTGAGCTTTGGAAGAAAAACTTCCTCTTCTAAAACAAGCAGCAAGTGCAAGTAAGAAAGTTCTCTTAAGTGAAGGAAGTGGTGCTGCGCCTCAAGAGGAGCACTAAAAAAACTATATGTCTGTGTAAGTTTAAAGCCTAATGCTGCAGCAGGTGTTGCACCGAGATGTCTCTGTTTTTAAAGACGGAGCCTGTTTTTGCGATGATCTTACATTCACAAAAAATTCAAGTCAACAAAAGGAAATAATGTCGCAGTGTGATTACTCAGAGGCATAGTTTTCATGCCTGAAATGACTTCAAAAACAAGTGAAAACAATAGGGTCAACTCCAGGATCATACACACTGTTAATGGCTTTCAGTGGAACCTGAGGTCCAGAGGATTGTTTGCCAGTAGGCACCTTCACTGACTTTGTGGTAGAAAACACATCAAGGCAGTGGAAAAAAAAAAGAATTGTAGAGGCAGACACTCTAGAAAAATTCCCCTTTGATAACCAAAAAAGATCTGAATAAGAAGGGAGGTTGTGTATCCTGATTTCACCTTTAATCTAGTAGTGAAACAGATGAGACACAACAGCAGCTTTGAAGCACTCATGGAACAGTCTGTTTGCTAGCATAACTGAAATCATCCTCCCACAACTCTTTTACACGCTGACAAATATCACGTAGATATTTCCCATACAGTCTCAAGGCCAGACATTTACAGAATGCTGCTTCTCTCGTGCAGCAGCAGAACAATAGCTGTGTGGGCTCAGCAGTCTCCATTTGTTCACTTCAGTCTGTGCCTGTGTGTCTGCCCGGAGCAGCCAGCACCCAGTTTGCCATCAGGGCTTCTTGGCTGCAGTTTTGGCTTTCCCGTTGGGTCCTGTTTTGATCTGGGTCATCTCCACATCTGTCAGGGCGTCAGGGGGAAGGCATGAGCGCATGCGCTCGATGGTCTTCTGGTACGCTGCCCTCTCCTGCTCCAGAGTGCGGATCATGTGCTTCATTTTGCTCTCCCGAGAAAGGAAGTTCTCCACGTTCGTCTCCAGCGTCTGGATCTTCTGCCGTGCGGCCTGGAGGACAGAGATTGTTCTTCAGTATGTGCAGGAAAGACACAAGTATGGAAAAAAAGGGAAAACAGAAAGCACAAAACCTACAAAATCTGAGAACTACTAAAAGTCAGGGTTAGTGTGACCCTGAACTCAAAATCTGAACTGAAGAGTGTCAAACAAAACTGTGCCACACAAAGAATTGTCTTTTACAACTTTGACATTAACACTGTGGTTACAGTTCACCATCAGCATTAAGATTCACTTTACCAGCCCTACCACATACTACTGATCAGAACAGAGTACTGCAAACTGCTCAGTCCCTTTGTCCTGCAACTCTGGTTTTAACTTGTGTAATAGTGCCATCTATAGGCAGTTTAAGGCATTACCAAGAACAGTGTCAGTGGATCTCCAGACAACACCGTTCATCAGACTTTAAAAAAGACATTTTAACTAACACATACAACAAAAACTGAATTTCATTAATGAACTTTAACTGCTATATGTTGAAAACTCCTCCTAATGAGGATAAATGGTAAAGAATAAATGAGATATGTGTCACACCCCAATCTAAATGTGCTTCTCTCTTTCTGTCTTACTTGGAGTTTTTCCAGCAGGTCCATGTTCTGTTTCTTCAACTGTGCATTTGTCTTTTCTACTTTGTCGAGCCGGTCTGAGTCATCAGCCATTGGACCTGGATCTAACATCTCATCCTGCAGGACGTGGTACTCCACCTCGTACGCATGGAGCTGCTTGGAGATGTCCATCTCCATCACCTGGAAAACGACACAGTGAGACAGATGGTATCAACTGAAGATTATTCAAGTTTGGGGTTTTTCTCCTGGTCCTGTTTAACCTCTCTGTCTGTTCCTTTGTGAAGCATCCTGCATGCCTACAGCTATTACAAACCATTTTCCAATGTACTTTTTGCAGGACCTGAAAGTGATAGATGACATCTTAAAACATTTTTTTGTGTGTCAATGTACCAAGAATGAAAATACAATCAAAATATTTTCTCAAAGGTCTTTTGGCATTTAATCTAAAACACATTTCATTTATGAAAAAAACAGGCTGGTCAAGAGGGAGCGAAGACCACTTAAATACTGATACACAGGAAAATACTCAAAGTATAGAGAAACCATTTCCTTTGCTTTGCTTTGGGTAAAGCAGTTAAAAGTGAGATGATGAAGATAGTTCAAAGCCATGAAGTAGGATGAGAAATTTGGTGTGTAAGCGGGGCACACACTACAACATAATGGAGAAAGACCTGTATGCATATACAGTGGACCTCTAAAAGTGCATGCACAGTTGAAACCTCTGTACGCCCAAGCACAGTGGGAAGGTGGACCTCTGCTCAGATCTCATATATCAAAGGAATTAAAGTAACTTACCAGTAAAATTTGTTCTCAGTCATGTCCTTTTTTACAAATTTCATAAAAAAGAGTTTTTGTGTTCAATATTTTTGTGTTAAATATTGGACTCTTTCTTTTAATCAACTTGTCTCCCTTGTAATATCATAATCATGCATTTAAAGCAAACAGTGGTCTACTTTAATTCAAGACCCTTTTTCAGAGGGTTGGTTTTATTAAAGAGAACTTTGAATTAAAGGCAATAAGTGACGCAGCCTAAGTGAGCAGGCGTCTCTTAACACCCTAGCCACCTCTGATGAGCAGCAATTCACATTCACCCAGATTTGATTCCAGAATGCAAGTTACAATATTCAACTCTCAAAGTCTGTTGACAACAAAGAACAACTTTACTGGTGGGTTGACATTATTCCCTCATAACAGCTGAGTTATCCCTGCGCTTACAGTTCATCGTGTCACTCCTGACATAATCACGCCGATTTTGGGCCTGACTCTCCTCTTCTAGCAAAGGACCGATTATCGAATGATTCATTAGATTATTTTGCCAGATTACCCTGTGGTGTGAGATGTGTTAGGAGTGATTTTTCATCTCTCCAGTCTCCAGGAAGACGATCCTCCCTAACCCTTCTTGGACTGGTATATATAAAACATGTCTGATGTTTACGATCATAATTCCTTCTGTGTGGGGGGATCCCCAAGGACAGCTGATCATACATGCTGTCCTTTGTCACGTGGAATAACTTGGTAGCCAATTGGGAAGCACGTGCCAGAAATGCAGCCATGGCAACAATAGTTATCTCTAAGCATAAACTCAGGTGGACATAAGAAATACATGACCCACTTGTTGGTATATGGAAACAACATGAGTGTTCACACAAGTTTAGTAAAACACAAAATTACAAGGGGAAGTGCACAAGAAATTGCAACTTCATTTGAAGTACCACAAGGCTAAGCAGCTAGCAACGGCTAGCTCCCATAGTCCACCATGTTTGTTTACTTTAGGATCACGTCTGAACGGGAGACTTCACAAGATTTCCAGATATGAGAGTGTGTGTGGTGTGCTTATTCACCTCATTGTTGTGAACCACACTACAGGAACAAAACTCTTAAATCTGTCATCATTTTTGGGGGGCTCTCTAAGACTTTTAAAATCTCTTGGTGTGCCTGACTGTACTTTAAACCATCCCACTTTTCAAGGAGAGTGAGGAGAGCCTGGAGTAAATAATAAATAACAGCTTTACCTACAACATCTTAAAAAATAGAGGACTATAAAGTGCCTCTACTGACAGAGCAGGGCTGAAACTGGAAAATAACAGGCTGAATGAGTATGAAAAATATGAAAACAACAGAGTGAAAACATACGATAAAGCGCTCATAAAGAGTCTCGCTTTTAGATATGTATTTAACCTAAAACATGAAACTCTATTTAATACTCTATCAGCTTTCTTCTCTACCTTAGCAATGGTCTGCTCCATCTGTGCAGGGGTGAGGGTGGGAAGTGTAGTTTTCAGATAGTCCACGATGCTCTCAAAGCTGTCACACTCCACAATCTCCTTCTCATGGCTGCTCAGCAGACAGAGGGCCACTTTAAAGATCACACCCGTGCCCTGGGAAAATACAAAATCTGGAAAACAAACACAAACAAAACACAGACGCATTTTTAAAACATGTTTGACCAACTTAGCCTTTTTGCTGAAATTGTTAAAAAGCTTTTAAAAAGGTCATCTTCTCAAAGAAAAAAAAAACATTGTACTGATAAGCCTCGGTGTGTGAGCAAACACAGAAGCCATTATTCTAAAAATATACCAAAGATGCGGGACACGAAGCCGAGGGGGAACTGTGAGGCGAAGAGAGTGAGGAACCAGGGTGCTGCGTAGAGGCTGGGGCAGATCTCGTGCTCCTCGAAATGATTGTACAGCTCCCGGTGATAGTCATGTAACAGTCTGGAGAGCTGGTACATCTGAATCTGAGAGTCAGAGTGCAGAAACAGAAAATGTTACAAAGGTAATACTCACAGACACAAGCCAAAACGTGCTGTGTGCCAGAACAAACTTGTAAAGTTGGATCTCAGGAGTTACACACGCCGATCTAATAATTACAAGCTGGCAGAGGAACTTTTAACCAAGCATGGAGAGTTACCAGTACTGAGCTGAAGACTTGCTCAAACATGCAGCAAAGCCAAAAGTCTGATAAGCACAGCTAACTCTCTAACAGTGAATTACGGTAAAAGCCTGAAAGGTGCAGGAGTGAAATGCAGTAAACAGAAAGGAAAAGCAGAAGTTAGCTCGAGCCAAAACGAGCCTGTTATCAGTTTTGCAGTTTCCTGACCGTTACAGAGAAGACAGGCAGTACCTTCACCTCCTCGTCACTGAAACACAGTGAGAAAACAGGCCAGATTCCTCTTTCCTTGCAACCTTTGGGTTAGCCTATAAAGAAGAAAACTGCAGCGCCAAGAGACCCGCTGCTCTGCTAAATGGTTACCTGATGTAGATTAAACATTACCACGCCTGCTGATACTTTCACCCTGCTGTGGTCAGCTGATGTTTAACCGAAGCTAACAGAGCTGGCATGCAGGTGTGGTTTAAGGAAGAGGTAGAGAAATTACTCTTGTGTTTGCTCACTGACAATATAACCAGACTATTGCTTCTAACAGCACATGGCAGATTAAATAAATACTTTGATACTTTGATGTGTCTGCTACTGACGTATTGTTTCTGATAGGTAGGATACACACTGTACATACAATAAAATACAAAAATTTGAAGCCATATTTAAAGGTTCAAAGAAAAGTGAAAAAAAAACCTATCTATCTATCTATCTATCTATCTATCTATCTATCTATCCATTTTTGAAACAGGAAGGGAAAGAAATTCTGAGGTAATTTTCTGAGCCTAATTTTTACAGGTAAGTACATGTTTTTGTCTCTATTTTTTTACAGGAGTGTTTTTTTTTTTATTTTTTTATCAGACCTACATTGCCATAGGAGACTGTGTGAACATAGTTTTAGAGGTAATATTAAAAGACCACTGACAATGTTTTACTCCACTTTAAAAATGTGGATACAGAGAAACCCTTCAGCCTCTTGTGGTTGTAACAAGGATTACAACAACAAACACCTCAAAAATACACAGGCAAACACTTTTAGAGTCCTGGTGAAACTACAAAAAAAGAATCACATTCAGTAAACATAACTTAAATACGAAAGAAAATAGCTCAGAAAGATCTCCTATTTGCCTTGTCATGTGTTCCTCGAGGCTTCTTTCATAGTCTTGACTTAATTCCAGATCTGTAAATGTTTTGCTCAAAACACTGAAATTTGTCTTGACCTATTGATTTATAACTAAGCTGTAAAAAACATAACCTCTTATGATGTATTGGAGCAAGTCAAAAGGTGTACCAGAGACATAACAGGGGTGAGACAGCAGCACTGGTGAACTCACAAAATAAAAAAGTGCAAGGGAGTGGTTATGGTGGAGCTACGTTGATGCAAACTCACAAAACTAAGGAGTTATTGTGTTCCTGTTTAGAGCCCTCAAGTAAGATCCGTCCACTGAGTATATTTTGTTTTTCTCCCCTTTTGCCACAGACATACTTTTTATTCATCACCCTGTGTTTGGTCCAAACTTTGAGATATTTGTATAAGTACAGATGCAGTGTTGAATGATTTGATTGACTTTTAACACCATCAATGCAGATGATAAGATTGATGCACATGATAAGATTATTTTTATTTTTTAACTTTTCTAAATGGCGTGGTGACAGCAACCCGGCACCAGAGTGTCCTGGCTTAATGCGCAGTGAGGCTTTCTTAAGTTTGCTTTTTAAACATCCCACTAAATTTTCACACACTTATCAAATGTTTTATGTATTTATATCAATTGGAACATTATTTTTGTCTCCTGAGGATATTCACAATGTAAAAGTCCATCTGTTGAATCATACACTGACCTGCAGAGAGATCATGTCTGGTCTGAACTGCTGCCTGATGCCGAGATCGTACATGAGGAACTTCAGCATGTCAAAGGCCTGCTCTTCACTCATGTGCAGCAGCAACACTCCAGCTACAAAGCTGATACCCTGGCAATAGCCCACCTGTGGAGAGTAAAAACAGAGAGCATGATGTGTTATACATCTTTCTTTTCATTCACACACTATAGCTTTATAGTGCGGCACAGTGGGGGCAGAAATGGAGTGAGTGTGTGTACCTCTGTATCCAGCAGAGAGTAGGCTTTCAGGAGGTTGTAGAGGGAGAGCTGCCCTGCACCCAGCTGGGCGGAGAAGTACTGATGGGTGGGAAAGGTCCGACCTGAGCACAGATACAGAAGATCAAATTTAATTTTCAAGCTGGTAGTATAACAAAAGACAGCTTCAAGGATAATTTCAAAAGATTTTATATTGATATCTTAAATTCATTGACAATAAAGTCTGAGAGACGAATAACACTGAGACGACACTTTGCAAAGTCTCCCATGACGCACATTTTCACAAGTAGTTTACTTTTCTAAAATAAAAAAACAATCCAACTCTCAGACTCTTGGAGCACTCTTTAGAGAGACCACTTTTCAGAGTAGCACACACCTAGATCCACCAGAATAGCGTGCTGCTGAGCGGTGAGCTGCTTCAGCAGGTCATGGTAGAGGGTATCAGGGGCCTGCTGGCGCTGAGGAAGTCTGTGACGCAGCCGGTACTGATGGGAAAAAAGCAACCAGACCTCCCCTCGCCTGCTCTTGGGAACACCTGCACAAAACAAACAACACATGCTCAAGACCTCACACGTCTCGCACTGCTGTTTATAGATTTGAAGACACAAAAATACCCCGGCAAGTCATCACAGCTCTTTTGTTTGTCTGTCCTGTACACAGACATCTCTCACCTTGGCAGAGAGCTCGATACATCTCCTCTTTGTCTTGTGGGACTGTCGTCCTGCCTGGGGCGGTCAGTTTTCTCTCCCACAATGCCTGTGCATCTTTGGAGCACTGGCCCACTTCCTGGTAGTCCAGCTTCATCTTACGGATGTGCAGCTCATCCCTGCTGGCTGTGAGAGAGACAACCACAAGAGCAAAAAGAAACAAAGGAGGATTTTGAAAAATATTTCTTCATAAAAATTTTTTTTTTCCGTCCAGATGATAAAGACAAGATACCAACAAGATAAGACTGTAAATCCCTCATGTTTAAGCTTTTCTGTAAACTGAGGTAACTGATCCAAAGACACCAGATCTGAAAACAAGAATGAGGACAGCTCCTGACACCTTCAACACCACTTACCATGGAAAGCTGCTACACAATTCTACACAATTCCCATATTAGCACCAAATATTCATCATGAAAAAGCCAGAAACAGACAGATAAGAGGAATACAAAAGACAAAATACAAAAACACCAAGTATTCGAGTCCCTGAACATGCAAACAAAAGAAGCTGAGTCGAATGAATAGAACAACCAACACCTGAAATCATGCAGAACATCTATCTGCCTCATGCTTACCTTCTATTGAAAATGGTTAGTCACTGTTAGGTCCTCAGACCAGCATTGGTGTCATAGTAACAAACACAGGGAAAAACATGTATTGGTATGATTGGATATAATATGAGGACTACACAGAGACAAATCTCTCCTCTTCTTGAGCTTCGTCTTTATATAGAAATGTTAAAGTATGTGTTGCTCTTGTCCAAAGTTTGGGATAACATTTCAAGCCACTTCACTGTAAAGATACCTTTTTTATGAAGAAGCAGACCCCCCGCCCAAATTCCATTCCTATCTGTTAAATTCCTGAACCAAGATAAGCAGTAAAGACTAATGATGCAGATGAGCCATTAGAGGGCGCTATTTCCAACTTCTAAACCCTGAACTTTAAACCATCACTTTGAATTTTCACCTCATAAAAGCAGTGACCCTCTGAGTGTTTGTTCTGAGTGTTTGTCTGCGACCACATGATTATGTGTGTGTATGCGAAACAAAGCACTCTCCTCTAAATATAGCTGCGCTCCAGAGTCTCCAACCAAGATTGCAGAGATTTGACTTCTCAAAATAAACAGTAATGACAGCGTGTGGCTAACCCTGAGCCTTCTCTCTACACCGTTGAAGCTTTAGTTAGAGAGGGCAGGACTTTTGGTGTTCAAGTGTGATACGAGGGCTAAGGTGAAGGGGAAAAAGAAGCAAATACGTGATAAATATTTGAATAACCAAAAAAAGAAGATCCAGTTTCTAGGCGCAGTGTCTGCAGGGAAACAAATGCACTTAGCAGCAATGAATACTGGGTGCTCCTCATCCTCAAAGTTCATGTGACTAAAAGAAAGGATTCGTTTAGGGGAATTATTACAACAGGAACTCACCCTCCAGCCTCTGGTTCTCCTTCTCCATGCGCAGCAGGAGGATCTGCTGGTGGATGGCCGTCTTCCAGAGAGCCCGATAGTCAGTGCTTGTCTTTTTAGGCCTCTCTCCAGTAAAGGCAGTCCCTGCTGATGGCAGAAGTCGCCCCAAAGGATCCAGAGTTGAATCCATGGCACGGGGAGAGAGGGGCAACAGCTCCGTGCCGTCAGAGTGGTCTAAAAAAAACACCCAAAAGCATCACTAAAAGGTTTGTATAGAAAGTAAACCACTCAAATTAAAAGCAGGTAAACCTGGTCTACCACGAAAATTGGAAACTGTGAAGTTTGATAATGTTTTACATACAGATTGTAAACAGTGAGTGTCCCCTTTCTGTACTAAATAATTAAAACCATCCTTAATCCTTGTGTAAAAAAAGCTCCACAAATTTCTTTAAGTGTATGTTCCTTTGTATGATCTTAAAGTATGAAAAGCTTTTCATTCACACCTTTTTCACCAACCCCAGTAAAGCTTTTCAGCCTCTTTTGGCCAGTTCTAGTCAGATCTCATAATTAGTGATAAGTTTTGCCCATTGCCTTGGAGCATTTCACGGCTAAAAAGCAGATTTTTTAAGGTCATCTCGACGCCCTTGACCTGTGAACAACCTGCTGGGTACTTAAAAGAGTAAACTAAGAAAAATTATTTTGAATGGAAGAAAACTGGCCATGAGAGCATGTAGGAGGACCACTTTCACAAGCTCTTTTATCATCTTTTATCTGACAAGGATGAAGAGGGAAAATTCCTCGCACTTGCTTTAACCTTTCACTTTATTCTCCCTGTACAGTGCACACAAGTTTAAGAATAGCAGCATTTCCTCTGCCATGTTTGGTCCTCCAACCCTAAACTCATTTATTATGCACTGGATTAGTCGGTCTATACATTGAGCGTCATGCTGCGCCTACTTGTAGGATTGGGTTACCAGACCTGTGTGCTGCATGGAGGCAGACGGCTTGTTCATGGGCGAAGCGACCCTCAGGAAGATCTTCTGTCTCCAGGAGACCCTGCGTGGGGTCGGAGGGAGGCTCACTGAGTCGTTGCTGCAGCCAGACAGTGTCCTTTTCCTGCCTTCCCCATTGCTACGAGAGAAGCACGAGAGCCACAGACACCCGATAAATGAGCGAGGTATCGTCTTACACTGACGGGCTTTTAGCAGCTTTCACAAATACAGGCAGACACTTAAGCTTCAGTACATTAACACACTCTGAAACAACAATAGAAACCTTATATAAGCATCTCATGGTCAAATACCCTGAGCTGAGGAGAAATGGTTTGAATAAACTGTAAACACACAGAGCATTGATTCTCAGTGTCCATGTTAATAAAGCGAAGAAGGCGACAGTGTGTAAAATGACAACAGACAGCCACAGCTAAAGTGCATGCATGCTTGACGGTTTCCTGGAAGAAAGAACTCGTTTTTGATAGTGAAGATGAATGATTTGTTCATTGGCTGACAGTCCTGCAAAACATCAAGTTGACTGTCTCAGTTGACTAAAAGATCATATTAACTCAGCAACATTTAGGCCTTAAAATGCACGACATAACAGACATAGTGGAAAACCTGACAGGTGGGAAAAAGAGCTTCCCAAGCGATCCAAAACAACTACTATATAATAATGCATGGTCTTTATGTGAAAAGGCAACAAGGATGAATGAATGTTACATGTATTTAATATAATTTGTGTCTGATACTTTAATATCTTCATGCAGCAGTCAACAGGGGCATGTCCAGACTTTCTAAATTGGGGTGGCAACACAAGGAAACTGACACAGACTGGGGTGGCCAACCTGCCTATGCACCTACACATTTTAATAGCATTTATTTGGTCTGCCTACTTTAACAACTACCATTTAGGTGTCATTAAGCTGTTACACTCTGGTGTATAACTTTTTGACTTTCAGGAAGTGCAGGGCATTAATGTTCATTGAAGGCAGTAGTAAGTTACTGCCAGCCTTTCAATCCATCCCAAATGGTTGTTTTTTTTACTCAAATCTTGCCCCAGACAAGGCAAAAGCGTAGGATTTTGGGTGGCCAATAGCATTTGAATGGGGGCCAGCGCCATTCCTGACCACTTGTCTGGACATGCCCCTGGCAGTCTTGGCTTTATAGTTCAAAAGTGTTGTTCTCCTTCCCATTTATTGAGATCAGTGTAACTGTTTTGTGAAATAAAAGAATTGCAGTAAAATTTGATGTTCACAACTTTTTGTTTGATAAATCCTATCGCTACAAAATAACTCCAAATCAGGAACCTCTCATAGGAGTTAAAAGCAAACTGGAATTATTTCTCACATCCACTTGTGGTTTAAAGCATTCATACTCTGGTCCACAGCTTTATCTATATTGAGAAATAAAGTTTAAATAAAGTTAGTTACAGACTATAAAAAGCCTTGGTGTCTGATCCATGATGTATAATAAAATATGGATTACTCTCTGTGATGTTCCACTAGTTGTCTGAACATCACACTGAAGCCTTACAACACCATACTTGAAATCCTGACCCCACTTTACCCTCAATGGGTGAAAATGGAGCTGAGGCAATAGCTGTAACACACCCGTCAACTTTTTATTATCTAAATGTGTAATAAAATGTTTCACCCTAACCCTGATCCTGACCTCCTGACAGTGTGTGAATAAATAAATGAGCTCATAACACAATACTAAATTCAATCTAAGCTGTAAACATGATCATTTGGTGTCAGATGTGTATTTTGAAATGGGTGCTAATGGGGTTTAAAGGGCTTTGGGAGCCAGTCTTGAAAAGTCTCACGACTGTCTCCTTTTGCTCTTCTGTATTGACCTGATTATTCATGCTTGGTCTGATCTGGTCAGTTAAAAACAGGAAGTGACATTTACTGAGAACTGTCCCTGACATCATGTTTTCACTCTCCCTGTTTCCCCCTTCCATTTGCTGCCTTTTAAACAGATTTATACTCTTCGCTTGACATATAAATCTCCTGAGGTTTCCCTGCCGGTAAAGTTATAAACAAATAGACGGCTCTAGTTTAGAGTAGTCCCACTGTGCTGCAGAGAAGTAAACCCGGCTGTGAACATGTTTGCATATTTGGACCCTGCAGGTGGAGTTTTTTTTTAAAGAGGTCAGTGTTCATCCATTGTGAGGGGCAACATGGGCTGTAAAAGCTTTTCTTGAGTTCTCTGATGCATTCTCAGTGTCAGAGCTTGGAGAGTTGGACTGCTGTCAGGGGAGAAAAGCATCCTGCCTGCTTCACTGAATCTCATTATTAATGGAAATGTTAACCTTTACTTTCTGCCGTCCAGACACGAAGCAGAGCCTGTAAAGGTAGAGCTGCAAGAGAGGATCAGAGTGTGGCTTTCTGGATCACACTGGGTCAGCTGAATTATTGGTGCTACAGCACATTAAAAGCAACATTCAAAAAGATTTACCCTGCATGAAGGGGTAAAGGTGATGTTTAAAGGGATATTCCAGCGTAAAATTAATTTAGGGTCAAACACACTGTAACACTGAGTTAGACACTGTCGAGAAATGAATGTTGCCGACTGCTTGCTTCTCTTGTTATACCAACTTTAGTAACGACCGAACAATAGCAATACAGAGAACCAAATGCTCAGAACAGCACCTAACTTCATCAACAGTATATATAGGGTCCCAGCCACAACGTGAGCCACTAAACATCTTGTTAGCTTTGCCTAATTTCTTTAGCAAAGAGACCAAACACAACTCACCCACTCTCTTCCAGCAGCCATTTATTTGTACGGAGACCTTCAGGCCAGTCCATAACAGACTACAGCGGGGTGACGCAGCTCAAGGAAGAACATTTATGATCATTTATTTATCATTTCCTTAAAGTAATAATCACCAAATTAATCATTTTGCACTGCAGATGCGGTAGTTCTTCTACCTTAGCGTCTCTGTCTGATTGCATTTCCATGAAGTAATGATCATAAATGTTCTTCCTTGAGATGCGTACAAACAAGCGGCTGCTGGAAGAGAATGGGTGAGTTGTGTTCAGTCTCTTAGCTAAAAAAAATCAGGCAAAGCTAAAAAGATGTTTTATGGCTAGTGCTGTGGCTGGGACCCTATATGTCCTGTTGATGAAGTTAGGTGCTGTTCTGAGCATTATTTGTGGCTATAGAGTGGCGTTTTGGTTGAGCGCGTGGCTCTCTGTATTGCTATCTGCTGTCGTTACTAAAGTTGGTATAACTAGAGAGGTGGCAACATTCATCTCTCGACTGGGTGTCTAACTTGTTGTAACAGTGTGTTTGACCCTAACTTAATTTTACGTTGGAATATCCCTTTAAGCGAGAAGTGCAGTTAATAAAGGCTTCATGCATAGATTAAAAACAGTCTTGCCGTGCATTACAGCATCAGTCAGCATGCAAAAACAACATGAAAGAGGTGATTCAGAATCCTCTTCAGCTTCAAAGGAAGAGGGCAAATCCAGCTTAGGAAATGACAGGAGGAAAGAAAGTATTTTCTTATAAAAGAAAAGATATGAAGAGTGTTAAAATTTCGGGCAGCTAAGATGTTTGCGGCCATGGCCATCCCAGCAGAGACCGGCTCTTTCCCTCCCACCCATCTCATTTGTGTGTTTAGGCCTAAGCAGGGGGGAGCTTGTCTGAGCACCCCCTCTCACCTCTTGAGGCTCCCACTGTCTGCCAGGGAGCCGAGGGAGCCCAGTGAGCCCTGGTAAAAGCTTTTCAGGAAAGTGGGGGCGGGGAAGGAGGAGGGGAGGCTGAAGGTGGATTCGCCCTCTGAAATGCTGCGTGTTCTCGAGACAGCCACGGAACTGGGCGAGCCACACAAGAAATGCCCGTAAAATTAAAAAAAAAACAAACACATGACACAAAACAAAACAAAGCTACTGGTCAGCTCAACACAAAAAAAAAAACACAGAGGAACTCATGAGGGATCAAAACAGAGGCAGGAAACATGTGATGCTATTGTTTGAGGACAGTGGAGCAGGAGGTGGACGGGTCTAGGACTGATCAAAGTGCTGCAAATAGATGAGATTGTCCAAGTGTATCAAAGGTTAGCTAAACATGTAGTGTTAAACTCATTTCAAGAAAAGCAACAGATTCTGATTTTTTTTGTGAATTTAGCATTAACCATATCTTTAACAAAACACAAAAACGCTCTGTATGTAAGATAATAGCACATTTACTCAACAGGTTTAGACTAGGAGGACAGACAATGAAAGGTCAAGTATGAGTTACCTGCTCTGCAGCAGTTCTGGATTAACTGACTGTTGTCGGCGTAGTGGTTTGTTCTGGCTGGTTGGCAGGCTTTCAAAGGAGATGCGCTTCTTCACAGGTGGATGGCTGAAGGTGTGGGCACGTCGACGGAATTGCACGCCACCTTCGGGGTCGTCTTCTGGAAAAGCAGGAGGAGAACCTGGAGGGGAGTAACCAGGAGATTCTTCATCCTGCTGAGGGGGAAACATAGGAGACAAAGCCGATATAAGAGCTAAGGGTGCTTCGAAGCAACAAAGCCGTATAAATAAAGATAGGTTTTTACAGGGTAGATCATAAAGCTCCTGAGAGTAACTTTCTGTCTGTGTTGATTTTGGCGCCCCCTGTGGACAACATGTCAATCCTTACTGGGTTAAGTAACAAAGGCTCTTTCCTCAGTGTGTTAAAGGCGTTAAAAAATTACATAATAGTCATTTTCTTTTGGACATCATAGAGATGTATCACTGTTTATTTCGGTTTGGTTCATAAACTATCAAAAACTCCTTAGAGGAGCTTTAATATTTCAAGTACCTGACTAGTCTTGAGGTGAGAAAACAGTCTGGAAAACAGCAAAAACTCAGCAAGCTGTCTTTAGCACAGCTACATATGGGATCCCAGGTAAGCAATGTCAGATAAACCTGTCAAGTTTAACTAAAAATATCAGACTTCACCCCACCAGTCTAAGGTCCTCCTTGCAGCTTAACATTAACATGCTTGTGCTGGTTACCAATTTCTCTGGTCTTGTGGTTATATGCCAGTTTAGCATGACACAGCTTACATTCACTTTCATCTCCGCTTTGTCAAAATATTGCCAAACTGAGCTTTTCTATGTAAAGCCATCTGTAATCTGAGATTGTTTAAATTACATGTTGTAAAGTATTATAGCATTGTGGCAGTAAGCTAAAACCAGAGCTATAGCTTGGTTAGAAGACTATATAGATACATGTAGAGAAGCCAAGGACCACCTTGCCTTACACTGTTTGTATTGCAAACATTTCAGTATAAAGGTTCATTAGTTGAGCATCTTGAATAGGCAGATTGTCTCATCATGATGATTGTCTGATTCTCTTGAGTGTTTTTGTTTACAGGTGTATCATCTCATTATCCTTAGTACTCAAAGTTTGTTTCCCCCTGACTGATTAATGGCCTGCAAATGTGTCATCTTGGAAACTACAACTTGTTTTGTTTCGTTTTAAATGGTGTAATCATCTTATGAAACAAGCCATCAAGGCTTGTTTGTTAATGCAGTGGGATAATGAAGATAATGAGTGGATTATCTCTTTGTCTTTAGAAAACAAAGCCTGTCTTTCCTTGATTAATGGCCTGATTATTCGTTATCTTGGATATCAAAACTTGTTTTCTCTTATTTATGGTTTGGTTATCTCCTTCTGATGAGATATCACAGCTTGCTTGTTTATCAAATGTGTTGAATGTCTGATCTCAGGTAAACAAAGCTTCTCCTACTAAGAGCTCCTGTGAGAGACTTTTGGTTTGTGTCAACTTTGGTGCCCCCTGTGGACACAGCTGTTTTAGCTGACCTCCTCTACTTGTCAAAGCAATGTCACCTGACAAAAGTCTCATCCTACTGACTTTTGTCAGTCACATTTATCTTTTATTGTAAATATTTGCAGTGGAAAATATTACAAATGAGCTTTTTCTTCAGTAGCTTCAGCAGCGGTATTAAAAATGACAAAATAAGTCTTCTTGCTGATGGTCTTGTTTGCTCTTAAAATGTTTGCTATGTGAATTTCAGTCATTTTTACAAATGTCAAAAAACTCCTCATAGGAGCTTTAAGGCTAATAATCCTGTTATCCAGATCTAACCTGGTTACGTTTCTTCAGACACCAGGTTGAATATCTTGGTATTAAGTCTTAAGTCTTTTATGTTGTCTAATCAGTCTTGTTAGTTATCTTGTTAACTAATTATTACTGTCTAGAGTCAACAACAAAATTACCTTGTGGTTAGCTCCAATTTAATCATTTTTCAGCAAGATTGTTTACGTCCTTGAACAAAACTGTGAATATTGACCAGCCCTTACATCGTCCACTGACTAATATCTGTAAATTATATCATGAATCTAGAAAAAGCAGGTAAAACTGATGGGTTAAAATACATTTTTGTATCCTGGTTAATTCTTAATTTTAAAAGTCAAAACACACAGCTAATCAGCTTATAACTGTGTCCTTAAGACAGCCCATAGACTGATAAAACCTTAAACCCTGCCTTCATTCCTGAAGTTACAGGTCTGCACTCACCTAGGCCACGCAACCCCAAAGCAAAACTCGTTCCAGGTTCAACTTTCCACTCGACACTTCTGCACTCAGCATTGCCTCATGTCTGCTGGTACAACTCCCACATCTATTGTATTCTAATGGGTCAAGTCCTGTGACTCACATCATCTTACACTATTGGTGGAGAGGACCTTGGTGCCCAAACTACAAATGACAACCATCCAATCTGCTTCTGTGATGATTTTTTCTGACTTCCCTTCGTAAAATCTGCCAGGACAGGAGAATTCAGCAACGTTCATGTGACTTCTCTTACTTAACATCACAGCTGCAAAGGTCTTACCGTGGTAGAGTCACTTATGCTGCTGATCAAAACGCAGATTACAAAAAGTTTTGTTTCTTGCATGCATGTAAATCATGCAAGACATTTCAAAGTGTTAAGTTGTAGATTTTAGGAAACGCTGATAAGATAACAGTGCACAAACACTCCTGTAGTACTGTGTCAGATGACATGGCTGGAGAGAGGAAGCCCGGACGAGCATGGCTCAGCTCATGGACATCCTGACTGAATTTCCTGCTTGCTAGGACATCAGTATCCAGACATAATTCTCAAATGAGTACTCATTCAACCTAACACAGAGCAAACAATACCCAAAAGGAAACACAGGTGAACCTTTACATAAAAGATAAAAGATTTATACTTTATCTTTAAAGGAAAACAACTTATGGAAGTCTTTATGTTATGTAAGTGGCTAATAAAAACATGTAAGTTGCTCATAAATTGACCAAAATTTGCTCCTTATAAGTAAGTTAATTTGAAAGTATTGCAGCCTGATGAAATCCTCTGACATGATGCTAACATTTAGGGCTGATGTAAATAACCTCCTTGCTATGGCAGCTTATATTTCCAGTAATCAAAGAACAATCATGCAGAAAACTGTTTCATATATCTTTGTTTTAAATTCTATGAGCAACGCATCCTTATGAAGCACCTGCAGCTTGTTTTAAACGCTACTGCTCACATCCTGATTGAAAAGTAAGAAAGACCAGAGTACAACTGTGCTGCTCTCTATCCACTGACTCCACTTGGATCTCAGGGTCAGATAGATTATTATTAGACTGGCACCACCTCTCTTAGCAGAACATCATCTGTTCAGACCATGAAAATTTCTGAAATAAATCACTGCAGGTGAGTTTCTAGCTTTTAAAAGAGGTTCTATTTGCTGCTACTAGCATAACCTTTGAATTGCAAATTGAATTATTAGTAGCAGAGTTGCACTTTGATATAGGCATCATATCTTTAAAAGGGAGGTAGTGATTCCCCTTATATGGGAGCACCAGTGATTTTAGACATAGGTGTCTATTTACATGTTATTTGGAAAACAAGTGCACATGTGAGGAAAGCTGCATGAAGCTACTGAAGGCTGACTTTTTACATCGGCTTCAGTGACATCTTGAGTCAGATGGGGTTAAATATTATAAATGCAATCACTGAAAAAAAAAGAAACAGATGTGTAGATTTCACATTTCTGACTGAATAACATACAATCAAAACAAAACAACCCAAGCTGAAAGTCAACTGATGTAAGCATTGTTGAATTGTGGGTTATGTAGTAAAACAAGTTATGACAAAGAGTGTGTGTACAGTTATGTCTCCAGATCAGCCGCATTGATCTATGATTAAAGTGTCAGATGTTGCTCCAACAGTGTTAGAGGATTGCATTGCTAAATGGGCGTAGTACACCTTTAATTCCATCCTAACTGATGCAGGGTCAGAGAGACTCCATCACACCTTCTCTCCACATTCTGCACAGATAATACAAACTGGAGCACACAACTCCAAATGGTTCTCTAACTGCTCTGCAAACACACCCCCTGCTGTGATGATCTAACTGCAGACCAACACAACTTCATCATAGATTTACAGTACATGGGAATAATTCAGTGTAGAGTCAGGTCTCCATGTGAGAACCCAGCCTTAAAACTACAGCTGACGTGGAAAGAAGTGAAGGCTTTTTTATCACACTTGTCCTTTTCTGAGGACAGGGCTGAAATAGAAAATGCTTTTAGATGCCGCTGGGGAAAAAAAAGTGAGAATTCCCAGAGTCCCTCGAGGGGAACTTCTGGGAATTCTCATGTTACTCTTGCGTGGACACTTACCCTTTCAAAGCTGCTCATGCTTCCCATGCTTCCCAAACGGCCACGCATTCTGTTAGCACCCTGGTGACAGAGATGACATTTAATGAAGATGGTAAACAATACCTCTACACATTATAAAAAACTCTGGAAAAAAAATCGTGGATTGATTCATGGACAGAGCAAAAAAAATGTACAAGTGCAGGTCATAAAGCTTACCTCCTCAATGTAAACAGATAAGACTTAGTCCTAATTCATATGGGAAATCTGAATTCTAATGACTTATTTGAGGACATAAAAAGGGTATAATCCCCTGAAAGATAGCTCTGTAATTAATTAAAGCTCCTGCAGAGCTGGTTAGCAAAGTAAGGTCAGAACAGAAAGAGAAAACAAGACAAACATCTACACGAAGCTTCTGTCACGTTGTATATCTGAGAGTGACAGCTCCAAACTGATGTCTGATGAATAAATTTGAAATACCTCTGTAATAAATCACTGCACCACTTCAACTATATTTCTGCTGTCTTTTAAACACATGAAGGATGGGCACTTTGTGTGCATGACACGTAAATAAACTACAATGAATCAGTCAATAAATCAATTCTGTCAGCATCTATTTAGGTAGTTTTCTGGCTTCACATCTTAGTGTGAGTGGATGTGAAGTGACAATGTTCATTTCATGCTGTTGAATATGAAAAAAAAAACATATTTATAGAGGTATTTCTGTAGTTACTTTAACAGTAACTAGAGGTAAATCAGAAAATAATGGTGAACGGTTTTATAGTCTTAAACATTTTTTATTTCTTAATAAGATTAACTGTGTCATTCTTCGGCTAAGTCTCTGATACAACAACAGATGGTAGCAGAGGTCTCTGATTGCCTAGATGCTTCCACAAAGGAATTATTCTCTCGTCTCACTAGCAAATATGGGTCAACTCAAATCCCCAAGATAACAGTGACACACAAACAGAAATGGATGCGCATAAGGCACATACAGGGGAAGAACACAACACACGGGCTATTTTCTGTCAAAATACAACATAGGGGTTAAATTGAAGAGAAAAAAAGGTAGACAAAGGATGTGAAATAAAAATAAAGGCAGGAGAAAGGTGAGAAAACATGCTATAAAAAGCCGTCTGAGCTCAGACCCACCCTTGCAAAGATGTTCTCCAGGGAGCTGGTAAGAGATGAGCGGGCTTTGTTTTTCAGGATATCAAGTTTGAAGCGACTGCTGGTGGCAGCGCTGTCACCTGCTGATGGGCTGTTAGCAGCGTTCTGGCAAACAACAAAAGATCACAAGAGACATTTTTAATAAGAATGAGTGTAGAGGCTTTCAAAGAAGCTCTTCATTGCACCAACTATGCAGGCATACTGTAGTAAAGCACATGATCATGAGTAATACTGACGCTGGTGTTGGAATTCTGCTCTGTGAATAATATTTAACATGCAACCCTCGGGCTGTATCACATGGGAGTAATAATCCACAATCCTGTTATACTTCACTGCCATGATTTCACCTCAGCTGTACGAATGTAACACTGGTTCAATCAATATCAAACTCCGCTCTTTTCAGGCACAGGATGCAGCATGGGAAAGGATTAACTTTAGAGTCATGACCTAAAAAGTGACCTTTTGTGTCAGTGGAGCCATCATAGGACTCTGACTGGTCTATTTGATGGGATTCAAAGGCTAAACCTGCATGTTTGCGTTTCTCTGTCACAATCAAATCATTTTCTGTGTCAAGGAAAAGTACAAGGTACTGTCTCTTTGCATATTTTCCTTTTTTGTTTTAGTGTCTGATTTTACAATGTTTGTTCTTTTCATTGTCCATATTCTCTTATATTTTTGAATCTTATGCCTGAGCTGAACCTCGTTTTAGCCTTGCAGTATGACATCTTTGAAATATATTGCCAAAAATGGGCAAAAAAATTGACTTTTTTTGAAACCCCAAAGGTCCAAATTGACATTTTACAATGACAAGGATTTCAAAAGCCCTAAAAATACCTTTAGTTTATTCATGCAACATTATTTCATTTTGGTATTAGGAAAAATGTGCTTTCCTAAGTTGTTAAGTCAGCATAATACTTTGGATAAAAATGTTTCAATATGCTCTTATGACATAAAAATACTCTCTTTGCTCTATTATTATGTTTTTGAAACCACACAGAGTCAAGTATTTACCTGGGGAACCTCCCCGATGTGGAGGTGTGACTTTTGTTTGGATTCACAGAGCTGCCTCAAATGGAGAATCACCAGTTCATTCTCCTCATGGTCTGATCCAGGCTTCAGCCTCTGCAGAGAAGGATATACAAACATTCAAAACCCGATAAATGCACAAAAAAAACTGCACTTATGCACACACAGACTCTTAGTAATTTGGCGATTACCACAAATTAGTCCCATAAGACATTGTTAATGTGTCTGTAATTCTTCAGATGACAGTGTTTATTTTTCTCTTGGCAGGGCTGCCTTACCTGAACTCGCTCAAAAATCTCAACCTGCTCATTGTCAGTCAGCTGGGAGAGATATTTTTGGATGGCTAGTTTAGCTCTGGGTGGATAGAGACCTGGAAACAGAAAAGGGAATAGAAACACTCTTTTATGTGGCTTTAACTCTGAGGAACAGGCAATCCATCAATATATCCTACCCACAGCACAGTGCGTGTGGCTTACCCTCAATCCTCTCGCAGAGCTTGTGCAGGTCGTGCATGGGGCAGGCCTCACATAGCTGGATAGGGGTTTTATTGCTCTGTAGGGCTGCTGCTGTGGAGAAGGCCTGCTTCAGGGTCAGCATCACCTCATCCACCTGATACACAGAGCCAAATAATGGAGTGAAACAATAATATAAAAGCACATATGTATGGTCTTGTTTAAGGAAAAAGGAGAGTGTGACTCACCAGGGACTCACTGGCACACTGGAATATGTAGCACACATACTGACTGGGACCAGACTCCAACTGGTCCCTGCAGATGAATCCAAAATGATCGGACTGCTTGATGCCCTGCATCAGAAACAGTAAATGGGTATCAAAAAATAAGTCACAGTACAGGAAAACTGAACCTTTTTGCCTTTATATTTATTTCTGTAATGCAGATAAAAGAGCATCAAAAACCAGACATGACAGGGAAACAAAAACTGCTCTCAGCATTTTTCTATTTTCCATTCAATTAGTAAAATGGCCACTTTTGTCCCACAAGACATTAAGGCATTACCTTAATGCATAAAGTCTATTTAAAGAACTGCAATAGCACATGTCTACAGCACTGATGAATGTGTCATTTGCGCTCCAATTATAGATCGGAAATTAAAAGCCTGCAGTACTGTAAGGAGAGGCACTAATGCAATAGATGTCTAGAGAAGAAATGCAAATATATTCTGAGTTCACTCTCTACCCAGGACTGCAGCAGAGACACGGGACAGAGAAGCTTTCAGCACGTAAAAATAAACCGACCTGACAGCAGGATGAGATATCTTTGAAGTTCTTCTCCAGCACCACGGTTTTACTGTCTGGACTGATGAGGTTTACTTCAAAACGCCCGACCTGTGAAACACAAAATGAGGATTCATTTAAGAAGATAGAGGAATGGAAAAGAGTTTATAAACAGCTGATAGTACATAAAGCAATCTGTGTAAAATGGTAAATTACTGTAGTCTGTTATGAGACAGAGTCCAATGTGCTTTCATGTCATCCATACTGTTAATCTTCAGCTGCTGAAACCCAGATTTTAAGAATATTTAGTGTTTTTGACGAATCCTTATCATTTCACAGGAGGTTAAATGGACAACCAAATTTATTTATTTATTTACATTTTTAACCAGAGCTGCCTTGTTGAGATTAAAAATCTTATTCCTTATGACATCTCACCATCTAACAAAGTTACAGATGTAAAAGCACATTGTTTCAAATTGGATAACATGTTCTGGGTCATATACAACGAAATCATCAAAAAGCTAAAAGGTAAAATTATTGGGGGAATAATTCAAGTTTAGCTCCATACATTAGCTAACATCAGCATTCGGCCCGTCACCAGTTAAACTTAGCGTGTTTTGTACTCCCTAACAAAATAAAAGTTAATGTAAAGTAAGCTGAGGATATACTCACAACAGTTAATAGAGAGCTAGCTACAAATGTACTGCCTAACTTTAGAAAGAACAACTAATGCAGAGTTATTTTGAATGTATTCCCTGGCAATCACAGCTAGCTAAATAAGAATCTACTTCCCAAGAAAAACGGGACGTTAGCTGTTACTTAGAAGCTCATGATTCATCAAATGCTTTTCTTTTATTGCTGCATGTTCCTCTTTTTGGCCTGTAAGTGTCTTTTCAGCCGCTTATCAATCATTATAAATCAAACGCTTTACATTGGTATGAGCAGTAAAACAAAATAGATGCACAAGAGCTTCCCACCACTATCATGACATCAGTGGACAATGGCTGCCTTGTGAGTACAGTGACTGACAGACATAAACACACTCACACACTCTCACAATCAAGGTCAACCAGCCTACACCAACGATTTTTCCCATAATTGACTGCCATGTGGGGTATCGTATTGAGTGCCATGCTCTCGTTTTTAAATTTAGCTCCATGAGGAAATGGGCATGGTGTGCGAGGAACGGCTGCTGGCTCTCTCTGCAGCCTGCATGCTGCATTTCACAAAGCAGGGCTCTCCCTATGTTCTCTCAGGAGTAGCTCTGTAACACTTAAAATTTCTCCTCAGGAGTTACAGCCTCTTTAACTGCAGCTCTAACACCACGCCAAGCTGGTCTCCAATTATAACTGCCAGACATGTGCACATAAAAATGATTTGCAGGAGCAGGGGGCTTGCAGGCTGGATAAAATGCAACTACAGGGGTCAACAATGAAAAAAATCATTAAGCACTGGAGCACTTGTTTTTCTGATGTAACAGATTAACTTAAGTTCCTCAAGATGACAAATCAGGACTTGGCAGGCGAAAAAAAACATTCATAAATCTCACTGACAGAGGGAGTATGTTTATAGTTTAACCCATAAACTTTACATTCACTTAAACCTTGGATTAATTCCAGAATATTACAATTTATAATGGATGTGCACAGTGCATTTTCCCACCATAACACGATCACGCATGGTAATCATGTGGTTTTGTACACTGCGATTGCTGTAACTCATAATAAACCCCCCTGTCCTGCCAAGTGCTTGAGAGCAAGCATACCAAGTGTCTGGCTTTTAATGAGATGACATCGCTGTTATGATAAAGCTCAGCTGCACACAGAGATAAGGGGCCAATAAGCCTTTAAGCTCATTCTAAAAACCAGGACATCAGCGAAAGTACAGCAGATAATTACTTCTCATGGAAATGTACAGCACTTTTCCTCCGAGTTTTCTACCTGGAAGAGCATGGTGCGGTTCTTGTCTGCATCCGACGGCTGGACGTGGTTGGGTGCACTGGAGTGTCTGCGTCTAGTGGGGCCTATAATGACGCCTTCCCCCGGCTTCCTCTGAAGGTTCCCTGCCAGGCTGCTGCAGCGGGTACGAAACTCCTGAGGCTCCTCAAACCCTGAATCCTCTAAGATGCATTCTGGGAAAGTTCCTCGCAGACTGCTCTGACTGGAACTGCAGGACAGACTTTTACCTGAAGCAAAGATTGACCTTTTGTTAGATCTTTGATGAATGTAAGAAACACAGCACCTCAAACTATCAGGTACCTCCATAGATTTTCTTGACATTTCTCTCATAACTATGTTGCTTTTCTACATTTCCCTCGTCTCACATTTCCCAGCTTACTACTGGCGTGTTTTGATTTAGCGCTCTGTAAACAGCCATGGCCGTCTGAGTCTTACCCTCCTTGTAAATGGTGTCCATTTGCCTTCTGGACAACCGTCAAGTCAGCAGTCTTTCCCATGATTGTGATTTTGCATACTTAACTTGATTAGCTGGTACACTGTATTTAAAGTGCTTGAATAAGAATTGTATCCTACTGTTATTTTTACATTTTTGGCCATATTTGTTAAAATAATAATAATAATAATAATAATAATAATAATAATAATAATAATAAAACTGAACATTTTGACTTCGGGGTGAATTAAAATTCCTACTTTCTTAAACAACTGATTCGAAGTGATAAACTTTTCTGACAATGAGTAACTCAGGGTTTTAAGTCTTAAACACAACAGCATCTTACCTCCAGGCGGGTCCTCCACTCCAGGCCCTTCAACACCCTCCCTACTCTCACTCAGAGCAGATGACAGAGGGTCTCCATCTTCCCCCATGAGGAAGTCCACAGGTGCGTTTTCTGTGGACCCTCTCTGACCGTTGAGCAGTCGAAGGCGCTTTCGCTCCACCTCATGCTGACGAAACTTATCGATACAGTCATCTACAAGGGTGGATGGAGCCTTTTTGTGCATAACTGTAACCTGTAAATGAATCTTATTAAGCACCATTGATTTATTGCTTCATCAAATAACGAGTTAAATTGAAGCTTTTTTTATTTGTACCTTGCCGCAGTAAAGCACTTCATACTTCTGGGAGTTGTAGAAGGCATCATCAGCTTCCTGTTTTGGTTTGGCTTCTTCCTTTAGGGCGGATTTGGACACTTGGCGAATCCTGCTGATCACCTCGGGGACCTGTATGAAAGGAGAGACGGCCAGAGAGACATGATGAGTTGGAAAACAATGCAAAGGAAACCAAAACAAAAAAGAAAGGGAAGCGGGGTGGAAACCAAAACTTGGGGAAGATTCCTGCACAGCTCCTCTGTCGGGTTAACACGAAAATATGACTCAAAAAATGACACAATAGTGACACAAAATAAGAACTGCAACCTACAAGTAACCAAGTAGAGGAATGGTTTTGACTCGTTTTTATCCAGGATGTGCTTTCAATTTCAAACAGGATGCAAAAAGTTTTGATTTTCAGGCACTTACAGTTACAGGTGTTTTGCACCATTTTAATACAACATTTATCTAAAGATTGCAATGTAAATGTTAACCAGCCAGTCCCAGTGTGACCAAGAACCTGTTTTGATCAACAAATAATCCAGCCTGGCTTTATGCTGTGACTTTAAATAACTCAAGGCCAACGCAACAGCACTAGAATTTCACCAGCCAAGGCCAATGAACAACAGACAGACCAAACACTTCACTTGCAACAGAAATATGAGGCAGGAAACACCTTCACTTTATAGGGCAGAAGACAAAACAGCAGGCCTGAAGAAATCAGACACTCAAGGGTCACTGAGGCTGTTTATGCTTCGGTGCAAGAGATCCGTTTCTGTGCCTCACAAGCGACAAGTCATGGCAAAAAGTGTGATTCTTCTTTCAAAGCTCGCTCTTAAGCAATAGCTGGGAATAAAAGCCAACTGAGCTTAGTCATGCAGCATTTTTACTTTTCAGATTGCAACAGCTTTGGCAGACATAACAGGAGCAGCAATCTCAGAGTTCCTGCTCCCTTTTTTAACTGTCAAACCAGGGCTGCAGTCAAGGTCAGCTGAATAGCATGTTTGAAAAAACAATGAGTGCTTAAACAAACACACACGACGCACACATCTGCTATCTGATAGGACCTGAAGACTGACTGACTGTCAAGCAAATAAGTATATTTTGTACACGAGGAGGAGGAGGTTATGTAACACAATACATAAGTCTAACATTAGAGGTGTGACCAGGGCAGGATAGAAGCAGGAGGGCTAACAAACAGGAAGCTAATGATTAGGAATAATATGAACATCCTGATAAAAGTCTGTCTTTTTCTGCGAGTCATTTCAAAGTCCCCGTTTTCCAGGTGCCTGCCCTCCCGAGGGTTGAGCTGTGCCTGGCTGGTGACAGAAGGCTGCATTGAGAGGAGGTTGAGGGCAAGTGGTGGGGGTGGTGGCTGTTTGTTTTATACATACTCAGCCATGTCTTCAGGCAAACTAAACTCTGACCTGTGAAGAAGTTTTTCTTACAGCCAGCTGGCTTATTTTTCTGCCGTCTTAAAGGCCTCTTTAATAAAACTTTATAAGAACCCAGCTCTTATAATGCATCCTAAGCCCCTGTAAATGCATCTTTAAGGCTTTATTACAATCCTCATTGGTGATCATAAGCATTCATAACAGCTTATATCAATGTTTATGAAGCTTTATAAGCAGTGAGCATTACACCTTATAAATCTAAGGTTTATAATGTATTGTACCTTTACACAAAAGAGAAAACAGCATTTTTCAACTACATTTTTTAACTCAACCAATAGAAAGTTAAGTATAGGAGGTCAGTAGTAAGTAGACTTGATAATTAACAACAAAAATAACTGCTAGCTAGGTCCTGTAATGCACCTCCGGGGTGATAGCATAACATTTTGATCAAGTGTTCCACTGGACACATATTTAGTGTACCTCTAAGAGAGCAAGGGTATCAGACTGGGTTAAAAAGGGGGGCAGCTGGTTATGTGGTGCCCACAAAGCTATTAGAATGGACAGCCATGGGTGCGCACAATGCCAATTATTTTATGCTGTACCCTTGTGTCCAAGTGTAGGATGATTCATCAACCTTTTTACCAATTTGTGCAAGTAAAATGAAAATCAACCTAAAGGAGCTATCTTGCATCTGCAAAGCATACCAAGTGTAATAACGATATAACATGTCCAGACAATATCTGTTGCTTTGCTTTTTTTTTTTTCAGGTATTGGAAGGACTTAGTTTCCAGCATTTGCTCATGTGCTTATGATAATGGGTTCCCTTTGAACTGGGAATGTGGCCATAATTCTCTGAGACTGAAATCAAAGTGTGTGAAATTAGACTGGGGAGCTTTGCGGGAGTTCTGCATTAGAGAAGAGAGAGTAGACTCTGTGAGGTCAGGGGATGTCAAAGGCTTTGGGAATCACAGCTGCACTGCCTGGCCTTTGATCTGCACACCTTTGTCACAGAGGAAAAGATGATAGCGACATCTTAACATTTAAAGAAGCCGCTGGATTATGCATGAGCAAGATGATGCCCAGCACCTTTTGATCTGATTAATTATTTGTGGTCAACCCAGAGCAGAGCTAGTACGCTTGCTCATTCCTGGAGTGGAGGCAGGCACAGACAAGCAGAGAGCTGCAGCGGAAGAGAGAAAACCAGGTGCTTTGCTTTTTCACTGGAACTTTTCTCACACAGTACCTCCAGATATTACTATTTATCAAGCTGCTTACGCGTCCAATCTCCACCTTCACGCTTCAACTTTATGGAGTATTATCAGTGACACTGATTGTGTCCCGAAGCCAGTTTCTATAAAATAAAGACAGTTGAGCACAGCTTTAAAGCATTGGAAAAAATCAACATGAAGATGGTCCCCTGAGCTGGTAGAGTCCTGAGCACGCTCAGTGACTCAAATAAATCATAATATCTGGCTAAACAGTAGCAGGTACACAGTTCTGCTACTTTATCAGCACAGTTAAGAGGCAGTAAACCTTGACAAATTATACCACAAAGCCTGCAATCAGGCGTGATTAAACTTCTTTAAGAGACACACAGATTATCACTGAGTCAATAATACAAGATAGGGGAGGAAGCTGGAGTAGAGTGGATCAAATCACACAATGTCGAGTGTGAGGTCATCGATAAAAGCCGGCAAATTACTCTAATTATAAGAGACAAAAACATCCAATTAAAGCTGATTTCCTCAAAAGTCAAACTTAAGCTACTCTACTCGACTGGGAAAAATCAATTGCATGTCATAAAACTTCAAGCGCAAACCTGGATAAATCTTGTTGCACTGGTAAACAAATCTGTCTTTGTGTGGCTGAAGGGATTGGTTCAAAGACTCTCTGTTGTCACGTGTGTGCAGCTGCACCTCACTACAACCATGACATCCTCCCAGTGCTTTTCCATCTGCTGGGAGACTAACTTGGTTAAACAAAAGTTCATGTCTCAACTCAAAACAAAGCCTAACAAAGGCTCTTATGTCACCTTAACATGGGTGAAAAGCTAATGTCATAACTGGAAATCAAACTAATGTGTCAGCTGAAGAGGCTGCAACACATACCCAGATTTTTCTGATCTTTGTTTCAGCACCAGCACAACAGAAAGAAAAGAAGCTAAATTTCAGTTAAGAGGTAATCAGGGCCACTAAAGTTTCTCTTTCAACTACAAACAGGAACTTCCTTGATCCTGTGATCTACCAACAGGATAAACATTCGACTATGACAGTGATTATGTAGATAATTGTGGGTTGTTTTCACTCATTCAAAGCTAGATTAAGTACATATTCTGTTCTTGCTTGACAGAGAAGACTATACATTTTAGTCTTTCATGACAGCCAGGTAAGAATACAGTACACAGCCATGAGTTCCTCATTCTGGAAGTAACTTGATCATGTCAACAGCTATGTAACCAAAGCCAGCCCAAGACTCGCCATATGGGCTTATCAACCCCTCTCATATGCAGAGAGGTGAAGTGTTATGTCTGTGTTCTGTCAAACTGCTGATGGGAAAACAAAAGCAGTATTCAAATACAACCTTGCTGGCTTACAGACACCTGGTGACACAATATGATTATGAACAGGAAAAATACAGTGATGTATTCGAATATTTAAAGAGGATCTTTTCGCTGTGTTGATTTTGGCGCCCCCTGTGGACAAAGCAGTACCTCTTACTTTGTCCTTTGCCTGTATAAGGTGTATATTCTGATCTTTAAAAAATCACTCCCTTTTAACCATCAAATATAACACAGACCATGTAATATTTTCTGCAGTAGGTATACTGTGACATACCTCCTAAAGTACTATGGCCCAGTTCCACAAACAAGTGAAAAGGCACTAATAGATATGGGGAGGTGCCAGGTGCAGCTGACAAAGAAAGTGGAAGGCTGTATTGCAATGCATTGATGACAAATTCATTTTCTTCTACGCTGTTTTCCATGGAGATTGTTGATGTTTTGTATCTATTTACACAGAACAGAGTCAAGGGCTTTGCTGCTGATATGCTTTATTTTGTTGATATAACAACTTAAACTTTGCCCCCATTCTCCTGTCTAAGCAGGATGCACTTAAAGCGCAGGTAAAATATCATTTTTTGCTTTGAAGTGACAAATAAACACTGTCCTTAAAAAACTTGCTTAGGATTTCTCCACTTTTTCACTAAAATGTTGTGATTTCGTTGAAAACACCTAATTTTCAAATACTAATTTTTAAAAAATGAATGGAAAAAGCAAAAATAAAATGATTTTTTTGTAATGAAAAGTGAAGCTTTATACTTTGATGCATTAATTCATTGCATATTTATAAGACAAAAATATTTAGGAGTTTAAAACGTTTTGACCTGGAGATGTTCTTACACTCTTACTGAAGTCATTCCCTCCTGTCTACATACATTTTGAACAGTGCCTCTCTAACCAACATTGTGGTACTAGCTATATAACATGTCATTATAATAAAAAGCTTTTAAACTTAAAGACAAAGACTGACACCGGTCTGAGAGATAAGTATCCTAAAATCTAATGTGGTAATTATATATTTACTCTCACACCCAGTCAAGTCAAAGCTAACCTTTACTGTTGCCTATTTAGTTTTCTTAAGCACTGTCTGGTGTTACCCTAGTCCTGTCTTTGCTTATAAATGCAGTCCACTGTCATTACATGTCACCAAATGTGCCAAGAGGGTCACCAGCTGTCAGTGAGAGATTTCACTGTGGGTTGCATCCAAGTCAGAGCAGAGGTAGGAAGCACACAGGCCTGTGGTTTACACTTTTAAGGCCTGATCTCTTCAAAACTGGCCTGAAATCAACAAAATTTGCCATTTTTATGACGCAGTTATTTCTCTTCTGGGGGCGGGAAGCTCAGACACTGTTAATATTGAACTACAGGGATCCAGTTTTTTAGGTGGATAAATGTAAGCCAACTGCGACACAGTTATAATGTCACTTACTCTTCATTGATCAGTAACCAAAAGTCAACAAATCATGAGAACTGAAAAGGATATGTGAGGATATTTCAAATATGCCTGATACACTTTGCAGCAGGAGCACACACTACATAGAATTTGCTATGTGAGTGAAATAATGATTTGTCAGGTACCTCAAATAAAAACAGCTTTTTACAACAAAATTAGTGCCATATTATAGACACTTTTCAATTGCCCTCCTTTAACATGATATCAAGGGGAAATGGCTGCTGTGTGAATACGGTAAGCAGAGTTGAGTTGGGTCAGATGCAAATTTATCACACTCAAGGTGTAAATGAGTAGCTGACACTCTGAGCCAAGTAAAATCGAAGTAAACATTATATTAAAGTGTGTTTTTCCCATCTTCACTGCATGTCCTTGTCATTGATAAACCAGTCAAAAGTCCAATAACTGCTGAGTAAGCTTTAAATGCCAGTGTAGCTAAACTGTTCATGCACAAATGGTCATAGTTATATCAAAAACTTCAGCAATATATAGAAGAGGACAAAAGTTGTATTTCAAGTCAGACTTGAATTCAAGCACCAACCCTCCAAACAAAAGAGCACACACAATGAGACATTCCATGTTTATCTATAGATGATGCTTAGTTGGCATCAGGTCAAGTTGAACCTTTTTTCACTCATACAAAATCTAACAATAAAGCGATTCTTCCTCCTAAAGACAAAGAGCATCCTTTCATTTTAACCCGTCACAGTTCACATTATTTTAAAAGATACCATGGGTCCTTTAATTAGGTTTTACCTCATGTACCCTGATCTTGTTTACAGTAGGTCCGTCACATGAAAACAAAGTATGGAGTTACCATGTCCTCAAGTTCAGATGGGGCAAAGAAAAAAAACACACATGCCCAGTAAAAATCCACCTGACAATGACTACATGATTAAAATCACTGCAGCAGGGTGTTGTACGTGGCAGTAATGTACTGTTAAAGTAAACCAAGCATTCCACATGGTTCACCTTGCACATGTTGCTAACTCACTGGCTGTCAAACCAGTTTTCTGTTGCGCAATCATGCAAAGCGGGGTATGTTCAACATGCCTTTCTAACTGCTGCTGCTGCATGCACTTGAATCCAAGAAGAAGAGGAAGAAGAAGAAGAGGAAGAAGAGAGGACAGACACCTCGAAAGTGTTTGATAGCTCTTCTCTTTGCATCTCAGCTTTCAGCAGCAGACAAACAGCCTGCTTTGGCTGAGCACAGGAAACAGGATACACTACAGGCATATATGAGAATCAATGCAAAACGTGAGCGTACAACTAGATATGTGTTTGTAAATGCTGCATGTGAGGGTTGTCTTGTTTATTAAGGAAACACAGAAAGGTGTGAACTATGGGCTTGTCTTACAGCAGATGTAGAACAACTCCACAACATATGACATCAATTAAAACACATAAAAGGTGTGCAAACCACAAATGTCACCATGATGTGACTCAATACTGATTCCTCAGATTAGAATTCAAAGTTTGCAAAAGCATGGTAGGCCTAATGATCAAAGTGGATACCATCAGTCTGTTTAACAAAATTATAATCAGTTCAAACTATTTGAAATCAAAAAGCAGTGAAAATGCCATTTAAAAATTATTGCTTCACTTTTTGAGACAATTTAAAGCTCCCATGAGGAACTTTTGGTTGATGTTTATTTTGGCACCCCCTGTGGACAAAGCAGTCTTTCCTCATCTTGTCGTTGACATGCTTAAGTTGTGAGTTTTGACGAGAATTTCACCTTTCTGACTTTTGACAGTCCGATGTATCATTCATCATTAATCATTAATGATTTATATAATGATACATCTGAAATTAGCATGTTCTCTCTTTTAAACCACTGCAATTTTATTAGCATTTTTGAGCAGCACATTTCACTCAAAAACCTCTCAAACACCTCACAGATCAAGGGTTATATACACTTGGGGGCAAATGGATTAAATATCACCAAGAACTTCTTGCCAAAGTTGCCATCTATGAGCTAAGCACACTTAGCAGACTGATGTGATTGCATAACAGAAGAGGACAGACAGAGCTTTATTTACTAGAGCATGATGAAATGCTTTGAAATACTTTGCCACATTCAATTGAATAATATATTTTTGTGAAGATCATCAAGTACATTTCACTGCATTTATTTGAGTACCAAATCAAGACACCAGGACAAAATGCTTGTAAAGCTCCTGTGAAGAGTTTTGATGGAACAGACTTATATGAACAGTGATGCTTCTCTTCGATGCACAAAAGCAAAAACACCATTAGTGACAGGATCTACTATTTCTATGTTGTAATTATATTGCCTGTAACTGCTGTGAGACAGTAGGTATCCTGGAGAAACAGCCTTAGTGACATTTCCCGTTGCATGTATTCACAGTGAGTGATTTCAATGCAAAAAGACGACAAGGCACTTTCACAAAGGCAAGACAAAATCAGCAATAGTGTAAGGGTTAATATCATAGACTGTATATAGAATGGACAGTGTCTGCCTCCTCGCTGGGTGAAGCCGCTCTGAGATCAGCACCTTCTAGTGACTGGCTGCAGTATGGGTCATAAATCCCGCCTCCACCAGCAAAGCTTATGGAGTTGTGGACAAACTTTAAAAATTTATTACACAGAATATACATTTTTCTCCCCCCTGCTTGCAATGTTGACATGTAGTTACTGTAAGACTGGTTTGTGCTCAAGTCCTCTTTTTTTGTGCAGCTCTGTTTGTAAAAGTTATTAGAGGGTTCATGTTTTCTATGATTGACACCTGATACAGCCTATGGGCGTACAAAGATTGCGTAGCTCACCCGGGGACTAGCTGCTTGAACGGAGTGTCGTCATAGCGACTCTCGGGGAGTGTCTCGCCGCACGCGCACAACGCTACTGCACAATGCTGGTTTCAGGAAATGAAAAAAAAATCACGGAAATACCGAGAGCTTTTTGGCTTCAAATCTGTATACTGACGGGAGGCGGAACCAAGTTGTCCATAGTATATACAGTCTATTTTGTCCACAAGGGGCGCCAAAGTCAACACAGCCAGAAAGCTCTTCACAGGGGCTTTAATATGGACGATAAAATTAGATAATGGATCTCAAACATGCAGTACCGTACAATACACTTATTCAGTTATTCATCATGATTTAAAAAAAATCATTCCTTCAACAGCCCAACCATTAACTCCTGTTTTGCTCCAAACAATTTGTCGAGCAATAATCACTGTTCATCCACACCCATGAGCAATCACATACACACATAAACAAACAGGCCATTGGAGAACCTTTAGCGCACAGTGCCCCCAAACACACACTGACCTAAACTGCATTTTAGCAGAAAGTTGTGCACTGGTTTTAAGACCTGACTCCTATGTTCCTGATTTTGAACTACATTTTGATTTGTTACACAAGAGTGGCAACTGATCAGATCAGCCTATAAATGTGCTGACTTTGCACAGTTGTTATCACATTATAGGGATGTCTGATCCTCTGGGGAGGAAAACACAGACTGAGGTGGATTAACTTTGCAAAAAAATCCACAGTGATCTCTTTATCATTCTCGGTGGCCTAAATACTTAATACGGAAACAAACATGTTTGGATGACTGAATAATCTACTAAATGACACCGCTATCACCCCAAGGAGAATTAAATCTGTCTGTCCAGGGTTTTCCTTTGTCTCTTGTTTACACTTACAGTCTTAAAGCTGAACTTCACTGTAAATCCTGACATCATGGTTCATTTAAGGACCCCTGTGCCTTTCTCATTTCTGTATGGATTGCAGATGTTTCCATACCCTTTTTTTAAGTACATGCTGATGCCAACCATCCATTTGATACTTCCCTGAACAAAAAAATCTCTATGAAGCCTTTTTACTATCCAATATCACATTCAAGACTGTATCCAAGGCCAATACCAACATGGTATCTTAAAAGTTGTGATAGGTGGATTCATAGTGAGTTGAATTCACACATAAAAGTGTAACAGAGTTGTTTGAGTACTTTCCTGGAACTCTTGAGCAGTAAAAAGTAACTGAACACTACCTCAGCTGTGTGCATAATGTTTTGTTAGGCTCCTGCATTTGTCAGCCTATTGCTGTTTATCTGGTACATTTCTCAGTTGCTGCTCCTGCGTGTGCGTAAAGGTAAGCGTGGCACCTGGACAGGCCTACCTGGTTGGGGTCGCAGGCCTTGAAGACATGACAGGACATCTCAGACTCGGGGTTATCCGGTTGTCCCCGCAGCAGATAAGCGAAGTATGAGAGGTCATTGCTGTTGTGAATGAAGCGAGAGATGAGCTGCGCTTTGTGCTCGAATATAAACACTGAAGAGTTGTTGCTGCTGGAGGGGACACACCGCACGAAGGGGGGGTTGAGGACCAGCTGCACCTCTCTAGGCTGCACCACGGGGCCGCAGTCGTTCTTCTCACCTCTCCGGCGAATCTCAGCCACCAGCCAGGGTAGCATAGGCAGAGTAGTCCGCCTATCGAGGGAGGAACCGCCGATGTAAGTCAGAGAAAACCTCCGGTCTGACTTAGGAGGGCTGCTCTCCCTCTCATCCTGACTCTCCATGGTTGTGGACCCAGCTGGCTTACAGAGAATTTACAAAGACAATTGCACAAAAGTAAGCCCGTATATCATTTCCTTCATCCAAATGTCAGGCGCAGCTGTAGGGCTAGTTTGCAACACTCTTCATGTCCACATTCATCATAAAAGTTTATCCACTGATCACTATCCTGCTGCACAACATGTGCTCGATCAGCTGCTGCGCTCCATGTTTCCAAATCTCTCCATATCTCAACCGGACAGCTCAGCCTTCAAGGACTTCAAGTGAATTCGTGTGTTCGTGTTTCCCCCTCTCTTGTGTTGCTTCACTGTTTGCATGGGCAGGGAGTCAAACCCGAACACTCCTCCACTGTACTGTCCCAACCAGACTCGCTTGCTAAAACGTGGCTCTGGATGGTTCCTGTGTAAACAGAAGTCGCTCAGAGAAATCTGATGTCTTTGAGGGGTCGCACCCCATCGAGCGCGTTATTACAGTCCGTGCGCTAAGATCTTGTTACGCGCGGAGCGGATGCATTTTTCTCCTTTGACGTTCAGTTTAGTAAATATGTGATTCTACTCCCTTCTTGTAGTGTAAAATCCAGTCTTCTATGATCCTTTCTTCCACATCGCCTTGGAGGTGGGGCGGCTGTGCGCGTCGTTGACCCGCCCAACCTCCCACGTGCTGGAGGAGTGGGCAGAGCACAGTCGATGTGAGGAACGTGACAGGCCGGGGCTCCACCTTTCTTTAAGGAACAAAATAACTGGAAAGCTTGTTTCACAGAAGTGTGGAGTGTTTTCAGCCCCTGTGGCTCTGCTGGTGTACTCTATCTTAGTTGTAAAATCCATGAAGTCAATATTAGACTATTCCTTAAATCTGCAGATGCAAGTCTTCAACTTTATTTACAATTGTTTTTATGCATCCTGTACTGAATCAAAGCTATAAACAAATCTGTCCTCCAACACTCTACATGTGTTCATTTCAACCAGGTGCCATAATTTAAGGCCCTCTGCCTCTTCCCAAAATAGCTGCCGTGCCATATATAACCTCATCACCAAGGCAGAGGCCATTACAGCTCTGCACAGCCCTCTCTACAGCTGAGGACACTTTGGTTTACATGTTAGAGGTGAAGATGAAGCTGTTCACCAAATACACACAACTGAATAAAATACAAATAATGAAACAGATTTTAAACTACGTTGAATGTATGTAGTTCAGGTCCGGACTGGAAAGCTTACCAAGATATTCTTCTCAGGTGAAAGTTCAGTTGCTTAATTTATGTTTTATTCAGGTAAAGTACCACCTTATTAAACTAATCAAGTAAGAATAAAACGACTATATTTAAAATGTACTTTAGGCTCCTATTAGGAGGTTTTTGACATGTATGAAATAGACTTATAAGATTTAATAAGCAAACAAGACCATCAGTGACAAAACTGACAATTTTGCACTCTTAAGGTTTTGTTGCCTGTAACTACCACAAGGGGAAGGTTTCAGTGAAGCCGCTGAGGATCAGGCCCTGTTTTTGCCTCTCCTCATTCACAAAAAAAGATACATTTGACCGTTAAAAGTCAGCTGGATGAGATTATTTGTCAGAATATGTATGTGAAGGACAAGATCAGTGGAGACTTTTGTCCACAAGGAGGAGCCAAAATGTACACAAACTGGGAGTTCCTTAAAACCTTTACTTCTCTGACGACTATTCAAAGAAGTATAACTACACAAAAAAGCTATGCAATTACAGTAACATGAGTAAATATTGTAACTTTACCATCCTGGTTAGGATATCCCTTAGGTTACCACAGACCCTGTCAATTCCCCACCAGAGAGCAAAGACACCCAGACTTCATACTGGTTATACAAACTAAAAAATACATTAAAGCAAAATTAAGAAAAACAAAGACAAGTGCTGTAAGACTTTGTAATTTATACGTTCACAAAAAGCACGACAGTCAAGGAGAGATAACGAGAACTGTTGGACTTTACATTGAGAATCGAAGTATAAGCTTTTTGGAAAATTCAACATCAAGGGGGTCTCAACTTGCAGTGCAAAGTGTCTGACACTGAAAACTTGTCAATAATTTGATGTAAAGCCAATTTTGTCAAGCCATTTTGTAACAATGTAAAAAGGGAGATTTCCCTTTTTTTCATCTCTGGGCCACTCTGACACAAATCCTGATTCAAATCCACAGTACCAAGACTTGTCAGACCTGGACTAGGTTAAGTGAAGCAGTCTACATACTTTTTAAAACAGTTTTTTCAGTTGTTGTTCAGATTATGGAAATGCTCAGAAGAGAGATATCACTGCTTTTTTTTTTATACCTCAGACAGTTCAGTTTTACGTCTGTCAAACCATAAAAGTAGGAAGTGCGAAAGACAACAAATCAAGAGGCTCTGAACTGAGAGTCTAGATCCTCTTTTTCCTCGACAGAGGGATTAGAAACTGTGAATCAGAAACTGACTTCGGCATCAGGTTTGAAACAAAGCTGGTCTCACACAATCCTAAATTCCTAAGTGTTAAAAAAGCTCTTTGTGCTTTAAACTTTTATTCTAAAAAGTGCTGACTCAGCTTTAGTAACTCAGGCGGTTGAGATTGCATGTTATAGACAGGTGTTTCAACTCTTGTGTGTGCCTAAAATTACAGAAAAATTTTCAGTGGAACAGTGGACAAACACCTGTTCCTCAGCTGATAACATATCAACTGTGGTGTAAACATCATATAGTCTCCATAACAGACACAGAAGGAGACATAGGCTAATGGCAAAAAACACAGTGTCAAAATAAATGCAGAATCTTTCCCTGAATGATAAAACATGTATGCTAGATAACATATAGGCTGCATTGATATGTTACAATATTGACATTGTATTTGAACCTAAGAATAAGAAGAACTTTATTAATCCCCTGTTGTCTCACAAAATATGACTCTAAAAAGTAATCTACTATTTACACAAGAGTTATAAAGTCTGATAGCTGTTGGTACAAAAGATCTTCTGAATCTTTCTGTCCTGTAGCAAAGATAGAGAGGAGTAGTCCACCACCATTGGCCCTTTGGTCCATCAAGGTGTTGTGAAGTGGGTTATCCATGTTCTTTAGAATAGACTCCACCTTCCTCAGTGTAGATCTCTCCACCACTTGAGTCCAGCTTTGAGTCCAACCATAGAGCCAGCCTTTTTCACCAGTTTAATCAGACATCTTGCATCTTTGTGTTTGATGCTTCCTCCCCAGCAGACTGCATTGTAGAACAGAAACAGAAAAGATGTAAACAAGTAAAACAAGTAAACCTGTTTACTTGTTAAATAAATTATTCTTTTTTTTTTAATTCAACTTATTTTTGTATTTTTATGTAACATTTGTTTCCTTTGTATATATTTTTTGCTATCTCTTTAATATAACAGGACAAAAATGTAACATTAAGCAGAAAAAACTTTCTAATTTCCATTAAAAGTAAGAGGATAAGGGTCATTTTTGAATTCATTTTAATGACATTTCAAAGTAACTTCAAATTTGTTTGTAAAAGGACAAGATCTTATTGGAACCACTGATTTTTGCAATTGATTAGTTCAGAAAAAAGGGTGCTCTTATTAATTTATAGGCTTACAATAAACTTTAAACTTGCTAAAGAAAACAAGTTCACAAATTTTGAAGAAACAGAAACTACACTCAAATGCCCCAAACTTGGAATATAACATTTTCTTTATCTATTTATTTGTTTTACATTGAACATGTTTAAAACTGCACAGTAATAGAGCAGAAGGAGAGCCCTTTCAGCCCACAAGCAACAACGTCGCCCCCATCTGGCAATCAATGACAGGGCTGTATACCTCGAATTGAAAGTGAGATTTGGTCCCTTTCTGTCCAATCTGTAAATCACTTTGCGTAGTGGTTTATGTGTTTCCGTAAAACACGAAAGCTGCCTGTGTCATCACAAATAACTTCCTGCGCTCAATATCATCAGACTAGTCACATTGATCATACAATCTGAAGAGCAAACGCTCATGATCAGTTACGAACATGGAACTGTCTACTTTAGAGCTGATGTTATGGGTAACACAGAATCTAAAAAGACTTAATTGTGACAATATTGAGCTATTAAATCACCACGTAGGACACAAAGTAATGGTAGAATTAGTTAATGATTCGGCTTGTCCTTTGTATGCCGTAATTTACTGGCGCATCAGGATTTGATGTTTTCTGCAAATGGAAGCCCCCCTGCAAATTTCCTTAATGGTATGATCTTCATTACACTCACGGAAGCGATTTCCAGCTGTCAGATTTTGGTGAACCAGTTTCAGCCCTCAGTAGAAGGAACATATCTGTTAAAGTCACTTCAAAATGGACTGTCCACGCTGGTTGCCTCTTGAGTCGAATCCAGAAGTATGTGTGCGAATATTTTCCGATCTATATCGTTCAGTAGATGTCATTCATTCACTAGCATGTGAGTGCTAGCTAACCTGTAGCCAACAGATAGAACAAAAGCTAAAACGTGTGTAACTGTTTTTCTAAACCTGAGTGGCATTTTACTCATGGGTTTTTGTGTTTTTATTTCAGGTTATGACCAAGGTAAGTACTCATTACCTTACTCAGTTTAGCTCCGATTAGGTTTTGTTAAAAAGCTGCAATGATACAAGGCCTACTCAGAAACAATGCTACATCTAAGGTAACGTAAGCATTAAAATATAAGGTCGATAAAAAGCACAATTGTTTGAGTAAATATCATGTGATCAGAATGTATTGCTAAGTGATAGTGAGAATATTTTATGAACTGTGCTAGCTTCATGTAATTTTTACTATATATTACTCTACAGTTGTGCATATCTCCTTGATAATGTCGATGTAGGTGCTATTTACTGTGAAACGCCATCCTCTAGCTACGGTGGCCGAGAACCGCCACTGCTGCAAATAAAAAGAGAATGCAAAGAAAAAAAAATTAAAGCCCGTTGGAAATAAAAAAAGAAACGGTGCAGATAAAAAAGCCACAACAGAAGTTAACGGCGGAAAAAAAAAAAAAAAAAAAATGGCGATGGAAAAAAAAAGTTACTTACTGCTAAAATAAAAGGTTACAAAAAAAAAAAAAAGCCACAACAGAAGTGAGCTGTCAGGGACCAATAATGCTGACGCACCGGTGTTTTATGATCTAGGCACAGAAGACGACGGCAAGAAGACGAACAAAGAAATTATTGGAAAGGTTATTGTTTAATTTCGCTTCGTAAACTTTTCAGTGTGTCATTTGGTTAGGCCATATAGCGCCTGAGTCAATATGAAGTTGAACTGAAGCTAACACTACACCGGCTTTCTCCAGTACAACTTCATATTGACTCAGGCGCTACATGGCCTAACCAAATGACACACTGAAAAGTTTACGAAGCAAAATTAAACAAAAACTTACTTATTTCTTTGTTCGTCTTCTCGCCATCGTCTTCTGTGCCTAGGTCGTAAAACACTGGTGCATCATCATTATTGGTCCCCGACAGCTAACTTCCGTTTTGGCTTTTTTTATTTACATCCTTTTATTTTCGGAGTAAGTAACTTTTTATTTTTTTTGCATCAACCCCTTTTTTGCGTCATTAACTTCCGTTGTAGGTTTTCTTTTTCTTTTTTTTCTTTTTTTGCATCAGTAACTTCCGCTGTGGTTTCCTTTTTTTGCATTCTTTTTTATTTGCAGCAGTGGCGGTTCTCAGCCACCGTATCTATCAAATGGTAATTTCGTAACTATCTACCTTAACATAGAAAATTAGGTTTTAAAGGATTACATGCAAAGTGGGGACAACTTTTTTTTTACTTTAAAGGGTGTCTTCCCATTATATACCGTACAGAATAACAATCGGAGAGTTATGGACATACGTCTACTTTTCAAACTAATAATATGTTACAGGCTCACATTCTGGTCTTTTAAGGGTTGAGTAGAACTCAGACCCTGTTAGGGTAACTTTTTTTATCCATATGCATACAAGTTACTCTCAGCTTTTGTGTAGTTTGTCAATTGCTTGGGCATGAGACCAACCTGGCAATTCGGGGACGTGTATGGATTGGATCCAGAGCTTCTCAGCATGGTTCCAAGACCAGTGTGTGCAGTGCTGCTTCTCTTCCCTGTGACCGACAAGGTATATCTTATTGATGCAACTTCTTTAGGCAGTGTTTGACATGCTACAAGTGTGAACATAAATGAATAACATCCTTTATTTTGGCATCACACAATAGCTGCCCAAATCCTTTTAAACTGATTCCTTTTGTCTTCCTGCTCTGTCAAGTATGAGGCATTCAAGAAAGAAGAGGAGGAGAGACTGAAGGATCAGGAGGTTTCTCCTGATGTCTACTTCATTAAGCAAACTATCGGGAACGCCTGTGGAACAATAGGATTAATCCATGCTGTGGCCAACAACCAGTCTCACCTGGAGTTTGGTGTGTAGTAATTATTTGGCTATTGTTAAGATGGGAAATGGGATGATGTGAAAGTTGAATGTGGTTAACCATGATCACAATATGACTATTACACATGGGGTTTATTCCCTAGAATTTTACAGGTATTTGGTTTTATCATAACACACATGACATAATACCTTGCACAGCACCTTTTATTGTATTACAATAGCAGTGTATTTGAATGTCTTTCAAACACTCTTACATATTGTTTCACTAGATTTTATGTTTTGATGTCCTCTCTCTATAGAGTCTGACTCACCTCTAAAGAAGTTTATTGAACAAACCACAAAGATGACTGCAGAAGAGAGGGCTGCTTTTCTAGAAAAAGATGAAGTAAGAAAATGGTGGATTTTATTTTCCTGTGATATTTCCATATCAATCATTTTTGTGTTTGCACTCATTTAATATATATTTTTCATACTTGTTATTTCCTGTTACTTTGGTTACAATTCTTATTGTTCAGCTCTTGGGTTGTTCTAGTAGGGTAATATGTTTTTTGAGTTTTCTACTGATGTTTGTGCTCTTCGGCTACTTAAGTGCCTCGAAATAAGATTTAGTTTGAACTTTAGCGCTATAAAAATAAAGACCCACTACCCAAAATGTCTGTTACAGAACATTAAAGCTACCATTGACAAAATTCCAAAGTTTTGAAAATACATGACTGTCTCTTTTTCCGTCCCTCTTTTTCAGAGTATACGTGTTACACACGAATCCAGTGCTCAGGAGGGACAGACTGAGGTCTGTGTTGAGTTTCAGATGTTTCGGATATTGCCCTCAGTGGAGAAATCATTTTTGTGGTGCTGACTGTCTTTAATTCCACAAACTTAAAGATTTCTGTTTATTTCTTGCTTGTTGTAGGCCCCAAGTTTAGACGAGAAAGTGAACCTGCATTTTATAGCTTTTGTGAATGTCGGAGGACATTTATATGAACTGGGTGAGTTTCCATAAGTCTGCTCATAAATAAAACTGCATAAGGGGATTTGTCATGTGGTTGATTACTACAGCTGAAATTTGACTTTGATGAGGTTTTGTTTGTATCTAGATGGCAGGAAGCCTTCTCCTGTCGTCCATGGAAAGACTTCAGAAGATAATTTCCTGGAGGTAAGACATCACCGTAAAGAAAAAATATCCTCTTTGGATGTTTAATGTATCATTTTCCTAACGTGTTGAATCGTCCTGCAGGATGCCATAGAGGTTTGTAAAATCTTCATGGCTCGTGACCCTCAGGAGGTTCGTTTCACCATCATCGCCCTCTCCAAAGATTCATACTGAGGAAGCTCCCTCATGACCCTAGAAAACAAAGGAAGCATGACTGCCAAACATTCTCAAGTGCTGTCTTAATCGGAAATTTCATATTCTTTTTCTAAGCGCTTAAGCAACTGATTTGGGGAAAATGATCAAATGTCAGGGAAATCATTCTGAGTAGCATTGTTGTTATTCTGCACTTATTCTGGTTGGAGAAATTTGGGTGCTGCTTTGTGGCTAAAATAGATCAAAATCTTCCATTTTCTCTCTGTTGAAACATTTCCATCATTGAAAAACAGATGTAAGCTGTACAATATTGACGTTGCACTAAATTTTGTTTACATGGCTTGTTTGGCTTTCATTTGAAAGAATTTTGTTTGACACTGAGGGATCCTTGGATGTTTTTGATCAGAGGTAATTTAGTTTTTGATCATATGTCGAACCACATGGTCAAATTCTGCTGAAGAAACACATTTCGCTGCTGTAAGTGCAGTCATGGCTTTTGAAGCAGCAGATATGCTTGATGCTGTTGAATGCAGTAATGATGCTATAAAAGGCTCTTAAAGAAATTAGAAAGGTCTTCTGTAAGTGAGGCTCACTGAGACTGTACATCCATGAGGAGGTGCCTACATTTTTGTAATAAGAATCAAATTCTGACAAATAAAAGGCAAATTTAATAAAAATGTACTTCTGCTTCCTCTTTGTGACACATACAGCGTTTTACCTTTTGCATTTTGGATTGTTGTCAGATGTGTTCAACTTTATCAGGCGTACTGAGGAAAGTTAAACTTTTTGGCCTTTTGTTGGTCAGTCATGGAAGGAGAGGTCCAGAGACAAAACAGTGTCTGCAATCGAAATCAAAAACCCTAAATTACACTAAGGAAGCATCTGTAAATGTAGCATAACTCATTAACTTGTCTGACTTTGGTAAATGTTTTTTTTTTATTTTTTTTTTTTAAGTGCCATAACAAACAGCAAGAACAATTACAGCCAGTAAATCCTGTTCTTAAGTTCACATAGTAACCTGACTTGCTTTCGCTGGTCCTGTGATTTGCCAAACTCTTATCTCAATCTGAACTTAGAAGCAAAGTGTGTCTCAGGTGACTCTTTTCTTGTGTGTCTTGTCTGTTTAATGTTGGCCTCACCTGAAGTGAACCTCAGAGAAAAGATCTCCCAAGTACCGACATTATTGCTGACCTGATGGCCTCAGTTTAAAATCAGACATTCACAAAATCTGCATTTGGTCTTCAATATGTACCATGCTTTCAAAATCAACAGCTGAAATACTGTCCCTATGTGTCTATTAATATAGAGGGTGTAGCCCAGGAAGTGAGTGTCGAAACTTATACTGATTCCAATGTTCAAAAATAATTCAGCTGATTCTCATACAGTCTCTTTCTTTTAATTGCTGCTCATTTTATCTTCTTGTTTGTAGTTTCCTTAGGTGAGCCTCATAAGAGAAACACAAGTGAACATTGTTCGAGTTATTCAGGCCATCACTTTATATTTGATAATTCAATTTTAAAAATTTACTAAAGAAGCTTTTGTATTGTCATATTTTACAAGGTTACAATCTTATTTGGCAATAAGAAGCTGTTTTTACTATGTATACAAGTGCAAAGTTTACACTTTCTGTGTTTTCCAATGCAAAAAAGTCAGACCTTAGTGACAATACCTGAAAATGCTCAACACAGTATTATACACTACCTGTACAGCCATTTGAAAACTACAGTAAAGTTACACATCACTGTATTTAGTGAGGTAACTGAGTACAAGACATGTATTTTTCACGTATTTACTGCGTATGCTCTTTGCAAATCTACAGCATTGTGCAAAAAAAAAAAGAAATTCACATTCACTTATTTAGAACAAACATAGGAAATACAATTTTGGTTGAACTGTACACAAATATAAACAACATAACAGTACATATTACTGTAAACTGAACATAATTTATTCCTGGATATTCACAGTGGTTCTCCCTACATTTGGTCGCACCCGTTACCCAGCCTCAGCCATAATGAGGCCGTGATTGACAACATGGTCCACAAGTGTAGCCCTAATCTCATCAGGGATTTGACTATGTGCTTCACCTCTTCTTCCTCTGCCCCTGTTTTGCCCTCCTACAAACTAACAACTAATGCTTCACACACCTCCTCATGAGTAAAAGCTGAGGTTCACCTGAGAGCAATTCTTCAATTTAGGAGACATTTACAGGAAAAAATGATAAAAGAATGTTTGAAATCAGTTTGACAGATTTTGACATCTAGTTCAACAATTTTGTATGTAATGACTCGAGCAATGAATTGAGGACTGTTAGTTTTATAGGGAATAACTATTCAGCATTCATAGGTATAGTTCATTTTGACTGACATGACATAAACAAATGATAATGTTATAAAACAGCAGAATTGTATGAAAGTAACTGACACATGTCCAAGAGCATTTGCAATTTGTTCAGAGGAATGAGAAACTGCTACGAGGGTGTGCACAAATGACTCAGTGTTGTGGAGGTTGAACTAATAGTCATAAGAACTGTCATTCTGATTTAAGAAATGCACCTAAGCAACAGAGAAAAACTATATCAGGGTTCAGTTCACAGGCTCTGCAGTACACTCTAATCACCGCTGGATGGCAGTGTAGGAAAGGTATGCGTTAAATCAGCAGAACTCCTTCAAGTAGAAGAATTTGCTCAAAGACGAAAACTCCTACAACTCCTAACTTAACTGTCTACACACACTTCTTGTGGATGATTTTCGTCTCAGGAGAAAGTTTTATCACTTGTAATGATCCACAGTAGGAAATAAAAATGCGAGAAGCAGTTTCAACCTCAGTCGAAGAAAAAAACACCTAGAAACTGATATCCTGTAACTGCAGACTCAGGCTTGACTCGTTCACCTGGAAGCTGCTGAGAGACCCGTGGGTGGTCCTCGAACCCCGCTTTGGAAACGACCCCACCTCAGCCTCCTCCTCATGAAGCTTTGGAGTAGAAAAGTCAGCGCTCCTGTGAGCTCAGGTCGACTTGTTTTACTCCTGCAGAGGTGGAGTGTGGAAATATCTGCTCAAGAAAAGCAAAAACCGCAGCACAGGTGTGTCGGATGAAAGAAAAGGTAAGCAGGAACAGAGAGATGCAGAGGGAATGTGTCACTGTTACACCTTACATTCATTCACTGATGACCTGCTTAAAATGAACAATAGACTACATTTTACATGAATGAGGAGTGTGATTAAAGGTGCACCTATGCTTTTCCTGACTGCTTGACGGGTTTTTAAGTGTGTACTTGTTTAAAGTTTCCCACATTTGTTTCTCTGGACTTGTACCTTTCACATGCTGTGACACTGCTAGGAAGCCATTGGACATTATCCGGTGCAGCTCGGATAATAAGTTTTTGTGATGGAGTGGCGTGAGCAGTCTGCTGTCAGCTGTGATGAAGCCTACTTGGAGGCGCAGAAGTGGATAGAGGTGAGTGAAAACATTTTATTTCATTATCTTTCGAAACAGTTTTGGCAGGGTTTTAGCTTTGGAATCGTTGGAAAAATGTTCATTTAAAAAAAAAAATCCCATTTGAAAAGAGTGTTGTTTTATTGTTTAGTCTCTACCCTCATAGATAATGGGTGATTTGGCTATTCAAAGTTACCGAGCAAGACCATCATGATTCTAAACAGGCTGCAAAACTGAGGTTTTTCTTTCCAAAACATCTCTCTATTCACTTTAACTTGTTTGTGTTACGCTTACCTTCCCTCAAACTTAGAATAAAAATCTGCACAAACAAATGCATGATGAGAACTATCACCCTTGATTTCAAGTCTCAGGCTTCTCACAAGATAAGATCAGACTTGTTATTTCATTACAGCAGCTATGCACTCCTCCAAGCATTCAAGTGTTGTCATTTAGGTACAGGTAAATGAATTTGAGCCCTGTCGTCATAGTTTTCTCTCTGTTTCCTATGATAGATCTTGCCCAGACCTGCTCTAAACCTTTATATGTTTCCCGGGGCTGTTACAGTACATTAGTGAGCATGTAATGTGGAAATCTGTCAGGCAGTTTGCTTTGGTGTCATAAAAATATAATGGGAATTGATCAATCCAGATAAATAACTAACTGGGCTCAGTTTTTGTTTATCTCTATAATATGGTGAACTCTCTGCTATGTGATCTGAAATGTTAATGATTAATCAGAAACTTGCAAATTTCTTGTGAATGTGTAATTTTAGGTAAAGAAGTGCTACTTGTATGATCAGCCGTGCAAAAAAAGCTTCCAACCTCTTGAAAAACTTTCCATCAGTCCCTTTTCATTGCCATAACGTTACATTATGTTAAGTTTCCATCCCAACCTCCAGATTCTTATTCTTTTTTCTTTTCTTTACAAGCAAGTGGATTTAATGTTTTCCCCTTTCTCAAATTCTCTCCCCAGCAGGGAGGCGTAGAGTTGCGGCATGGCTGTAACTAAACAAATATTGTTCTAATTTCATGAGGGGTGAATCTGAATGTTTGTGATGTGACATCAGTGTCTCTCACTCTCGCACACTGGCCCATTGTGGTGGCTCTACCTCGTGGGCTACGAAGGGGGGAGGAAGATTAGGGGGGAGTGAGGAGGAATCTGAATAGGTGAAGGTATGGGCTGATGGATTAGTTTATGAACTGTTTAGATATGAGAGGTCTGGCATTATGGGAGTAAAAAAATAATCAGAGAGTGAGTTCTGGCACAGGGGGGACAGTTTCCCTTCAAAGAGAACACTTTGTGATTATTGGATTCTGCCCCTGAATGATTAACAAGCTGCTGGGCTTCACGGCACTTTAAACAGTCGCATGTGTGCATGGCGAGGTTGGTGGTATTGTTAAAACGAAATGGTCTGGAGCCTGTCACATGGACGCATTCCTGCATTAGCTGCCATGGCTGTGAACATAGTTCCCCTCAGAGCTAGCCAGCTGTCAGCACAGGGCGCCGCGTCCTGCAACCACAGGCCCGACGTGAATAATAGAGGTCCTTGTTAATTGAACAGAAAGGCTGTAAGTGTGACTGTTATGACCGTCAAGAACAAGTGGCAGTGTTGATGCTAACCAGAGGTCAGGGGAGCGTGCATATAGCCGCCTGTCAACACAAACACAGCCGGTTATGAATAATTAGTATGCTTTTTTGTCACATTTCGCCTCTTTCAAAGCAAATGTAGGTAATTATAATGGTAAACAACGAGCATGGATACCAATGCCAGGAGCATCATGCCAGTTTTTCTGGTCTACAGCTCGTTCAAAAAGCCTCCAATGAGGAAGGTGTTCCTCAGAATGCTCGGAATACCTTTTGAAACAGGTTTTAGGTAGAGTTTCACTACAGCCATCGACCTAGTTTGAGGTCATGTATTGACAATCACTTTAATCCTTAACCTCTATCAGATTTCAGCTCTAGGTTTGATCTCATTCCCAAGCATTTTTGTGTTCGGCTTGTTGAAACAGTCTGGATTTAAGCAACGAATCAAAGGCAACATATTCCCCTAGAGAAAATAAATTCTGAAATTCACACAGTAATGTCTCTGAATGCCAAAAATGATTTATAAGATTTATAATTTCGATGATATTTCTTTATAATGCCTTTCACTACTGTGTGGGGTAAGTGTCAGGCAAAGCTTTTTACGCAGAACTAAGGGTAAAAAAAATGCTCCCCTCTTTTTTTCCTCAACTATTCTTCATGATGAGTGACTGTTTGGAAAGCAAGATGACTTTCAAGCGAATATTACAGAGCAAGCTCTGCAAAGGATCGAAGAGGTGTCACTTTGTCCACAGGGGGCGCCAAAATCAACACAATCAGAAAGTTTGTCTCTGCTTTTTTTTTTTTCGTACTGGCACATTTCTGAGAATATATGGTCATAAATGTTGCCTCAGCATATGAAATAGTTGTGGAAATGCATTGTCAAGAATAGGTACAAACCTTGTTCGGGTTTCATCTTAAATGTAAGGGGAGACATTCAACAAGGAATAAACAAAGTAAGGAGTTCAAATATCCTTTTTTTTACCTCTTTTATGTTAGGGACAGATGTTGCCATCAATTTTAAGAATACCCTCTATAAATCCAAACATTCTTTAAAATGTTGTAGTCATTACAGATCATGTTAGTATGTACACAATACACAACAACATGAAAAACTATGGACTTAGAGTGCACAGTATAATCAACAAAAAACAAAGCTTTGCGCTAAATAAACAAATCATCATAAGAAGTCAAACCACTTTTTGTCTAAATTTGAGCAAAATTACTGTGAGGGAGGGTAGGATGTGTTGCTAGGTGGTCCTTTTTATAAAAGATGCCTATTTACAGCAGCAGAATAAAAGAGAAAGATCCACAAGTCCTGTTGTTAAGACAAACTAACTTCTACTCAGCATCAGTTAGTTGATTTGCTGCCTGAAACCTGGAGGTTGATTATTTTAAAACGTCTGAATAAAGACTTAAGCTTGGCTTGATATCAGTGTTATAGACCATGTTTTTGTATCCTCCCCCCTTCATTAACCCCAACCCATTTAAAACTGGATCAGTGTTGTTTGTTTTTCCCGTATATTTGTTCTATAACTTGTTGGTCCTGCTGCCCTCGACCCTCATGAATGTCTTTCCGTGACCCCCGTTGCTCTGTATCTGCGTTGTTGTTCATACCAGGATCTGACTGACTGGACCGATCATTAGTCACCTCACTGTAGCTCCATTCTGTTTCTTTGACTGTCTTGATTGAGAGCAATTAGAAAGTAGGACACATGCATTCAGATGAACTCACGTGAAGCAAAAACCTTGCACAAGAAGCCATTCACCCGCTGATACATGTTGTTTTACCCTCAAACTTGGATTGTGTTACCCCCGATGGTAAATTTTTCTTGTGCTGGAAATATTTGTATAGTGTCCCAGCTGACCTCTGATGACCCCTGTCCTGCGCAGAAGAAACAAAGAATTTTGGGAACAATTAGTGGTGGGGGGCTGCACCCGCACAAACCTTGAATACTGATTTGCCTCAGTGCCCTGCATGAATAAACAATAGCTGTGGTTGCGAACCCACAGACTCCTTGATTCTACCAAGACACCATTCTTGATTCACTGCAATGATAACAATTAATTTCACATATGTTTAGAAGCACTTCAGCTCTGTAGATCCCTGTATAATTTTTGAGAAGTTGCTGCGGCTCACTTCAAACCCTCATTGAAATGAGCAAACAAGCAGCTCTATCTAAAAAATAATGTAGAAATGAAATATAACAAGTTATTTTCATATCACATATCACAACTTTTTGTGTCATCTTATTGCAAAAAAAGAGTTTTTACCCAAGAGTTTGAGTAACACACTTAAAAAGGTGTAGTCATGCCACATCCTATCAGTTTCAGTTTGTTTAAAAGTTTTAGTGTTTGACTTAACCCCCTAGTGTAGAAAAATGGGTTTATTATGGGAGTGGAAGAACACGCAGTTCCTCCAGTGTCCACTGGAGGCCAGCTGTAAAGGCCCATAATGGTGTGCTTAATTTTATAGTAAATTAAACATGTCTACAGTCTGTTTTGGGCTCTATAGCTCATTTATTTATGCTCAAATGTTCTACTAGATTCATTTGACCCCCCTCAGCTCCATCTCTTTGCTGATTTTAAGATGAGCTGAAAGCATCTACCTGTCTAAATGGAGTTAACTTTAAGTCATTATGTACTGCTATAAAAGGATCCAAGCACTTCTTCACTTAACTTAAAGAGCTTTGGCTTAATTTTGGTGATAAAACTTACTAAATTAAATGCCAGATTTCACTCACAGTTAAGTACTTTTACACTGTGTCATAAAAAATGTAAAAAGGTTTTACATTTTATCCAACAAATCACACAGTCTTTTCTAGCTCATATGACTTCCTTTACAGTGTGAAGACCTGAGCTTGTATTTTATTATGAATCATTATTATGATTCAGAACAATATCTTTTTTACCACACAGTTGTTACAGCCCATCTCCTTTAGTGTACATTTTGTCATATATGGAAGTACACACCTGCCTCCTCCTTCTCCTCTCCCTGCTCTCCTCTTTCAACATGTGGCTTCCTGATAGTTTGCACCACTGTATCACAACATATTGAAGAAACGGCTGTCAACCATTCATCTTAATTTGAGTGGCAACTTCCTGATACTCCCAAAGTTTCATTCACATTGACTCAGGCTGCTTATGATGAAGTACAGTAGGAGCTGTTTGAGGGGAGGGGTGGCACCCGCGCTCTGTTGTTTTGGAAGAGAGGAAAGGTGTGCTTGATTTTACATACAGGACATCACAAGGGTGGGACACTCAGCAGTTGGCTCAAAATCATTCAGTCTTGATAATCTCATTTTTATGGTCGTGGGAAGCCATAATTGCAATTGACATTTAAATCTGATTAAGATGTAATATCAGTGTCTGTAAAAAAAAATAAGTTTAATGGGCTTAGATGCCATGCCATCAAAATCTATTTAGACTTTATTACATAATCCAGGTTGTTAGTTTAAGCCTGTGCATTAATACTTTGACTCTTTACTGACTCATAACAAAAAATAGTACTTGAATCTGGAAAAAAATAATGTTCCTGGTCATTTAGGTTTACAAAGTAAGAACATTTACATCATTATGTACATGCTCAGGTCTTTCACAATAACCTCAAGTATCTACAGTACAACCACCTGACTTTATTTTGTGATTTTTATACACTGAGTAGGACTTTAAAAACTGAACTCTATAATGGAATAAAAACCAGGGTATCCAGGTGCCATGAGTTGAAAAGATTTATATCCTGTAATGAGCCACATTTCAATCTTTTATTGCAGTGGGTTGTCATGAGACTCAGTTCTTCCACACGTTCAGCAGCACATTCTTGAGGGGAGCGAGGGTGGGTTTTGCAGGAAGGCAAGCTGTTTTTGAAAATCCCTGCCCCTGCCTTAAATCTCCCTGTTAAATCGGAGTAGCAGTATGTTGCTGCAGATTAGACTTGTTATCCCTCATGGCAGGTTCAACAGGAGAGACAGAGGGGAGGGGGCGCACAGCAGGCTGGATCTGAGGGGAGTTAATACCTCTAATGATGACGATAGTGAGGAGAAAAGTATTTTGTTACAGCCAGATTAGTGCCAGGGAGGGTCCACATTACACACACGGACAGGGAGATAATATCTTGATTACTCCATTCAGTCTGCTCGGGTGATGTCATGTGTTATCTTTTAGAGGAGAAACTTCAAAGTAAAAACCAACGAAGGCTGAAAGAAGTGATCAAAATGATTGTGCTGCTTCCACCTCTATTATGTGCAAGCGTGCATATGCATGTTCCTCCTGCCCCCACATACACAGAACAGTAGGGGTCAGGATTTCATATGCCAACTGCTGCAGCACTCGACTGATTCTACACTCTGCTGTACAGACAGTTTACTCTGTGTGTTTGGTTGTTTGTCTGTAGCCTCATATTTCTTTGTTTCTTTTATATTTTTAAGTCCCATGTTTTTATCTGTGAAACCTACAAGGGTCAAATTCTCCATGCGTTTGAAGACAGAACTCTTTCCTAACTCTATTTGATCATATTTTGCAAACTTAAATCTCCTATTCGATCTATTCCAACATTGTGTAATCTCTAGGAATGATGGGTATTTGAGGACACAGCCTTCTCAAGTTTCCCAGGGTGTGTCCTGAGGTGTAACACGGCCTTGTTTGAAAGTAATAATAGTGTCCCCTACTCAATCTGTCATTCCACCCAATTACTCTGTATCTAGCATTTCTCGCACTACTCAAAATGACAGCCTATAGTTAGCGATGAAGAGGTAATTGTCCCGAACTTCCCTGGAAATGAAAGGGGACAAAAGCTTTGAAACACAGTACATCTGATCAATTTGTTGGTAAGACCAGTTAGGCCTGTTCTGCCATATGCACACACCAGTTAGAGAGCAATTTGTTTACTATCAGCCTTACTGTATACTCACAGTGTAGCATGTGTTCTCATCCATTATGTTTGCCTACTGAGTTAATAGATTTCCTGGCAGACTAGCTCAAACACATACAGAGGGTTATATGAGGTAAGTGAAGCTTCACACAACAGCTTTGACTTGATAACTGAATAATAACTTGCCAGGTGTTTTTTTTACATGCCTCATCAAAAATAGGCTGAAAGTTAAATATTAAGATTGTAGTTACCCACTGAGCATTTTTTGATCTAAAATAGGTGTAATAAACATCTAAATGTAGCCTAGACGAGGGTCTAAAATCAGGCTACCACAGGTCTAAAAATGAGAATTTTTTAGAAGTCTAAATTTAGACCAAGTCTAAATCTGGGCTATATCTATACTACACTGTATATTGCTCAATGGCTATCATAATTATTTTGGTTAAGTACTTGGAGATCAGTTATGCAACTCACAGTGACTTTTTGAAATAAATAGTCATCGAATAATGGGTTAAAGTGCAACGTCTAAACTCAGTCTAAAAATATACAGAATCTAGATGGTTGAAAACTAGATGCCTAATAGCCGTCCATTGCTCAGTGGGTATAAACAAGAAGTGTTGCAGATACCACACCAGAAAAGATAAAACAATAGTGTAAAAACCAGTAGAGGCTCCTGAAGTGCAACTATCAACAAAGAAGTAAGAATAAGAAGAACTTTAGTGACTTAAATTAACTTTATTCTAGTGTTAAAATCTGCTCAAAATACGATATAAATAAGAGGTTTATTAGAAACTGTTCATTTGTTTTTTAATGTAAGTATTTATGTTGTATGCTCATCCCCCAATAGGTCAAGAAGTTGATTGTGAAAGCATAGAAAAACAACTAAAACAGAACAGGAAGCTGTGTTGAGGAGTGGCCTCCAGCGTAAATGTGATGTCCCATGACAAATAGGCTAAACACATAAAGCATGCATAAAGACTTAAAGTGGTAGATACACCACAGATGAGTGCTGTGTTTGAATTTAAGGTTTGTTTCTGTGTGTGTACTATACATCGCTGTGTGTTTTAAGTGAATGAGGCTGCATGTCTGTCATGCATGCAATGTGTGTGTGTGTACATTTCCCTGCATAAAGACTCTTGGTGTCCCTGCAGTGGTGGTTTGAGATCATGGGAAAGGCATGAAGCTGTAACACAGCGCTGTGTTCCTCCAGATGCTGCCATAGCTGCCTCTGCTGCTCCAAGACAGATTTAGCACAGCTTTCACGTTTCCCAGCAACTTTTAGCGTTAAAGTGAGAAAAACTCGAGCCGCTGGAGAACTTCTGAGAAATACCTGAAGAACTCAACTCTGTCCTGGAGACACTGTAGGAACTCAGGAGGAAATACCTCTGACTTCCTCTGCTACTGTTCTCAACATCCTACCTTTCTTCTCCAGCCTCCCCACCCTAGCGCACAAACACAAACCCCCGCCTCCCCTCCTTTACCAACCCCTCTCAGTATTTTTCTCACTGTTCTGTATCCTTTTTTTTTTTTTTCCAGGCTGTAACCAAGAAAAAATTTGGGAGCAACGACTTCCGATCAGCGCTGGAGAATGGCGTTCTGTTGTGTGAGTAAGTACGCTGCTTTTTTCCCAGGCACCTCTCTCTTAAGCCACTCATTCATATGGAATCCCACTGCTCTGCCCCAGGTCTACGTAAGTGTCGCTGATGTTTCCCAGACGGACCCCCTGCTGGGCCACTGTTTGTTTGTGAGCAATATAAAGTGAGCCACTGTTTTCTAGACAGCACAATAGAGGCTGTTAATAGTAGTTTTTTAAAGTTCTTTGCGTCTGATCTGCCCTCTGTTGTTTTGTTTAAGAAAATGAAGTGTGATCTATTTTTAAGAGGAGTTGTTTTGCATGTGGGGCAGATGTTAGAGATCTGTGGACGGGGCAGAGTGCCATCCTTACTCTAATTTGAGCTGTGCAGTGAATGGAAAGCTTCTTGCTGAAACCACATGGAGGAGCGAGGGCAGCGTGCTTTTTCATTAACTCAGCTGCATCAAGAGTTCTGATGAGCAAATTTATCTACATGGAAATGTTTTCATTCAACGCCTGCTCTTCTAAGAGTTGCGGGTTGTTTTCGTGTGTGAGAGGGTTTGCATCATGTCTCTTTCTGCATGTGTTTGCGGGCTACGCTGGTGGATGGGACACGGTGATGTGATTTGCACGAATCAGCAGGAAGCCGTAATTACAAGCAGTCCATGCAGAATCCTCCAAACCTCTGTTGGCTTCGATTCAGAGAAGACGCACTCCTTTCTGCTGATCCGAGCCTGACTCCACTGTTTGCTCACTTGAAGAGAACATCAGAGACACTTTCATTCAGGGAGCTGTCTGTGTTTTCTCAGCATGAGGAAGAGGAAGACAGAGATTAAATCGCTTTCACCTAAAAACTCAGCCTCCTGTCCCATTGTGTTGTGGTTATCTTAACAGCTTGGGGAGGTTTGTTTAGTGCAGGTCGTGCACATGATTATATCCTACTTGGCTTCCAGTGTGTTTGTTATCTGATGAAATCATCACAGCTCTCTATTGTTTCACGGCTAAATGACTTACTAAGACCGAAATACCTTTTGCATTCCTTCTTAACATCTATTGTCTTAACTCTCCTCATCACACACATCCACCTAATCCATCAGCTCAGAGTAAAAACAGCACAAATAAGCACTTAACTTATCATATGTTTCAGTCTTTTGTGAAGATTGAAGATTACCTCCTTTACAAACAGTAAACCTGTTTGCAGATTTGTACAGATTGGGATCTTACTTGAAAAACGGTGTCACCCAACAGCATTTTGAAAATGCCAACCCAAGACATTATGTAATGTTGTTTACTTGTTAGTAAAAACAATTCAGTAATACACAGTATTGATTATGTAACACCTCAAATGAGCCATTTTATAACAACAATACTAAACTTCTATTCAAGAGCTTTGATGAAACTTTTGTTAAAAGGAATTTCAGACTTCTGCTGGTGTTAGAGTATTTTCACACACTGTCATTATTAAAAAGAAAAATATCTGAGCCCTTCCATTGCTTGCAATTTTATCAGAATTTTCAAGCCTCTGTCTTAGGCTTGTATTTAATGATCAAACCGATGAAGTCACTAAATAATTATTCTCTCTTCTTTGCCTCTCTGTCTCATCGTGCTCACTCTGTTCCTCTGCTGTACTAACACACACACCTTCTCCCCGCTCTGGCAGTGCTATTCATTTCCCCTCACTTTACCTGTGGCTGCATTAAAGTTTGTACCAATGTTGCACAATATGCTTGAAAATACAGCAGCCCTCACTTTACATACTCTGAGCTGCCGGTCCCTTGGTGCGTTGGCACACAGGGAGATGCCCAGTCATTGCCACGACTTCCTTTTCTCCTCACTCTCAATACAAAAATAAAAATAAAGGCAGAACATGATCTGTTAAGGAACCGTGCAACACAGTCAGAGTTAGTAAATGTTGAATCTTGATTATCATTAGAAACCAAAACTGATATTCATCAATGGGTCTTCACATCCAGCATCTGCGTTTGGTTAAGATGTCCCATAATGACCATTTCCAAGTAGCAAAGTGATTTGCTATGTGATGTTTTTGCGTATTTAGTAGTTTAATGTTGTTTTTAGATTGATTATCTAATAATTATTGATCCATTTGTTTGTCTTGTCTTGCCAAATAGTTACTATTACTTTTACCATCGCCTCTGCACTACACTCTCTGTGACTTTTCGGTATATTTCAGTGTGCTGCTTTCAGGCTGCTTCAGCTTCTGTTTCAGTGTGGTTAAAGTATATTGTCTGCACTTGAACTGTGGTATTTTTGTTATTCTATTTTTATGTAATTTAAGTCCTGTGCTTCGTTGTCTGCTGCAGACCCTTTTGACTTAGGAGGAATAAGTATGTTAATTTTAACCTAGAGCTGCAGATCAACCAGGAAACAGGGGATGTGGAGTATTTATGCGCTTTAATGCACTCAGTATTGGTATCAATGTACCATAGATAGATATTTTTTATATTTTTTCATTTTTAAAAAATTTCACCTCACAAATCCATTTTCCATCCATCCCACTGCAGTTTTCCTGAGTTTACCACTGCAGTGATTTCAGGTCTGTCTGGGGTAAATCCTGTATAAGAGGGCATGTTTAAGGAGCAAAGGACCTGGTGTGTTTACATCAGGGTGCAGCACCGGCCATTTACTAAACTGGAGCCAGGTGGCCACCATTAAACAAAGTCGTAAACACACAACACCCAGACTTTAGCAACACTTTTTTGTTCATTCCTTGCTAGTTAGAACAGTGGAGCCAATGACCTGGTGCTTTCACTTATCCCCTTTTCTTCTGTCTGATGTTTTGTCTCTCTCTCTCTGTCTTTTGTCCTCAGTCTGATCAACAAGATCAAACCTGGTGTTATCAGGAAAATTAACCGGCTGCCCACACCTATTGCTGGACTGGTAAGTCTTCCTCTTTTTTAAAGATTTCTATTTTCATGACGCTTCACAGACACGTGTTACATTTCATCCTAGCCAACTTCACACGGCCTCCCCCCTTGTTATTTCTGCTTCATGTTCGCGCTAAAGTAAAATCTGTTTAATGTGTGAAGCGCAGCAGCACTGGAGTTGACTGGTGACGGATCTCAGGCTCAGCTGCCAATGAGAGCGAGGTGTTTGCCTCAGTGGTCTGTCGCTCCTCATATCCATCCACGCTAATAAGTTCAGTAAACGTGGAGCTGCTTGAAAGGCCAACAGCCGCATTTGAGTGCGCCCTAACTATGATGTCTGCTATGCTCGAGGCTGCAGTCAATCAAAGTCATCTAGACAAAAAGTCCTTGTGCAGCTCTGATAATGGAGTTTTTGACTGAGTGACAGGAGTTCAGAAGGCGGCAGACTTTTCTTATATAATAACCAGTTATTGAATCAGTGTGTCAGTCTTTTATCAGCATTTTAGGCCTTTGAATGTCTTCAAATTTTCACCGGTTGTGGCTCAGTTGAGATAAATGTTTTGGGAGTGCCTGCATACAAGTGGCTCATGAAGTAAAGGGTTGAAATCCCTACCTTAAACCCATCCCTCACAAAGCCTGCTCTTGTGGGAGTAATTGAGTCCAGCTGTCTGGAGGAATTATAGAGAACCCCAACCCTCCACCAGGCAGTCTGAGTGCGTCAGTGGGCTCAGAAACACTGTTTGGCAGGACAATGACAAGTCAGGGGTAGGAAAAGCAGACTGGCCTTAGGGCTGGATGTAGACGGAGAACATTTGCAATACCACACAGTGTACCATCATGTGTTTGTTATGACATAAATAAAACACTCTTCCATTTTGTTTTGGGCTGTTGGTGATAAAACTGCAGGAGCACCTGCTGAGGTTATGACGTAAACGCTCTACTCTATCATCCAGTAGTGCCTGTGTGGTATTTCCAAGACTTGGACAAAAACCTAAAAACTACCTGATCATAAATCCTCTCACAAATGTGAAGACTCCTGGTTGGCTTACAGCAATCAGTTACTGCCAACCACATGGAGAAAAATGAAGTTTTCCAAAGATTAGTCACGTACACACTGCAGAGGGTGGATTGTCTCGATTACCCCATCAGCCCCCAGTTTTATAGCCACACATCTAACTCTTTATTTAGCATTTAATGTTTATATCGAGGGTCCTGTAAGGTTGAGTCCTCAAGTATCTTGACATCAGTATTCATTGTCCTCATCAGTACTTCTGTTTTCCTGACTTTTTTCCAACAGGCTTATTGATTTGGCTTAAACGCCTCTATGGAATTGGTGAATATTTTTCTTTTTCAACATTGACAGCTATGTTAAACCCCCAGACCTATTGTAAACAAAAAAATTCAGATGTTGACTCACAAGAAGGGTTTGTCTTGTTGTACTATAGTGTTGTACTGGCATGATCCTCTCCTAGACCAGTGTAAATGGTGCTTTCTTTGTTTGTCATGTGAAATCCCTTTGTAAACACTCTTCATTAATGCTTCAATTTTTCCACCATTACACTCATAACTGTTGTTTTAATTTTACTGTGTGAAGAACTTCAGCTCTCAAATCATTACCAGGCTTCATCTCAGGAAAAGCAGAAAGCCCAGTGAGGAATGAGAGGGAACGAACGGAAATCTCTCTGGTTTTGTGGAATATTTAGCAACATTGGCTCCAGACTGGGACTATTCTTTGGCTTCACTTTTTGTTCAAGGGAATGTTTCCCATGTCAGCACACTTCCATGCCTGTTTTCAAGCAACGAGAGAGTTGTGGGTTTGGGTCATGGTACCCTTGGTTTGAGCCTGGTTCTGCTTTTACCAGTACTTGGCAATAGGAGGACAGTTTTGCATAAGGGCAGCCAGCTATATGAGCCTACTTGGCTGAATCCAGAGGGGCAGAGTTAAAGATGACTCCACTGGCCTCTGCCCACCATAAATACACTGTAATTGACATGGAGTTGGATGTTCTGCATACACCAACTCCTTGGTGGGTTGAAGCAGCAATGGGAAGAGATAAACAGACAGTTTCAGTGGCCCTTAGGGTGTCTTTACTTCTCTCGATGTCTGTGTAATCATCTGTGTAAAGACAGGCATCTGACCATGTTTTGTTACTGTGTTTGCGTTGTATGGGTGCATGTTATGACTGGATCTGACTGCAAGAACAGGAGGCCTTTTATTGGGTCTGTTTCAAGTATTTCATCTCTTTTGAGTTTGTTGTTGTAAAAACGTGTAGCCTGATATTTTAACTGTAGCTCTGCTTGGTGTAGGAAGCACTGCCAGGGGTCATTTAAGGGTAATTGCAGAGTGTGCCCATCTACGGCGAAGAACGCAGCAGAAGAGTGACCACATTGTGACCAAATGGGACTGAGATCCCTTTAGACCAAATCAGATACACTGAGAGTAAAATCTTTCAGTTTCTTGGTGTGAAGCACTTAAATCAAGGAGCTCCACTCAGCATGAGAGGATTAGAGGCTGCATGATGGGTACAGCATATTTAGCAGGATTATGTGCAAGCCCAAGTCATCATAACATTCCTTTGACATCATTATCTCTGCATGCTCTGGGACTTACTGTTGGGGGGAGCTTTTAATGTGTTCATAGGGGCTCTTTTAAGCTAAATGACATTTATACTACAGTGATATTAAGTCTGTCATGTAGATCTGAGGTTAGGGGGCTTCACAGGGGGAAGACATTATCCTGAAAATGTTTGAGAATCTTATTCACACTGCGGCAAAAAGGGCTTGTGTCCACTGACAGCATTTTTATTGCACTGCTGACACAACTTCAGTGTCAGAACACTCAAGCAGAAAACATACAAGATCCTTATTGAACACATTCCGTATTCGCTTTGTAGAGCAGCATTAAGTATCGCATACAGGATGCATATTTGGAGTGTAGCAGCAGCGTAGTGCAGCCCCGGTCAGCTGGGCTCAGTATAGAGGAAACAACACGCTCACAACAGGTTGTTTTGCCTTTCTGTGCTCTATTTTTTTGCTAATTTTGATATCATTCAGTACCATATGTGAAAAAGCAACGTGATTTTACAGTTTTGGTTTTTACAGGTTTACTCGTGTTTGATAAAGTAAACTATGTTCCTTTATGCTGTGCTGTTACCGTCAGACAGAGTTAGCAGCTAAAAGTCCTGTTGGCATCCACATGGATCAGGGATTGACCATCGGAATTTTCTGTGTGACTGATAAATCCATAACCTGGAAGTATTTCTCATCTACATGAACTGATAGTCGGGAGTTCGCATATGGTGTTTTATTTTGAAATACCAGATGACATGCATGCTTTGCTGCACTGATTAGAATGGCAACCTATTTGCTGTGTGATATGCGACGCTGCTGCCCCGCTCCAAAGATGCATCCTGTATGTTTTATCCTTCAGTGATGTGTTACAAAGAATCTGTTCAGTGTTTCTTTTAAATTGCTCTGCATACCTATGTCTTAAGTCAATAACATTTTAGAAAATTAACATGAAAACAATTGAAAGTAAATGTTTCACACCACCAGCAGCAGCTCCAGACCTTGAAATTGTTCCCTCGGGAAAACAAGTGTGATTAGTTCCTCATCTGGTTTTCCAATAGTTGGACCAACTCAACTCAGAGTGAGCACTGAGAGTTCTGCTGCACTGAGATTGATGAGCGCTAAAACAATAAACTAAAAGTGTTTTTTCCTATGAAAATGGATGCTGCCAACACAAAAAATGCTGTCAGTGGACACAGGCCCTAAAGCTTAACAGTGTCTCTTGATCTGCATTCCTTCAGAATATTAATAGCATGTCTAGTTTTATGCCAATACAACTTACCAGATAAACAGTATCAGAGACCTATAGCTAATACAGATAAGTACATTCTAACCCTTACACAGTGTGCTAATCAGTTAACAGCTACAATTATGATAACAACTATGATAAACACAAGAGGACTCTGCTTCACAATAAGGATGAGAATCTAGTGAAGAGTTGTATGTCATTCTACCCTTTTACTAATGAGTTTCATAGCCTCACACATGGCTCATCATGTCCTCCACAGGCCAAGATAGAAGAGACTAAAAAGCAGCACATGTATATATCAAATTCTGCTGTGAAGTTTGGCTCTATAACCCAGGGCTCAATTTTTGAGTCAGCCTCAGGTGGCTGAAAAAGAAGCTGCAGTTTTTACACTTGAATGTGTCCTTATTTTACAACCCTGGAGGTTGACATGTGAGTATTGTAGGGGTATAAATCTTATGTCTGTTTTGTTATTTTTTTTCATACCTGGCACAGACAACCTGTACAGTTACGACAGAAGTAATGTGGTCTGTACAGTTTTCTCAGCGATCATACTAAAGTGAGGAGTGGTGAACAAGATGTGACGTATAGTTTATGTGGTTTATGACTGTACTAGCTGTACTTGTTGATTTACAAGATCATAAATGTAGCGTCAGTGAAAAATGCTTATGTGAACAGCCTCATATTTACAAATGACGAGCGTGAAGATAAGGTTCAAACTCTTTATCATCATTACATGACCACGTCGGTTGTACAGACAAATCAGAGGATGAAAAAAAGAGGTGCCCCAGTGCCTGAAAACAAAGGTGAGGAGTTTAATCCTTTAACTGTAGGGGCCCACTGTGACCTGTAGGGCCCAGCAAAGTGCTGTTATGAGACAAGCAAATCTGTTAGCAGGGGATTCCTGCAGAGAGAGGTCAGCCCACCGTTTGCTAATAAGCATGTTTGCCATTTAAATATAGCACTAGCAACCCCGTAATTATTGCAGCCCATGTTGAAACCATGTGTCATTACATGAAACCATCTTAAAGCGGAGCTGTCCCAATGGGAAGTGCAGACTTGCAAACAAGCCCCGTGGGATTACGACAAATGCCTGGAAGGAGTGGTGTATGAGTGGTTGAGGATGAGTGTTCATTAATAGAGCATTACATCTTTCTTTAAACCCACATCTGTACGTGAACATCTACACTTCACTCGATTTATGAAAAGAAAAGAAACCTTTCTTTCGCTGCCATTCCTCCATGAGTTGCCTCAGGAAGAACATATTTGTCAGTTTCTGTCACCCGACCTCATGTTTCTTAGCAACCAAATGTCTCCAAAATACACCACCGCCCTGCAGACTTCACAGGTATTCTCGAGTGAAGGGTTTGGCAGGGAGGGGAGGGGACAGATTCAGGGTGTGATAGGAAGAGGGACGCCACAGCAGGCATTGTGCTCTCTCTTACGTGTGTGTGTGCGTGAGTGTGCGTGTCAGTTCTGCACTCGCATGGCCGGTTGGGTGGGACTTGTACACACAGCTCTGATGTCATTCTTCCTGGTTTTGGCTTTGCACCCACCCTAACCCCGCCCACAGGTGGCTCTGCTGCTGTCAGTCAGCTGCTGTCACGCAGCCTCTCCCCCCCGCATGTGTGTTTGTGTGTGTTCTGCTCTGGGACGCTTCTTATTTGCTACACACATGCTCCTCCCTCCCCTCCTGTCCGTCTCTGCTCTCTGCTGATATGAACTTTGGAAGCAATGAGTTGTAGGCTGTGTTCCTGCCAGGGAATTCTTGAGTGATTATTCTTTTGCCTCTAAAGGTGGACAGCCCTCATCCCTGCTTTGTTCTTTCTCCAGGACAACCTAAACGTCTTCCTCAAGGCCTGCGGGAAGCTCGGACTAAAGGAAGCTCAGCTCTTTCACCCAGGAGACCTTCAGGACTTATCCTCAAGAGTTACAGTCAAGTAAGTTCTGATTTTTGTAAAATACATATGATACTACCACAAGATTTTTTTAACTTGCTCCCGCTGCTCAAAGAGTGTGGTTACAGCGTCCTGTTAACATCTTTGCTTTTGAATGATCTCTGACTGAACAATCCTCTGCCTCTGTTTCTGCTGTACTGGAAGGAAACATATAAAAATGTAACTGTCACACTACATAGTGTTTCAGAGCACATGCCCCCTCATGTGAGGCATGATTCAAGCTGCAGTTAAAAAAGGTCAGTGCTATTCTCAGTGTGCATCCAGTCTTGTGTTGGTAAACACCTGTTTTAAGCAGAGCTTGCATGTGTCTCCTACAAAAGTGTATGAGGGGGAAATGATGAATGAAGTCTGCAAGAAGAGCCAGTCACTTATTCAGGTGTTCACATCTGATGGTAACTGATCAGATCCAGCCAGATCTGGCAACTTGTTTACACAATGGAAGGAAATATTCAGACGTGCTCCAAGTTCTTAAAAACAGCTAGATTTTTTATTTTTTTAATGAGACATTCAGTTCAGTTACTTCAATGACAACAAATATTTCCAGATGTTGCCAAAGTCGTTGTCATTTTTCCATGTAACACGGCCGCTTTTGTGTGTGCTGCATGCCAAGCAGGGATGAATGCAGTATGTTGAACAACCTGTTCAGTTGTTACACAGGTGTGCCTTTAAGATGGAGCGAGGTAAGGCAGAGCTCAGGCCACAGTCCATCCACCGTTGCACACTCTCTGTTGCTTCACAACAGTGCTGTGCAAGCAGAAAGAAAAGTGCATCAGCAGCAGTCCATGCAGGTGGTGAAACCTGGAGATAGTAGGATTAGATAGGCACTTGAATATATCTCTATAGGGGTCAGAATGGCAAAAGCCGTGTCAGAGAAGTGTAAGGTTTATCAAAATGATAAACAACATTGTCCCTGTGAGTGTTTTCACTTCATCCTCAAATTAAAAATCACTCTGGAGGCTCTTTTAAGATGATACCACAACTTCCTGATACATCTTTCCCATGATCCACCCAAGACTGCGTTCGTCATTCTTCAGTAACACCGACAATGCTGTCGAAACCGCAGCCCTCACAAAGACGCTCACAGAAGCAGATGTTCTGTACATACACTGGAATATGAACTCAAAATAAACAAATCTGCCTGCCGTTTATCAAGACACACCCTCCGCTCCCCGCAGCAGAACTCACCCTACCCTGAAATATTGCAGTAGTCGATGTCTGATTCCCTGCCATAGATCTCGAGATAATTCTTTTATGGATCATGTGCCCTTTGTGCCATCAGACATTTCCTCTCTTACATAACCTTTTCCCATCGTTTGGTAGTAAACGACTGAAGTTTCTAAACGACAACTGGCGCTGAAGTTCATTGTCAGTTGAGCTCACATGAAAGCAAAACTCACACTAGATTTAAACTAAAGCTAATACTATAGATTAAACTTTATAAAAGAACAGAAAATAATCTTTAAAAGTCTCCATGAAGACCTCAAGTTTGTGACACCCAATCTCTGGAACTCACTTCTCTGATAGTACGTGCAGGGGTCTGTTTCAGAGGGGCTCAGGCTCCTATTTTTAGGTCCTTGAAGTCACTTTGAACAGCAGGACTGATTGGAATGGTATCAGGACTGAAAAGGAAGAGCTTTTAATAGATTGTTTTCCTCCTGTCAGGACACCCCCCTACTCTCCCCCCCTACATGTGGTCTTGAGGAGTACACCTGTGTGTGCTTGTGTTCATGTGAAAGTCTAGCAGTGGTGTGCATTTGAGGTTGTGGATTTGTGATTGTATTCTTTGTGGGTATTTTTTTGAATGCAGAGTAGAAACGTCACCTGTTTTTGTGGGTTTTTGTGTTTTTTCTTCTGAGATAAATTGGGGTGATAAGATGTGGTTTCCTCATAGATCATGCACAACTCATGCAAAGGGAGATGGCACACACAAAGTGTAACATGAGGAGATAATCCCAAAGAAGGCTACAGACAAGCAGCCAGTGGTTTAATTTCACTGTCTCTTATCAGAGTCTAAGCAAATGAGCCTCTGAGAGCACAGAGCAAAGAGAGAGAGTGAGAGAGTGAAGTTGTCTCTATCAGCTGTCTCTGCTTCTGGTGTGCGTCCAACCTCCACTCCCTCAAACCCTGTCTGACAGGTGCCTCGCTCAGCTTCCCTGTTCTCTGTTTCAGCAGCCACAAGCTTGCTGTGCTGTTTGTGCCCTATGTTATTTTCCTCTGACTGTTTTCCCAAGTAAAACCATTCATTTATAAATCAGAGGTTAACTATATATATTCTGATGGTATAAGTAAAGGCTTTGTGAGAACATCCAGAGGTTAATACTGATGCCTTTTCATGGCCCGCCAAAGTAAAAGAGACTCTCAGTGTGAAGTGAGTTGATACTTTGAACGTCTGAACACATGAACAGCACTCTGCCAAGTATGCAGTTTTTAAAAACATTTTCTACTGCAAAGGTACAAAAATATAAAAGGAGAGGAGTGTGAAACAACATAAGGATAAACTGTGCTGCTTACATGGTTACAAGACAAGAGATCGAAGTCACTGCTTTTCTACAGGGACCATCAATATTGACCCAAATCGAAAAATTCCTCCCAGGCGCTTCAATTTTATTCTTCTTTACTTTAAAAGCTCATGTGGGGAGTTTTTAGCTGCTTACAAAAAGGACTGAAATTGGCACTGATGCTTTCTTACATGCTACAGAAGTACATAATACCATCGGCATTAAGGCTGATCACTACTGTACGGTTATTTTTAATGTCTGAAAATGCTACCAGGGGGTCAGCTGTCATCTGAAGTGATAACTACTTGCTTCAAAACTGTTTTTCTTTTTTCCTCTTTTGTAGTTGTTTTTTTCACATTCTCTAAGTGTCTAAGCGTAGCACCCTGCAGGAGAAAAGGGTAAAAGTAAGCTAGCAAGCAATAAATCATTGTCCATCCATGTAATTTCCACAACTTGCACATAGAACTATTTCTCAAGCTAAAAGGAGTCAGAATTTCTTGTTGAACTATTGCTTTGGATGGAGAAACTCGACAACTAAGGCTTTGCTTGGTGAAAGAGCATATTAGCTCTGAGAACATGAAACTGGTACGTCCGGTCACCTGTTGTGAGCTATTTAACAGTTCATAAAGTTTTGTGGTTGTGTTACAGTTAATAGCTCCATGTCGCTACAAGTCAAAACAATACAATACAATACATCAACAGTTGTCTCAAACAAAAAAAGATGCATTGAAAAGAAGATGCCAAACATAATTATAAACAGTTCTAAAATAATTTTTATTTTCTATTTTTCTTGGATTAAACAGGAGTTCAAACTTTTGACACATTTCAAGACAAAAAAAAAATGAATGGATAGATTAAGAAAAAGCCAACAGGCTGGTCAATCATGAAAGATGATCATAAGAGGCCGCAGTAATGGCCCCCACCTTGTATAAAAGGTGCTTTACAAGAAACGCTTTTTATTGACATGCATTAAAAACTTGTTAACCCTTTCTGAATACAAAGAAAAGACTCATCGACTCATTGAGGACTGATTTAAGGTATTGGACACCACCTTCACAAGGAATGCCAAGACTCTCACACTAAATATTTGAGCCTTAATAACAGTTATTAGAACGGCTGGTATGAAGCTGGAATCAGTCACTTGAGTCTTCAGCTTCAGTTTGCTGAGCACATTTTAATTCAAGCTCGTCTGCGTTGTCCCAGCAGCCGTAAAAGATTATTGGCTGTCTGTTTTGACCTTTGAGCTCAGCAGTTGCTGTAGGTTTGGCCTTAACACCCTCAGCACTTCATGTTGCTCTGTCCCCCCGGATTAGGAAATCTGCTTCCTGATAAAGTCAGTTACAAACTCATTCAGGATCAAACTTATCAAACAGCAGGACAAACTGTTGTAACAGTGACATAGACTGATAAGAGGTGAGAGTTTGCTGCTAGGTGACGTGCTTCCCTTAAGAGTTCCTCTCATCATCCACGTGTCAGTGAACTGTAATCGAGTGCAAACCCACTCTGAACACGCAGCGGTGTAATACTGACCAGGCTGACTTTATTCAAGTCTGATTCACCTCTGCTTTAGACTAACTGTGTCAGTTTCCAGCAGCTGCCCAGGAAATGAGAGCATTAGAGTGCTGGGGATGAATCATTCCATCTGAAAGTGCTCCATTTAACTTCAGCCACTTCCTTTAGCCCCTTAGCTGTCGTTTGGAAATTCAGCAGCATGCAGCCAAGTCTGGACGAGACCCACAACTTGACACAAGTGACATAAAGGAAAAGGCCAGACTGTGCAGGGTTTTCCCTAATGACACTAAATGTCAGCAGATTACTCGACACTTGACCCCGTGAATGCTTTCACAAGGATGCAATTGTCACAGAGCTACTTTTACAGGATGAATGTCTCAAAGGGTGGAAATTGCAGCTTGTGGAAGGAAGGATGTGTGGTTCTCAAACACAGTATTATACAGAATGCAAAGTAACTGCAGGGCTCTTCAACTTTTTGAGTTTATTTCAATGGGTACACTGCAATTTTGATCCTTAATCCCCCTTTATACCAGTTTGTTAACCTTAAAAATATTTGCTGCGTATTCAAACCATGCAAGATATATATACTAAAAGTGTTGCTATAACGAAGTAGATTTTCCTAACTACTATATCGAAGTACCAGTCCAATCAAAATCCTCATAATCTACCAGGAATCATCACTGGATTCTTCAGTTTTCATTGACTTGACTTAAATATATAACAAGTTTCAGGTGGATTTTTAGATCTTTATCCCTCTTGTTTTCACCCAAGGCTGTATAAAGCCGGACAACATACCTGACCTCATCCATCTGTTTCTGAACAAGCGTCATGAAGCCCAAACTTGGTGGCCACTGTTCTGGAAATATTGACTCCACAGCTCAACGGCAAAGAGGTGAAGTTGAGGCCATACCCAGTCGCCTGGCAGGTGGCCACAACTCGTCCACCTGTCTGCCAAATCAGTTGTGCCCCAATAATACACAACTGTGCATAACTCCTAGCCCTAGAATAGTCAATATGTTCAATTCTGTGATGAACAGGGACATTTTAGAATGGGTTTTGCAAGCTAGTGCAGATTTGTTTTAAGTGTCCACTTGAGGCTACGTGCAAAAGCCAGAGAATCCCCTTTTGGTTCCATCTTAAGATGCCAATTTTCATACAGTGTTTATAGCCTAGTTCAAAAAACTTGCTGGGAATATATCCCATTGATATTTGTGTACACGGATTAGGGGGTGACTTTCTTGACCCATGTGTTGAGTTAATATAAAGGCTTGGCGTTATCATTCATTTGGAATAATAAGAGGTGTGGTTGATTTGGCAAGTAAAGGTGTTGTATCTGTTTGCCAGGAAGCTCAAGCCCTCTTCAGCTCCACCTCTTTGCCTGTTTCCTGGTTAATCAAAAGTTCAGTTGAATTAGCATTTCCATGTCCATTTTTGGTAACTAGCCTCAAGTGGGCACTTGAGGAACTGCAGTGTTTTGCATCTCTGCATTGACTTCATAGGTTGCACTTAAGGCAGTCTCATACTTTCTGTTCACTTGTTTCAACGAGACAGCAGCAACGTTTGTGTTACCTTTAACATACCATAGTAATTAATTTAAGCAGTATTTATAGCATATGTAGAACGCCCTCCCCTCCACATACTCCATGTATAGCCTGTAAGGGCTGATACATCTGAAGGTTTGAAATTGTGCAAGATCCAACTTTTGGGGGTTGGTGGAGACCAAAAATGGAGATAAAATATAGTGAATATTTGTCTTAGAGTTCTGAAGTGGCCAAGTTCACATAATTACCTAATCAATTTGAAAAGATGTTCAAACTGCTGCCCAAAAATGTCGAAGAAGACCTTTTTTTGGGAGGCAATAATACTTCTTTATTTCATTACTCAGAGTTCCTATTTCTAATTGAAAACTATCACACAGTTCTATTTCTCGGTTTACTGTGGTCAAGAGTTCCTGACCAAGAGTCCAGTTTTTCCTCATTGTCCTCCAGAAACAGGCAGAACAGATCCCCCGCTGAGATGAGTCCAAAGTCTCACTGTTGCCGCCATTTGATTAAGCAAATTATTGACAAGGGTTGACGGCACACAAACCTAAAAAAGAGCTGAAACCTCCAAGTATGGTAGGTGAGTCAAAACTTAGAGGAATGCTTGTGACCCCTTTGAACAAGTGATCAAAAGGAGTGGCTGTTGGGTAATTACACGGTGTGAATTATGCAATAGTTTTTCTGGCTGTGGATCAAACCAAATGTTTGAAATACTTGAAGGAATTTGATGTTTCGAGGACAAACTTCAGGACATGGTTTCATGTTATTCAACACTTACATATATTTTCATGTATGAACTATTATTTCAAAGAGTTTAAAGCACCAAATTATGAGTCCATAATACAAAAGTTACAAACCCTCCTGGTTGAATGTTAGTTTTTCGGGTGTGGCACCACACATTCTGGTTTCATAGTTTTTTTATATGGCACCGCGGCACTTCTTGTTACAGCGCTGTGTGAACTGTGAGCAGATTGTGAAAGCAAACGAGTGATGATGGTGAACAGCCAATAAAAGTTCTACGGCCTGGATGAGGCCCTGGCTGTAAAAGGCCAACACAAGGGTTATATTTGTGCGCTGTAGTTGAGTCAGGGAGAGAAATGCCAGCCTCACCCTGTTCCCTCCCTCACAGAGACGGCTCTGTCTCAGATAAGCACAACACAATGATGCCCAAGACCGTCTCACCCACAGCTGATTCTTTTATACAAATCTGTCATCCTCTCTGAGTTTTTAGAGCTCTTCAAGCATGAGAGTGTCAGGGTGTGTCGTTAACTCCAAACTATTTTATTAGAATGAAAGAACATTTCTGAAGGATGTTACATATGGTGTCGTTGAATGCTGCAGAGCAGGTGATCGTCGTCTCACAGGTATGCGTCTGATCACACGTGCACACCCATTACTTTAGAGCTTTGGTTGCTGTGTTTGTTTGTCTTTTGGATGTCGGTCTGACAGAAACCGTGACTCTTAATCTCTTTTGTACATTGTTGATGACAAACCCGTGGTCTTCATTTGGTCAGTACACACTTGTAGTTGTTCCTCTTTTCAAGGTTTTATTTTGCTTCAGTGGCAGCTCTGGGAACTGACTGGCCAAGTCTGACAGATGATAACTCACCTCACTCGATGTCAAGGAGTTATTTATCTAACATTTAAATAGTGGCTTGTGTTGCTTTAGTCGTATGTGTGTCTTTTGGAGGCTGCTTTGTGTTGGCAGAACAAACTCTTTAGCGTCTTCAGTAGACTCAGACAAATGCCTTCTGCACAGCTCAGTTACAGTTTTAATGAGACAGAAAATATCTGAATGCTGGTTTAGATAACTCGACATCAATATACCAAGCACCCCTTGTTAAAAAAATTATATGCCTTTAAAAACGATATCCTTTTTTTAATAAAATACAGTCTGTAAGCTGCACAAATCTTCAATAAGTTCAATATTAGTGCTCATTTTTGTGTTTTATTGCCTGTATCATTACTCTGATAAAATTAACACCTTGCAACTAGCTTAACATATTAAAACAAGAGTGTCTGTCAGCTGTAGTTATGTCTATCAAGGTTACAAGCAGTCATATTTAATGAAAAAGTGTCTGCTGACTGGTTCAACGTTGCTGTTTGGGTGATCGCTCTGGAGGAGAAGAAATTGGTAAAGCTAATGCTACTAAATTGGCACTATGACTGAGGCTCTCGCTGAAATCAAATTCTGAAATTCACGTTGTAGCTGAGACTTCTCACTTCTCAGAAAACTCTACTCATAACTGTTTTGATAAAACTGTTGCCACTGTCTGATATTCCACCTGTGTTATGTTGTGAGATGGAAGGTCACACTGATTCAGTGTCGTGTTTCTTCACATTTCTGCCTGAAATTCCCAAAAGGAAGATTTCCCTTGCTGCTGAAGGATTGACTGTCTCTCACCCTTTCACCTTGCAAAGAGAGTGATGGTGTGAAAATTTGTGTAAGCATGCAAAGGTTGAGCCAAGAGTGTCCTGATAATTTGTCAAACTTGGAGGGTTTCCTGTCAGAGCTTTGTGCTCTAACTGAACTGTATTTACACACTGACTGTCAAGTGTTTAAAGGGCTCTGTCCTTTCTTTTTTATCCACTAATCCAGAGTTTGTGTCCTATAGTGATTCATAGGTGATTCACACAACATATTATCACATTATTGCATTTCAACACTATTTTTGTTGTGTTTGGTGAGATTGAAGTGGAGTTAGTTCAGCACATTCACACTCTCTTAACTGTGCTCATAACCATACAAAGGCTCAGCTTGTTTTTTTCTTTGGTACATTAATTACCAAAAAGCAAATATGGTTATATGAAGTGTTCATGATATTCTGATTGAAGTTATTCCCAGCCTGTGCTCTCTGCGACTGTGTGACATCCTGCTGATGATTGTGCACAATCATATGAGCGCTCAGCTGATTCTTACAGACTACAGAAAAGTCCTGAGGCTCTGCAGGCTAAAATAGCCGTTATGTATTTTCTCTTCCGTTCAGCTATTACCGTGAACCATAAATGAGAATTACGAGAAGCGGTGTGGTTGTAGTTTTGGAATATAGCTCATTTTCTGCTGGACTTGGCTTCAGCTGCTATAATCTAAGACTTTGTGACTGTGCTCCAAGCCACACAAGAAAGGGTATTTTTTCTCAGGACTCTTTTATTGGGCATTTAACTTTGCAATATGCCTGACTGGTAAACATCCAGTTGTGCTCTCATTGTTGTGTGTTAGGAGCTCCTGGTGTGAAATAAAGCACACTGGTGACAAAATTGGACCAGTCATGCAATTAAAACCTGTTAGAGGTGGAAGGAATGAGATCCTCTACTTGAGGGAAAGTTTCAGTACAGAAAATTAAATATAATCCTCTTGAGCTGAAAGGTCTTTAAGGGCTGTTGTGGGTTAAAAGTATTTTCAATATACCGTTTCTATAGTAAAAATACAGACGATGACAATGTTAAGTGATCCCTCACAGTATAGGAATCTGCAACGCACCTCTACTTTAAGCAACATTATCCTCATTATTTAACTATTTGGCCCACTACCTAATCACTTTGGTTCTCTTAGCATTGTTTTGAGCCAGTGCAGGAGGCTGATTCAGCATTTAAAAAGCACTAAAAAACCCACTACTTACTTCTTGCTTGATTCTCTACTGGCACACAGCTGGCTCAGAAACATAGGTGAGCATGTAGCATCTGATCTCGATATTTTCGCACTGAAACACAAACATGTTTGACTTAAATTCATCGCCAGGTGGCCTCATGTAGGCTGGATATCAGATATTGTTTCTGGTTAAAATTTAAGTACCTGTTTGATAAAAGTTGCCCCTGTGAATGCACGTCATTGTGATGCACTGATACATAAGAATTTAAAGCTCATGTAAGGAGTTTTTAAGAGGTCTTGAAAAGGCTGAAATGAACAATGATGCATATCAATGATGTACAAACACAAATAAGACCATAAAAACAAAACAATTTACTTAAAAAAAGGCTTTATTTTCAGCTGTCAATCATTTAGTCTAGCACCCTCCCCCTCACAGTGGTGACAGGCTTTAGAAGTTTCACTAAAGAAACTGCCAAGCTTGATTGTTTTTGATTGTTTTTAGGAGTCGTCTGTCTTCATTTCGGTATAAGAAGCTTAAAATTCCTCACGGTTGCTTTAAGTACTGTATTTGTTCGGCTGATATTTTGAAAGTCAATGCCAATGTCTGAGATGAGTTTCTCATCCAGTCAGCAGCTGGACTAAACCAAGTCCTTAGAAAGATCTGTTGGAGGTTTAACATGTCTGATGGACAGACATCTTCTCAGGTGTCAACACAACACGTGCATCCTCTCTCAGCAGGTGCATTCGCTATATTGCATGTTAGGAAGTGGCAGTAAGATCCCATAACTCCTGTAGAGAGAGGCATGTGTGACTATTGTGTTACCACATGATAGCAGGAATGTGTAGCTCGCAGAGGAGTTGTGTAGTATCTCTTCCTGGGTCACCATTAGGGTTACCTTATGAACTGCAGCTGTTTATCTCTGTTTATTGACTTTTAAATAGACACTACAGTCAGGGTAGGTGACAGGAACACAATGTACATAGGTAAAAGGTTAAACCAGGCATGCAGGTTGACACTGGGGGCTTTGTGCGGCTTCACGGCAGCAACACTGAGCTGACATTTTCCAGGAAAAGTGATTTACTGACTGCCAGGTCAACTGTCAAACCCCAGAAATATGAGTGAAATTCTGTACGACCTCCGAAGCACGCGAGGCGCTTTATTGCTTGTCCCAACAGTAGACCCTTGTTTGGTGTTCACATGTTTCATTAGCACTTATTAGTTTTATCATTAATAGAAATCAGAAACAAACCCGCCTTTTGTGCCCTTAAAATGAATGTTTTTACAGCTGCTTCATTTTGTGATTAGGGTTGAAACACACACAGCATTTTATTTTATGGCCTGAAATGGTTTCTTTCTAAAATGAGTGTTTGTTTTCCTCTCAGCCTTTGTGTTGTGGCGAGAGAGAGAGTGTGAGTGAAGGGCTGGCAGTCGTCTGGATTGTGCTCTCACTTTCCAGCTCTTTCACTGTCCAACACACAGACCCAACAAGCATGCCCTCTGTTCTTTTATTGTCCTTCTCTCTCACACACACACACCTCTGTTTTCTGCTCTTTCTCTTGCAGGGATCAAGAGACCAACAGGAGGCTGAAAAATGTGAGTGGAAAATGTTTTTCCTCTGTGAACCTTGGCCTTTGATTTGACTACAATAAATTATAATTTAGCTTCAGGTGTAGCTTTGTTTATGTGTCACTGGAGAGGAAAGTATAAGAGGGGAACTACACAGATTTACGGCATCAAAGTCTGGTAACAGGTGTTGGCGAGAACCACATGTATGGAAAAAGCTGTAACAAAACACATGTGCTTGTAGAGGGATCTGTGAAAAATCTGAAAAGTCGACTTGAGTCGCTCCAGACTTGAGATGCGGTGTCTGATTTTCAAGGGGATAAAACTGAGCGATGACCAAAATACAAACAAATGTTATCACAACTTCACCAAAAAAGGCCGGAGGCTGTATGGTTTGTTTACAGAAATGCAACATTAAGATTAGATAAGGTTTAATCTTATCTCATCTTTATCCACCGTGAGCAATGCTCTTCTCTGAATTTAGTAACTTACAGCGGCAGAGAAAACATGCAGGAACCAGACACATGTCAAATCAACTTTCTGCTGTGACTGTGTTTGGATTGCAATGAAGGGATGGAGAGGGATGTAAGAAGAAAGAGATGGATAGACAAACCACAACAACAATAAGAAGAAGAGATAGAGCAGCTCATTAAGACTTAGAGTGATAATAGTTACAGTGTTAGATGTAGGCAAGAACAGCTAAATATGATCATCGTCTGACTAGATGTTGAATAAAACAAGAATCGTACACGCCAATAACACGTCAGCATCTTAAAGAGATTATTCTCACTGTGATTATTTTATTCAACCACCTCAACTAAATCTAAACAAAACATCTAAATTTGCACATTTATTTCAATGTCTTTCCGGCACATCTGGAGAATAACAACCAAGCGGTTAAAGTTGCACAATAAGGGGTTAATGCTGCTCTCTTCCAGGAAGTTTTTGGCCCATAGACGAAATATCAGCTAAAGTTTAAATGATCATTTAAAAATTCCTCACCACAGCTCCATTACTTTGTTCATCATGTTTATCCCCCCTGTGTATGTTCTCTGTTGAGTCCAGCTGGCACATTTATGAATCTCTAACTTAAGTTATTAAAAAAATCAAAGCATTTACATGTCAGTAGTAACCATTACTAGTGCACTTTGGGGATATGATGCATCTTTGGTGTGGCTGTGATTGTTTGCTGTAGTGCAGCACATTTACCTGTCCCTCCTCATAATGCACACACAAACAACAACAGAGGGTTCTGGATGAGCCTGGAAACATGAGCAGGGCAGCAGCTGATATCACCTTGTGTTTGTGTAGAGCTGCAACTACAATAACAATCACCTGCTATGGCAGTGGACAGAACATTCATCAGGAAAGGGTGGAGGTATCACTGTAATCGGATGTCATCTGTCTGGTGATTGTAATTGACTTCCGAGTGAAGGCAATTGTTTTTTTCTTTCTCTCTCTCTTTACAGGTATTAATTACCATCTACTGGCTGGGTAGAAGAGCTCAGAGCGACCGTTTCTATGATGGACCTTACCTGAATTTCAAATCATTTGAAGGTTTACTTGGCACAGCGCTATACAAGGTAAAAACTCTTTAACAGTCAGAGAATAACCACCTCATTGTGCTCACTTTGTCTGTACTATTGAGAAACGTAAGCTTAATTTTCTGGTGGAACCGGCGAATAACATGAATGAAATCCTCTTTAACAGCCTTTGCCCAGTATTTTCTGTATCCTCCCTGGTATTCAGACTATGTGCAGAAGAATGGCTGTTAAAGACTGCGGCGCCTCAGATTGCTGGCCGCTAGAACCAAAGCTGTGTTAAGTCATAAACGAACCTGATCCCTTGACTCAGCTATTTTAATCTTGTTTGCAGCAAGTTCGAGTAGCTTGCACGAGAAAATTGCGGCTCCTTTTTCCTCTCACTGCTCATGCCGGTGTTGAATTTGGCACCTTGCGTTCACAGAGATTTATAGGTGCCGGTGCGCGAGGCCTCTATAATTCAACAGACTACAGGGATTTCAATAATAGCAGTCGGTTTCAGCGCTTCTTGTACGTTTAGCCACAATAATCCAAGTTCACAGGCGTAGGTTTAGGGTGGGATTTAGTTTGTGGATTTGTATTGTCTGGCAGGGTTCGGCAGATTAAAGATCTGAAAATCATTTTCTTTTTCAAGTGGCTGACAAGTTTTGACAAGTTGCCATGCTGGTTAGACTATTTACACAAAAAATTATGTATGCGGTAAACATTGCCATCAAGAGAACCTGGAACACAGCGCTTTTTTGTTATGACAGATTTGTCAGTGAATAGAAAACAATGAGGTTGTTCCAGTGACATTTTAGCATTATACATCCCCCATTATAGACCGTATAGGAGCGTATGTTTACTATAACTGATTCTACGGGAATAAGGAGCCAGAAAGCACCGAGTTCACACTCTGCCTGGGAGATCTCTCATGCACCACACACAGCGGAGCTAAATATTGTAATTGGCACTCAATTATTCGACTGTGTGTGTGTTTTTTTTTGTGTGTCTGCGTGTGCATGAAAGGCTCTGCACGAATCACCGAATCAGAAAGGCAGCAACATCCGAGACAGCGGTTTTGGAGATAGCTGGTACTCAGAGCGAGAGGAGCTCCACCAACTCAGAGAAGAGGAAGGAGGAAGAAGAAGAGGAGGCGGACACAGGAGAGACGACTCCCTGGATAGTTTGGACTCTTTGGGCTCCAGACCCCACAGCATCTCATCTGACACCACTTTGAAAGGCAGCAGCGAGGGTAGGTGGTGTCATATAATCTACAGCTTTAACACACACAAACACACCAAACAAAACTAAACACATTTACCACAACTCCTCCGGAAATATTTTGAACCTGAAGAGCTGACTCTCAGCGTATTTTCTTTCATTTTTGGGCCTATTTTTTCAAGTTACTCTCTGATATCCTTGTATCATAGTAACCAGACTTTCTTGTATTGTTTCTCTCATGAAAAGTTATCATCAAGTTCCTCTGTCTAGAACTTCAAATATTTGTAAAGAGGGAAGATATGCTGCCTCACAGCCAGAAAGTTGCCTCCCATTTGTGAAAACAAACACTCATCGCCATCTAGTGGTGTTATTTGGAGGTGAATATTTTCTGTGAAAATTCACACAAGTCCCAAAGGAAGTCGATATGATAAATCAGTGCCAAGGCTCCTCTGTGTTCTTGTTTGAAGACAAAAATATGCTCTCAGAGAGGGAAGTGCTGGCCAGTTATTCCCCTGTAAGAGACGCAGTGAGACATTCCTCAGCCGTCCACACCGCCTTGTAAATGAGGAGGCCTGCGATCCCCTCCCTGCACCCCTCTGTTACTCCTCCAGAGTCAACACACAACACACTCCCCCTCACTCTTTCCTCTATTCTCACTCGGTTTGTCTTTTTTTTGCGACTTCATTACTCTCATGAGACTTCTTTTACACCTGGTTCTTCCTCCTTCCTCTCCTGTTCAGGTTGTTGCAGTGACACTGAGGTGGACTCTGTTTTCAAAATGGCTGAGAACAAGGACAGTGCCAGTTACCGCCGGTCGGTATCCATCACACCAAAGGCCACCGCGCCGTTTAACCAGTTCCTACCTACTAAAGACAAACAGGCGGCTTACGTTCCTGCTCCGCTGAGGAAGAAACGAGCTGACCGCAACGAGGACAACCGGCGCAGCTGGACCAACCCCTCGTACTCAGAGGAGGAGGGAACACTAACCAGGTACTGTCTGAATACACACATAGCTCTGTCTGAGGGTGCTGATTCCCATTGAAGCTAATTTTATTTCTTTAATCATCAAAAGAACAAAACAAAAGAACATTGAGTGGCTTTTATGCACAAATCTTTGGTTTGTGCTTCAAATACTCAAAGTTTACATTTCCTCCTCTCTTATCGCTGTTGGTGTTTGTGGTGTTGTCATGTCGTCTGCAAATGGTCGATGGTGTTGTGTTTCATTTTGCTTCCCTGTGGAATGGCGACCTCGCTGATACAAGGCCCTCCCCTGACTGGTATGACAACAGTCAAGTATCCCAGAGCGCCTCACCTGCGGCTCATCTTCAGTGGGCGTACGAGTACGAAAGCGGCAGCGACTCTGACACAGACAGACCAGACCCGGATCTCGTTCTGGATGACCTTGCCAGTAGACGCTTCCACAGCCCCTCCCCGGCTACCCCTACAAACTTTGCCGTGCCTATCAGTCCCGTGGCGGGGAGATCAGCATCAGGAGGTAGAGGAGGGCCTTGGCCGAAGGTCACTATGAGTCCCAATGTTGTCCCTCAGCAGAATGTGACCTTCCTCAGGTCAGAGAACATGAAGCGACAGTGTGACTTTGATGTGCCTGCCTGATGAAAGCAAAAACGCTTCTCTTACCCTCAGTTTGCATGGTTACTTTAAACCATGAGCGACGTCTCTGGTCGTATTTGCTGCTTCTAACAGAGTTTGAAAGTCATCTGTTTGTTGATTTCTCTTTGAGTTAAGTTTGTAGCTTCAGCACTTCCTTTTTTTTTGCTCCCTCTGAATTTTACGAGCCTGGAGGAGTGATTTGAGTTGGCAACATAACTCCTCAAATCACATTTCCCCTCCGTTTCATTTTGGTTTGAGCTTGCATTGGTTTGCTAACCCTTGCGTCATCTATCTTGAGGTTGTAGTGCTGGAGGATTGTGTGTGACTGCCGTGCTGTACAGCCGCTAAAAATGCCTTTTGACACGTGTGATTGGCCGTCTCTTTTGAGCAGCAGTGCCACCGACAGCGGGGAAAAGCAGCCCCCCAAGCTCGGCTCTGTGAGAGTGGACCACCGCCGGGCCGTGTCCGCTGACAGCCTGTTCAGGGACATATACGATGACTCTGAGGATGAAGACAATGAGGTGGGCTACGCAGACCCCGTCCAGGATGACCTCTATGCGCGCAAGATGGGCATCAAACCCCAAAACCCTGCCAGTGTCTCTCATGACAAGTTCCTGCCAAAGTTCTGGACGCCTGAAGAAGATGTTCACATACAGAAGATCAAACTGGGCTCTCAGAGGAGACCCTGGTACAAAAAGATGCAAGGCTTCAGGTGTGTGAGGGATCCAGAATCCAGAGTTAGATGGAATTATCCCACACACACTTCCTTTCAAACACATAACAGTACATTTTAAAGACATGCATTATCAAAGATCGCATGATTCCCTGTTTTTATCCACTTTTTGCTTTTCTCCCAGACACATTGAATTTTGCTAATCTTAAATAATACTCCCATGCAAAAGCCTGACAATCGTCATAAATGGGTTTCTGTGATTTAGAGCATTTTCTGTATGGTTTCCCTCCTGCTTACTTTTTTCTCTCTGCCTCCTATCTTTCCTCTCTCTGCTTCTGTCCCCTTTACTTCCTTTCACTCTCACTGTCCTTGGCTGTAGCTATAAGAAGTCGGGCTCTTCGTCAGACGATTCAGACTATGACATCAGTCCTTGGCTCTCCTCTGCCCCCTCTCCCTCCAGCACCTCTCCCTCTCACCCCCACACACACGAGGCCTCGGCTCACACCACCCTCGTAGTGGGGAAAAGGTCGATACAGCTGCATGATTGTGACGATGAGGGAATGTTTTAGAGCTTTCAGATTTGAGCAGAGAAACATAATCGGCTCCTGTCGGGGCTGGATGCCCGATGAGCTGCTTTCTAACAAACTAATGATAAGATACACCTGAAGGTTTCTGTAACACGCTTCAGAAAGTTTTGTGCTTCGCTGACCTTTGCAGAAAAAAAAGCTTTTTTCTAAGCATAGTGCAATTTTTTATCACAGCTAAAATTTAGCGTTTTAAAGCTACTCGCATTGTAGTTTTATTCTGCAGAAAATCCATAAAAGAATTCGGATTTGATCAACGTCTGTTTGAATCAAATATTAGAACTTTGGCTGCTTGAAGTTTCTCTTCCTCCTTTTCTTGCTCTTTGACCCGGTTCACCTGCATGCACTCATCAGCTCTCTGTCCTTTTCTCTCCTTCTGCCCACCCTGCAGTCCTCACATCCAAGCACACTCTCCCCCACAGCTCCCCAAGATACAGCCCCCTTTGTTACAGCCCCCTCCTCTGATATTCCCTCCAGTGGACCCCACTTCGGGGCCCAGACTGGTCAAATGTGAGAGGTGGCCCTTGCTTGGGCGCCAAGACCCCCGAGAGCCCCCAGATCCTGTTGATTATGACAGTATCATCCCAGATTTGGAGAATGATGACATGTTCACCAGGCGCACTCTGGCCTTCCAGTCCAACACAGACCTGGTGACGATGAAGACGCAGCTGTCCGCCCACCGCCCGCTCTACACGTCTGAGCCGCAGCTCAACATCATCACCCAGCGCCACACTAACATCAGCACAGAGGAGAGCGATTTCCCCGATATCGAGCAGGATGACGTGGTTCACCGCAGGGAGAAAACCCAGCAGGCTCAGGAGCAGCGGCCGCTCTCTGGAGCCCCTGACAACTACACCCCCATGCCCATCCCAGAGCCGTGGGCGCTGCCTCCTGATCTCAAAGCCCGCCTCCTGTGCCCCCCATGTCCTCTGACTAAGGAGACCACAGGGAGTAAACAGGTTGAGAAGGAGACACGCCCAAAAACAGATGACATGCTCATCCGGAAACTTGGGGTTTGTTCTGAGCAGAGCACACTGAGAGGCTCGGCGGCCAATCAGATGACACCCTCGGTGCCTTCTTCCTGTAGCGAGGGCGACTTGCAGAAATGGCAGGCTATCCGAGAAGCCAGTCGGCTTAGATATAAGAAGAAGCTTTTAGTGGAGAGGCTCTCTGCTCTGAAGTCATAAAAATGGATTGCTCTATCTGTTCCTGTAGTTTCTACTCACACTGCAGCCTTTTTTTTTTTCATTTTTCTGGCGAGGGATTTTGTTGTTTTCAGTCAGTTTTGGTCTTGAAATGTTTTCTGTCTGATAATGAAGCGGTCTAAAATGCATGTTGACCCAACTTGTATATGATAGCTTTGAAGACTGATGGGAGTTTGATTCAATTATGCTCTTATTTATGAAAACTTCAAGGTGCCTTCAGCATTTGCGAAAAACCAGATTTTCAACACAGACTGCAATCAAAGGAGCAGCAAGACCTTTACATTGGACCTTCATTTGTATTAAATTCAGGACGAGTCTTGTTCCAGAAAAAAATAACAAATGAATAAACATCGTTAACAGGCCAATTTGGCTAATTTTACATCTGCAACACATGAAACGGAGATGCTCTGAAGCTGCTGGTACCATATTCTGAAGTGTGATTATTTTGCACAACACAACACACCTCCTTTATCTGAAAACAAATATGAAGGTTTGTCTTGAGCACTGTTAAACAGACCCATATCCTGCATTTCATCTTCAGTTTTGTTTCCCTTTTAGACCCAGTTCACCTGTGAATGGACAAAATACTCCAATTTAATAAAGAAAATAAGAGACTTCATGACCTTGTGATTTAATCTACCGCAGCACTGGCCATTTGTTGACCTGGCATTATACCTCCACTTACGCGTATCTGACCACAGTACAATGTTGTTTTCCTCCACAGAAGACCTTCACACTGACATGTAAAGCTCAAAAGTTCAGTAGCATACGAGTGTGAAAAGGTTCAAGCCTGAGTAATATCCAAATATAACGTCTTGAACACACTGACAGCACTGAGCAGGGTAATTAGATGTAGTCATGTCTTCTGTGGGCCCATGAAAGCTTAAAGAAATTCCTCACTGCTCTGAAAGACTTGTGGACTCCATAGCTTCTCTAAACACAAAACTGCACCAGAGTGTTTGCGCACAAGTAGTCGCACAAAGCAACCATATAACCTGAGTCAATGCCATCTGGATTTACTTCAAGTCCACATGTAAAGCCATGTTTCCACTGACATCATGTCGGAGTCTCCAGAATGGCTGCATTGTCTGAAGGAAGATACAAGTCTGCACACCTTCCCCTGCTTTATGTCAGGGAAAGGAAAGCTGATACTGCCGACTATATAACATAAAACCCTCTATATGTACACATCTTAAAGGGTAACTCAGGTATTCTTCAACTTTGACCTTGTTTTATTATGATTTCTTAAGGGCTTCTTAAAATACAAAGTTGTGTGTTGTGCCTTGGCCACTGGCTGCATTGGCTGCAAGATAATAGTGCGTCAAAGAGCTTGTTTCTGCCACGTACTGGTAAAGATTGTTCCTGTTAGCGTTCAACAACATTACAAATAAGATTTACACAGAGACAGGCCTTTCTGTTGGACAGTAATTCCGTTTTCTTGAACTAGACACAGCAGAAGACCAGAAACTTCCATATTCTGTAGAGAAAAAAATGACTTTATGTCAATTAAGTATTGTGGCGACACAGAAAGCGTGAAGCTAAACACTGTTCCTGGGCAAAGTTATAACACTCAGGGGCGTGTCCAGGTTTTTCTGACTGGGGTGGACCTATATTGGAGCTCTGACATAGGTAGGGGTGGTCAGATTATAGTTGGGCAAGTACAATAGCATTTACTTATATGATACAGTTTTCATTTTACTTTTTTGTTTTTTAAAGCACAACAGAGTAAAAATGTGTCAATTTTAAGCATGCCAAAAAAAGTCTAAAGTCTTAAGATAGTGAAAAATGCCCAAAATAGTGGATTTAGGAATAAGTCCCCAATCATAGTTTACGATTTGAAAGTAAAACCTGGGGTGGCCAATTTCAGTTTCACTAAGTAGGTAATTATATGTTATTCTGACTCTTAGAATAACAACCTGAGCCTATAAGTAGCTAAAAACAAGCTTTTTTACTGGACGTACTTCAACCGGACACTGTTGTTGGACTACACTGCAGCCTTTGAAGCGGGTCTGCCAGCTGATACATGAAACACTTCAAAAATGTTTGTATCTACAAGCAATTTAGATCCCAAATTAAATGTAAGAAAATACGGGTTGAAACGCGGCAGAATACGTCTTAAACCCCTAAAATCAGCAGAGTCATGTTAGAGCTGGATTTACTTACATTACTATTTGAACTTGGGTTTGAACTCTCTAAGGGTCACTAACTTGCCTCCAGCTCTTGACCAGACACCTCCAGACTCTCTCAAAGCCTCATGAGCCGGAAAGTGACTTTGTTGTGTGTGTGTGTGTTTGTGTGTGTGTGTCTGTGTGTGTGTGGTTCTCTCTGGTTTCCTAGACAGGAGCAAATGCAAGACAGTATCGAAGGGTGAGTTGATACGGGCTCCCAGGAATGTGGCACGTTTACATTCGCTCTGGCCTCTTACAGTCGCACCTCGCTGAAACCCTCCCCTGCTTTTGTGCTGCTGGTCTCACTCTCTAGCTGCTAAATGCTGACACACAACACTGTGTATTGTACGGCGCAGGGCCAAGTTCATGTGGTGGAGGGAGGGAGGGGTTCATTGCTCCACATCACAAAGCTCTATTGACAAAGCAACAAAGTGAAAAGATGCAGACAGTTGCAATACACTGGGTCATCTACCATTATTGTACCGTATCCCAGTGACAGTAATGACTGAGTACTGGCCTTAGCACCTTGTTAGAAATATGACACAGGTGTAAATTTTGACAGGTAAGTGACAACAAACAAGGCATTTTTCTGTCAGTCTGTCAGGTTTTAATAACTTCTGCATGACGGGAAAGGCTGGTTTACATGTTACTAACGGACTGAGCTTTATCACCTAACAGTGGTTTCAACTGTTTGCTGTGTTTGGACACTAACTCTTAAATGTCTAATCCGTTTCATTTCCAGCAACAGGGGTTACAAGGTGGAGTTTATTCTGACTTTTTGGATTTTTAACGTGTTTTTCTCACAGTGGTAAAAGTTGGTGCATGCTTGATGTGGATACAATTTGTCTAAGTTTTATTTTTTTTATCTTGAGTAAAGCTGGAAAGTTAGCAGACTAACCCCCCCCCCTTTCTTTCCACAGGAGTAAATCAACAAGTGATATACTCGCTGACCCTTCAGTCGTCCGGCAGGCTCGTTTCGAGGAGCTGCAAAAGTATCGCGAGCAGATAAAAGAGAGTGAAGATAAATGGCAGGATGTGAGTATTGCGTACAAACACCGCAGATATCAAAGTTGAGTTCCCACATCCAAAGCCAAAAAGTGAGAACATGATCTATAGGATCTCTGCTGCAGGCAGGAGAGCAGGTGTTACGGCGCAGTTTGTGTTTGAGGGGTGAAAACTGAGCTGTTTAGATAGGAGCCAGAGACCGAGGCAGACAGTGATTGGTGCAGCACTGCCCTCTGGCTATTGACTGTCCTCATTTCCTGATCACACTGTTTATGACCAGAAACACGACAATCTGTTAATACTAATAATACATGTCAAACAGAGTGAAGATGTTGCCGAGAAGGATGTAAGACAGAGAGTGTAGAGTAGAGAGAAGATGGCACGTGAACGGGACATGGGGTTTGAAGTTATTCCTGGACAATAATTCAGGTCATGCCCCAGTTTGAAACAAAATTTATCCATAAATAATTGGATTTTTGAACATAAAGTGTAAGAATGATAAAACTCATTGATATAAGTATGGGTGTCTGGAGCAGTTTGTCAAGAGTGTGGTGGGATCGTGGCAAAATCTTGGAGTTTTAAAGCAGCATTTGGGTCACACAGTCCTTGATACACAGGGGAGGTGAGCCAGGAGGAGCCTAAAGCACACAAATAGAACACCTTCAAATGAAGCTCTTTTCCTTTTTTTACTCTTCTTCACAACTTCACTCCCCTCAGCCGTACAAATAGCCATGTAAAAAAGCCAGATTGTCATATAGATTAAAGTAGTAAATCGTTATGAAATATCACATGAGGTAACGTGATTTAACTTTTGCTGCAGGACCTGAGCAAATGGAAGAGCCGGCGCAGGAGTGTCAACTCTGATATCGTGAAGAAGAAGGAGGAGAGGGAGAAGTTTGAGCAGTCCACCGGCAGCAACAGCAACAGAAGGTCCAAGACCTTCAAGGAGATGCAAGAGGAGAGGTAAGAGAAAACACAGCTGGTCAGAATTTTTTCTTGCTCTTTGTGGTGTTTGTTTTTGTTTAATGATCCTGAAACACAGACTGAAAATCATTCCTTTGTTATGCCTCTTAAACCCTCGGAGGGGGATCAGTTCCTAAGGTAAAAAAAAAGAGTCAAGTGTATTTGCTGCAGAGTTATTTGTGAGTGAGGACTTGAGTCAGTGTGAAAGTGTAATCTAATCGTGCCTTACAACCTGCATCCTTTTTTTTTTTTTGCCCTACCTCTCCCCACCCCTCTCTTTTCAACCTGCTCTCCTTTCTGTGATCACTCCCTGTCCTGTCACTTATCCCTTTCATCTCTCTAAATTGTCCTCTTTTCAATGTTTGTCTTTAATTTTCCCGTCACTGTCCACTTTTACTTCTCTATCCCGCCTCTTTTCTCCTCTCCTGTCCGATCCGCAGAGAAAATAAAGGAAACAGCGTTGGCAGCCGTCTCAGATCTCTCTCTTACCTGGACGACGAGGACGTGTTTGAGAAACCTGTCACATCCCCTCGTACTCGAACCCTTCCCGCCCGGAGCTACACTATTGACACTCCTTTATATTCTTCAGAGCCTTCTCTAAAAGAGGAAGAGCCCCCTGCTGCCTTCCCAGCTATAGGCAGGGCTGATTCACCCCCGACCTCACGGGCAATTGACATTGTGGACAGTCCTGCAGGCAGCGACTCCACCACTACAACCATCTACAGTACTTCGGTATCCAGCATCACTCCCAGCGCTGTGCACCGCTCCCCCTCTCCAGCAGCTGCACCTCCACGGAAGAGCGCGGTCACAGAGTTTACCAGCACAGTCAAAACAGAGGACACCACAACTGTTCTACCCTCGTCTCGCTCCACGCCAAAGGTGCCAGAGCCAAGGCGCCCATTGTTGGTCCCACAAACCGCAGTGGAGGCTCCTTCCTCTGGTTCTCTGTACAAACGACAACCACAGATCAGCTCAATGGAACCCAAGCCTCCCGGGGCGTCTCGAGTTTCCGCCTCCCTCCCCAGGAGCTACCAGAGATCGGATAGCGCACGTATAACCTCAGTTGTCACACCGAGGCCCTTTGGGACCCAGTCGTCCCGCATCACCTCGCTTCCCCGCGCACACACAGTGAGTACAGCATATTTTTTAAGGCTAATTACAAACTAGCAGAGCAGGAAAGGGGCGTGAAAATGTAAATGTAGAGGACAGGAGGAGGCTGTTTGTTTGATAATTAAAAAAAAATCTTTAGTTTGTTATTCAGGTACAGTTTCTGTTTTTGGTGCATCAGTTATTCCTCAAGAGTCCGATCTGATTACTGTATAAATAAATAATGCATGGGGTTAGTGTTTTTACAATGCCAAAACAACAGGCAGAGCTGCCTTTCAGCCTCACATTCATTACTGATACAGTACACAGAGTGCCAGTCATCAAAAGTTTGTGAACTCTTCAACCAGCCATGAGCTGATTTCCCTCTATTTTAAGGTTCTTGATTGATACAAATCATTTGTTTTTATATTGAAATCTCCGCATGATTTAAATTCAGTAACATTTTCCCATGCCCTTCACTCAAATTCTGCACACCTTCACTTTTTACTTTCATCTTCTTCAGATGGATGAACCCCAAAAGCGTGTTAATGGGGACGTCGATGTTTCCAAAAAGTCATCAGTACCAAGCCGCTATCACCAATTCATGACCTCTGAGGACGAGAATCAGTCCCAGTCCAGCTCGGCCCACAGCAGTGAAGACGAAGAGGAGGAGGAAGAGGAAATGAAGTCAGCACCCAAGAGCATCACCTCTATTCAGAGTGTCTCACCTGACCCTCCTCGGGTCAAAAGTGTCTCACCTGTCGCTCCTCCGGTCAGAAGTGTTTCACCTGTCGCTCCTCCATTCAAGAGTGAGGCTCCTGTCAGTCCTGCTGCAGCCAAAGAATCCAGTCAGGTACTCGAGTTCGCCTTTGTTGACAAAACAGATCAGCTTGAACACTGAAGCAATTCAAAAATGATTCATAGTTTGGCATGAATGTTGTCTGAATCAGTTGAATTGAAAACTGCAACAAGTTGGCATATTGTGAGCTGTTACAAAGGATTAATCCAAGACTTTTCTGAAACATCACACATTTCTGCAACTAAAGTTTGCAAGTGGCCCGCTCTCATTGTTCCCCTCGCACTTGTCCTGTTGTGTTGTTTCCAGGAGAACTACTGTGAGATGCGGATTAGCCTGAACCAGAAGCCAAACAGCAGCAGAGACTTTGGCTTCCAGACAGCCTGGGACTCCACAGGAGCGCGCGTCACGTCCGTTCAGCCAGGTAACAAGAAAAACCTTCAAACAAAAAGGGATTTGAATTGTTTGGGTAGAGCTTTTACTCACTCTCCAGAACAATCTTTGCTGGTCACTTTGAGCTGAAACATCCCCCAACTGTTCAACCCAGTGGAAAAAAAGATCAGTCAGGCTTTGGTTGTATCTCCCTTTCTGTGAAGGTGACTGATTTAATTCATAGGAAATATCAGAGGCAGCGCTCAGGCTGTGATATATTTTCAGCCGGGCTCTGCTGGTGAGTCGTCAGCAGCTTTTGGGTCCATTGCAGTGGCAGTGCCAGACCTATGTAGGGCAGCATCTATCTGGGTCACATCTTCTGGGTCTGAGCCTCTCTTTCTGCTCAGGTTTTCCCACCTTCACTGTGACTCATATAAACTCCATAAACACCTCTCACTCCAATATATTAACTCTAGATTTGTCACGCCACTTTTGAGCTAAAGGGGACTTTGCCAAGATTGTGTTTGCTCTAATCATCCTACATATCATATTTTTGAGGTCCACACTGTTTTGTCGTTTTTTTATCTCTAAGAACAAACATGAATCTTCACTCCAGTTTACGTCTTACATCCAGTGCCAAAAAAATTGTTGAGGCTACATTTCTGTTCATGTGATATTATGGTGATATAGAGTTTATGCATGCATTTTCATCTTTGCTCTAATTTGCTCCTCTTCACTGGACCCTGAGTTCTGACAGACCTGGAGTAAACTGCCCTTTAACCATCAAAAAGAGACACATTCATATTTACAAGTATTAGAAAGGATGTGGTTGCAGAGGTGTGCATATTTTTTTCTTATCCCTAGATGTGTAACCGAACAGATGTTTTAGATCAGATCTGCAGATTTTCAACTGCAGATCTTCGGCAACATTTGGAGTAATAATACCAATCAAGAACATAGATAATAAACATGAGACAAAACAAAAAAAGCAAAGAGTATTAAATTTCATATTTTTCATGTTTCATCCTGAGAGTGACTTCATGTTGTTTTGAGATGTGTATTTATGTTTGCTCGCCGTTATTAGGTACGTTCCTGCTGTCTCAGGCCTAGAGCTTTCTCAAACAAATGTCCATCCTGGTTAAATCAGCTGAATCCACCTGTTTTTTACAAGAAAATTAACTCTTGTTGTGATGACTAATCTGTCCGCACATCAGAACTGTTTACATTCTGCGCTGCCAATGATGCATCCTTTTGTCTCCTACAGGCAGCTCTGCTGAGATGTGCCAGCTCCAGGTGGGAGACGAGATCCTGACCGTGAATCAACACCAGGTGGCAGACATGAGCTACAGAAACTGGATGTCCTGCATGGAGGAGGCTCTGCAGGAGGGCAGTCTGGTCATGGATATACGCCGTCATGGCAAGAACAGTGAGTCATCTCAAGGATGTGTGTCTACATGTATGTGTCGGTGTGTGTGCGTGCGTGTGTTTGCATGGGTGTGGAAAATTGAATTGAACCACTTTAAGGGTTGCATTCCTGGACTGACAGCGCTGCTTACGCTGCCTGCGTCGCTAAACAGTTTTGACACTTTAAATTGGTCCGTAAACTGTTGTGAAATCATCCATGAATGATCCCATGACAGCTGAGAAAGGACCTGAAGCTTTTTTTCTCTCATCTTACAAGAGGAGACTGTATTTTGTTGACCTGAGTGGGTTTTCATTTCTCCTTTTTTCTTTTGTACATACTTTGATTTTGTTTTTTCATTTCTTTTTTGTTTCTGCTGTGTTTTTCTTCATTTACCCGCCTTTGCTGTCTGGTCAGCATTTCTCTCTGGTGTTTTCCTTGTGGAGAACTAACCCAGCTCAGGTCCCTGGCCTTGTGAGTGTGCTGTTTTTACAGTGATAGTATAACAGGCTTATTTATTCCAACCACGTCGGTGTCACCTTACCTCCCCAAAAACAATAAACCAGCCAGAGTAGCTCACTCAAACTAACACACGATACTTTTTGAAGTAGCGTAGTGAAGCCCTGTGTGTTGGTGAGCCTGTTAGAAACACTGTGTGGGTTTTATGAAAGCTTTAATAGGCTGCATGGCTGGGGAAGGTGTTTCTCTGTCACCCCCTGCTGCTCTCTATAACAACACCATAACAGCTACCTTGTCCCTGCTTCATAGTGGTCTTTAGGTAAAAGGAAAACACTCATGTGAAAAGCTGAGTTTCATCAAAGACTGTATATAAGAAGTGGACAAAGCTACCGGCATTGGAAAGTGGATTCTCACACCTGCATCCTGTTTGATGGCCTGCTAGAAAATCACAAAAATAAATCCAGATGATAGATTATAAAAATATGAATGTTTTTCTACTGACTTCACCTATTCGTGCACAACTCTTGCCCTTATTACAATAAAAACTTGAATAAAAAGTATTCATTTTTCAGGAACAGATTTTGCAAACAGACAGAAAGTTGACCCTGCTTTTAATTTGATTTATGTCTTACATTAAAAGTTTTTATCTATTTTTTTCTGAGTTGTTGTTCTCCATGCTTGTTTACAATTCTCCTCTATACAGGATGATGTTTACAATGAAATTGTCACTCACATAGGGTAGGTCTGCCTCGATTAAAAAGTTGTTCCCTCTTCAACAATCTGATCTTCAAATATGACCACAAAAACAAGATGCTTGAACTCGGCCAAACTTGACTCTTCAAATCAGGCGTTTACTGACCTGTGGGTGAAGTCTTTGTCAGGATGACCTCTTCCTCCTTTTTTGGCCCCTATTTGAGAAGACAGGACAGTGGGTAGAGCAGAAAAAGAAAAAGTTGAACCCAGGCCACCTGCATTTGTGGGGTTCAAATTGACTACTAGGCCAGCAGCACTCCACTTCTTAATACAGTCTTAGACAAACACAACAAATACTAGTACACATACATTCACAGAAGAAAATGTTGTTCAGAGTGCCTACATCTATTCTTTACCATTGCATTGACTGCGCGCAGACTGGGACAGAGATCAGCCTTCCCTGCCATTTAAAAGCCATAAGACCATCAATCTGACCAGTTCGGATCATCCAATACTTCTAGGTTCCCCTGACACAAACATTGTCAACCCCAGCCTGGATTTCACCTCTCGCATTTCCCCGGAAAAGCTGTCATCCAAAGAGACCCCCGTCCACTCGGTCATCGTAAGTAACCCCGAATAGCTCAGACCTGATGAAGTTTTTTAATCCTGTATTGTTTCTTCTCGCTAATGAGCCTAAACCCTGCTGTGTGTCCCCGCAGGATGTGGCTTCAAACGGAGTTAATGGAGGTTTTCGCGAGGCATCGGTGACCATGAGGAACAAAGGTAAAGAGCAGAGCACACAGCCAGAAAGGTTATGAAATTGATCCCTGTGACTATTTCTGCACCGAATACAAAACTGCGCAGCCAGTGGGGAACTTGTTGTGGGCTTAGCAGTGGGAAGAAATCTGTGCAGACACTGGATTGTTGTGGGTAATGTTAAAGCATTTTATCCAAAAAACAAAACTTCTCCACAGAAATAAGACAAAAACCGACTAGTTGTGTTTATTCTACTGTTTGTGTCTACTAGTGTGTTCCTTTATTACAGTGAGATGTGGTTTAATAATCATATGATATTTGCTTTTCAAGCCTACCTACAGAAGAAAGACGAAAAAGTTCAATATTAAATCTTAAGGAGTATTTACTGTTTAGTGATTCGTGTATTAATGAGAGTGGTTTGTATCCTGGTGAAACTTGTTTTATCCTCCTGTACTGTGCCTCATTCTTTCCTGTTTTCTATCCCTCATGTAGAGTCAGAACCCATATCTTTGAAAAACTTAAAACGGAGGTCAGAGTTTTTTGAACAAGGTAAAAAAATAAAATAAAACAGAATGACTCTTAGAAATTAGTTGACCTCTGTGTAATCTGGTGGCTGGGTCTTCTGTGCTTTCTGTCCCACTGAACTCCTCAGATTCTTAAAGGGAGTTTTGCATGTTTCTGATCTGTCAAAGCGCTCATGTCCAGTTGATAAGTCAGTCATAATCGATCGATCCTGAGCTGTTAGAGCTGTGATTCTGTCATGGCTCTGTTCTGAGGGGCTGTTCTGTCTTCTGCTGTCTGATGCTGGAGCTTAACTCTTATGCTATGCTCCTCCCTCCCTCCTTCCCTCCTTCAGGTGGTTCAGGGTCCAGTGTCAGTGCGCTGGTCTACCTCTGTGGTAAACAGGGTTGATGTGCAGTGACCTCCTCACCTTTGCTTGGTACAGACCGGGGATGCTGACATGCTTTCCATACCAAGAAAATGTGATGTTTTGAAACAAATCAAAAAATTGATTAATGTTATAGTTGAAAATTCGAAACATGTTCATTTGGCTGTGAAAAAAAAGAGACAAAAATATATAGAAAAAAAAAATCAATAGAAAGAATCGAGAGTCTGGAGAGCATATCAAAATGTTGCCGGTGTACCAACCACAAACCACAAACCTGTGAATCATGTGGTGTTTGTGGTGTTCCTGAATGGTGTGCAGGTTTAACTCAAGGTTACCCTTTTGACTTTGCTGTGCATGAAGTCAAAAGCGCTCGTGTTGCTCTCTTGACGTGCATGTATTGAAGCGTGTGTGAACCTTTCAGATTGGCTGCATCGCATTTGTGTGCATCCCCCTGCATGCTGCTGCTGAAATGTGTGTTTTTCTTACCGTTGGTTTGAGCTTCTTGTCTCACAATCAGTTTATTGATTTTTTTTTTTTCCATTCAGAACTCTCAGACTGGCATCCAAAGTAAATGTCAGACAGTGGGTGCATCTTGAATTGAAAGAATCGATATGTCCTAGTGGGTGAAATTTGACCTTTACTTTAGACTTGTCTAAAACATTAATTACTGTTGAGCCAGTTACACTGAGAGATGGTACGTGACTTTAAAAAGAATGAAGATAACTTTAATAAGCCTGTCAACTTAACATGGTTGACTTCTGTTCTGTTACACTGCTTATCCCTGTGTTGACTAATGACTGTCTGTTTTGAAGGTGGATCAGAGGCTGTGATGCCTGATGTGAGTAGTACTGTTTCAGTTTTTTTTTATGTAGCTTGAGTTTGTTTCTACGGAAACCACAGTTACTATAAAGATCAGACCTTTGATAAACAATCTCAGATACGACCATAGACTGTATATGAAATGGACAGTGTCTGCCTTCTCGCTGGGTGAAGCCACTCCGAGAACAGCACCCTCTTGTGACGGGCTGCAGTATAGGTTATCAATCCCGCCTCCGCCAGCAAAGCTTATGTAGCTGTGGACAAAATTTATAAATTTATTACACAGAAAATCAAATTTTCTCCCCCCTGCTTGTGATGTTGACATGTAGTTACTGTAAGACTGGTTTGTTCTCAAGTCCTCTTTTTTCTGTACGGCTCCCTTTTTGAAAGTTATCAGGGGGTTCAAGTTTTCTATAATTGACACTTGATACAGCCTATGGTACTTGATCGCTCTCCTGGGGGATATGCTGTTTGAGCCGAGGGTCATCACAGCAACTCTTGGCGACTCTCCCACTGAAAGTATACAATGCGTCTACGCAATGTTGGTTTCAGGTAGTGGACAAAAAACGCAGAAATACCAAGAGCTTTTCGGCTTCAAATCCGTATACTGGCAGAAGGCAGAACCAAGTTATCCATAGTATATACAGTCTATGATGATTACAACCAAACTTCAAATGCAGGTCCATTCTGCCCTCTAAGACCTTTGTGGTTTCCTCATTACTCCACAATAATGACTGCAGGGAGTCAAATGTTTGTGTGTTTAGAAAATAAAAGCATCCAAGGGTCAAAGGATCATTTGTGGTCTGTTTTGCACAAATTATTGAGCACTCTGAGATTTAAAAAGATATCCCAGACTCTCCAGAAAAAAATAGACAAGCTGTTTGCAGGGTTTTATCTGTCAGCTTGTGCATTCACACCACACACCCTTATGTGTCCTTCTGTAGATTCCTGTTCCTGCCATCACTCCATCATCCAGATGGTCTTGGGACCCAGAAGAAGAGCGCAGAAGACAGGAGAAATGGCAGAAGGAGCAGGAGCGCCTCCTACAGGTATACACAGGCATGCTTTGAACAGTTAATGAGATTGTCTTAATGAAAATTGATCGAGGCAAAGAAAATTGTTTCAGCAATCGATTCTTCGTCATAATTGTTACAAATTAGTGGCAGGTGAGAGGTCTGGTTTAGAGGCGCTGTAAACGGTGCTCCTTGATATAGAAGAGAGAATGAAGTACACAGCAGCGTGTACAAAACACACATCATAAAAAAAATGGAAAAAAGTCTCAGAAAAAAAAGATTTATTGTGGGCTGTTATATTAGAGTGCTTCAGTTTTAATTTGGTGTACCCAGTGAACTTGAAAAGCAAGTGTTAAATCCAATTATAACACCAAAAACACTAAAAACACAACTGTCACAATCTATTTGATCAGAAATACCAATTTGGAAATCTGTTGCATGCTCTGTCTGACAGCGAGACGAGCCGCTGAGAGCTCGAAATGAAAGGTTAGGGACTCCTCACAGTCAGACTCCCTCTAGGCTCCAAACAGAAACCTTAACAGAGCGCTCAGGCAGCCGAGAGTAAAGCATCTGTCGAGAATCCAACTAAGATGTGGTCGATTCCTGTCAAAACTGTTTTCTGAGGGTCTATTTCTGGATGGAGATCAAAGGTGTCCAAGTAAAGTGCTGATAGAGACGGGCAAGGCTCGTTACTCCTCCAGTGTTTCTCCCTGTTGAATACGCGGCCTGATTTTATGATGTGCTGCAGAGACTTCCAGCCCAGGGCGAGCTTCTCTTGGTTTATCAGCTTTCACCGTGGTTAGATAACATGTAGCTTTGAAAAACCTGAAATAATACAGCTGTGGTGTCTGTTTAGTTTCTACTCTGCTTGTTTGTACATCATGGATGAAAGAGTGGGGAGGAATTTTGTACATAAATAACATAGGTAGAATGACCTTTGACTCCTCCCCCTGCGTCTCTCAAGCAGGACTTTTTAGTTTCCCCAATTTTTTGCACAGTTTGGTAGCAAAAATTATCCTGTTCAAAGATTTTAAGCTTTATTTTTCAAAATTTCTTTTTGAACGTGAATCTTCACTCTGCATTTTTAGCAAAGTATGATCACCCAACGCACCCTCTTCAAAGACATGAGCTCTTTTCAGTCTTCATGTGTGTGACTGTGCACGTATCTCATCACCTGGGGTAACCTTTGCCTTCCTCCCTGCTTCTATTTTTACAGGAGAAATATAAACGCGACCAGGAGAAACTGCAGGAGGAGTGGGAAAGAGCCCAGGAGGAGATTTCAAAGAGCAGAGGACAGCTCCAGGTAATAAAAGCAGATAGTAGCTGCAGAGATTACTGCCTAATGTCTGGGGCAGTATGAGAGTTCTCACAGGCAGTGATAAGTTCAGGCTCGAGGCAATAAATGGTCTAAAATTCACTCATGATTGCTGTAATCACAGCATGCAGGAAAGTGTTGGTATTTCTGGCCTTGAAAGGCATTTTTTGGCTCAAGAGGTAGTGAAAGAGAGAACAAAGCAATAGTTGTCATGTGGCTATCCTCACAGACAGTTTTGTGGTTTTGCAATAAAAAAAAAACTTCTGTAATCTCAGGGAATGTCAGAAGTTGCTCCATGTTTGTTGCACTTCCTCCTGTAGATGAAAAAAGGTCAGACTGCTGTCATGTGTCCATGTGTCCAACTCTTCCTCTTTTTCTGGCCTTTCTTTCCCTCAGCAGCCGGAGGTGAACAGCCGCAGCCTCAGCCCACACCCTCCAGCCAGCCATGCGATCTCTCCTCCGTGGGAAGAGGAAGAGAGAAAGAGGAAGGAGGAACAGGAGCGCCAGAGGCAGGCAGAGGAGAGGAGGAAGAGGGAAGAGGAGGAGCTGGAGCTACAGCGCCTGCAGGAAGAGAGGATGAGGAGAGAGAGAGAGGCAGAGGAGGAGAGGAAGAGGAGAGAGGAGGAGCTGAGAGAGCAGAGGAGAAGAGAGGAGGAGAGGGAGGAGGAGCGGAGGCGGCAGGAAGCTTTGGAACAGCAGCGCAGAGAGAGGGAGAGGGAGAGAGAGAGGGCCTTAGAGCTGCAGCAGCAGCAGCAGCAGCAGCAATGGTCAGTGGAAATGCTGCTCCTACTCTCACCTCACTTCACCCACATGACTCTTCATCCGTCTTTCATGATGAAAATAACACATTCAAGTTTCACTTAGAACCTGCTTTACTGTGTGCGCATGAACATAAGTGCAGCTAACATCTTTATGTGCTTTTTGTCTTAACCCTCGTCCCATTTCTCTCTAACCATCTTCACTGAAGGGCTGCTGGCTCCCATGACTTTGTCCGTCCTGCACTGTCCTTTGCAGACAGGTCAGTACAGGAGGTCAGACTGCCTCGAAACTCACACTTGAGTTATAATGCTTCTCCTCCCCTCTGCAGAGAACTAATATAAATGCAGTTTTTGCACTTATCCAACCTCTTCTGACTTCACATGTTTAAACCCAACATATATCCAATTTTTGCCGTACTGTGATTAGTCACAGGATTTTTTTTTTCAACGTCCTCTGCTTCGGCACTAACAAGCACTGCACTACATTAATAAACAATACATGGTTTATATCATATTATAGTGCAATTTTTGCTAATTTAAGGGCAAATGCACCAAGGGAGTTTCATTTGAAGAAACCAGCTTGAATTTCAGAAATACGTGGTGAAAATCCATCGTATGCTCACTCACAAAAGTTTAGTGAAAAAAATGCAAAAAATGGCACAATTGCACTAACAGCTGAAAACAAATTGTATAAACAAGGCTCAGCCAAACAAAGAAAAACTTCGAGGAAAGAGGTTGAACAAATAAATAATGCAGATCTCATCATCCCAAGCTGAAGTGCTAAATTTATGACCTGCTTCTCCAAAACAAATTCTTTATGGTATTTTCTTATACTAGTTTCTTAATTGCTCATAAGCCTTTGTTTTTGGTCATATGTTGTGTTCAAACTGTAATGCAGTTGGCTCTTTGATAATGTCAGATGCCTGTATGCTTTAATGCTCTACTGCCCAGATGTAAACAAGCACAGATGATAGATGGCATCTTGGAGTGGAGCGCAGTTTTGTAGTATTTCGATTTAAAAGTTTAGATAAATTTGTTTCTGGTCAAACTAACAAAGAACCACAAGACTGGAGTAATGTGTAGCGAGCAAAAGTGGACGTTAACTTACAAGGATGACTGAAGGCTGGTGGCCTTTGCACTGCTTATGTTGTCCACACCCAAGATTTGACTCTGTGATCCAACTTTTAGCTTTGTGCTTAAATTTGACTGTTTTCCAACCATTTGACCTGTGTGTTGGTCAGACTTTCAACTTGCATTCAAACAATTAGAAAATGAATCTCTTCAGAGCATCAGAAGTTGTAGTTCTTGAAATTTGAAGCAGAAGTCTGATTAAATTAGTTTTTACTGAATGCTCATTGTAAACCAAAACAAAACTTTATCTACTTCCAGCTTTGTTCTCATAATATAACCTTACTTTGACTTTATTCTTGTTCTAATGTGATTTTACTACAACTCTATTTTGAGAAGGAAATGACTGAAACAGACTTTGTCTAAATCTAATATAATTATCCACCATCTTTGATTTCATTGTTCAATTCTTTGTGCCAGGAGATATCTAGACAGCACTTTTTTAAAAATTAAAAACGTCCAATAAAAGTGACTTCCAAATATGAAACCTGCCAAATACAAACACCATGTTATAACAGACCAGGGCCCACGTACTGTACCTGTGCCTCCAGCGTTACACTCATTTGTCTTCATGTTTGTCTTTGACGCAGTGTTGTTGTTTTTTTTTTCAACACATTTCCGAGCACAAACCAAAACTGGCACATCTGAAGTGTACAGCTGATGTGTCCAACTATCCACTGCATTGTTTCCTGCTGGTTCCATTTGGACCAAATCATTCAAACATTATGTCTGTATATTAAAAGTGGAAGTCCTGCAGCTAGTGAGATTGGCCTCCAGCAGAGACGCGAATTACGATGTGATTTTTCTACAATCAGCCGAGCAGTTTTGCACACCGTTTGATGGTGATAACAGATAATAAAAAAAGCTGCACTCTGCAGCCATTAAAGGGCCACTTTAGCATGATTACTTTAATTATTCAGGGTTATTTTGACAAGAATTTGTTATGTTTTGCAGGGCAAAATCAAAATCGTCTTCCCAGCTTGATGAGGAGGAGAGACTCCAGAGAAGAGGTCAGATTTCTTATTTTATCTTTGTATTTCTCATAAACTTTACCTCAAAGAAACAGGTGATGGATTGGAAGACTGCCTGGAAATATAAAAGCAACACAAATCCAGATTTTATAATATTGGTGTGTGTTTCATAACTGACTTCACGTTGGATCATTGCTGCACACATGTGGGCTGTGCTCTGCTGTAGGTGTTCATGCGCCACTGGGGGGCATGGCTCAACGGCTGCTGGAGGAGCAGTTCAGGAGCTTGCAGGACGTACAGGCCCAGATTGATCAGGCTACTTCAGAGCTGGAACTGGAGAGGAGATACATCCTCAATGCCATGAGATACAGAGAGCCTGAGAGAGGTTGGCGCGGCCCCTGAAATCTAAAATCTCCGCCTCTCAGTTCAATCTGAAACCAAATCGATCCCCTTTTGGTAGATTTACAGACGAATAATTGATCGGCAAATCAATCAGTCAGCCAACAAGAAAATGAGAATCAGAAAAAAATGATGAATTCATTGATTACAGAGCAAATTTAAACAGGTTGATACAGTTTTCTCTTGTGATTATATCCTACCATGAATTATGATGAAATGCAACTGAAACAAATATATCACAAATTCATTTTCTCTACTCAACATTATCTTTTTGAAAGCTTTAATTTTATTTGCTGTCTTGTGGACCCGAAAACAGCAAATAAAACAAAAATTCCAATAAAAATCATGTTTATACATTTCTCAACATCCACAATATCCACATTTTTGTCCAATTTTTTAGACTCTCTGCCAGAGGAGATCTACCTCTGACTTGACAGAGACATCCCGTCATTTCAGCTATCATAATGTCTTTTATCTGTCCTCCCTGGGTGCAGTGACAGGAAGTGGAGCACTAGACAGGAAGGGTCAGCAGCCCTCATCGCAGGCTGAGGCAGAGCGGCAGCAGATCCTGAACGAGATGAAGAAGAAGACTCCACTGCTGACTGACGGCAGCTGGATTCGCCAGCGTGCCTCTGAGCCCCCTGCCAATAGAGACCCCGATATGCCGCCTATGCGCAGGTAGAGTAAAACATTCTGTTGTGTGATGGTGGTGGTTGGATTTTTACACCCACTAATCTTCGCTAAATTGAAAACATTTAGACGTCTGGCTACCTCTCTGATTCTGCCTTGGTGGATTTGTTCAAAGTTTTACTAAAATTTGAACAATAATAAAAAAAACCCTCAGAGTTAAGTGGTAGCCAGACAGCCTCTACTAACGGGCTAACGTGGGTGTGGCGTGGGTTGGCTTTGCAGGGGCGAGTCGCTTGACAACTTGGACTCCTCCTATAACTCCTGGCGATCATCGTGGACTCCAAGAAGCAGCTCATCCATCCCAAACTACACCCGCCCCAACTCCGCCCTCTCTGGAAGCACTAACTTTAATCAGGGCTGGTCAGGGGCCCAGAGGCCCCTCTCCTCCACTTTGCCCTCCTCCTACTCCATGGGCTCACTGCGAGGTGGGGCAGGAACCCCCTCAGCCCCTTGGTCCCGACAGTCCAACTCCCCCTATCTATCCTCTCCATCACCCACCACTTCTCCAGAGCCCACATCCGAGGGTGGCGCCCTTCAGCAGAAGAGCAGGTAATGTCAACACTGCTGCTTTGCCTAATCCCCCCTAACCAGCTGCCTCTAACCTCTCCATGGTATACTGGGTTTCATAGTCGTGTTTAAGGTGGGGTTAAAACCATAGTTTTGGATGGGGACTGGTGGTAGATTAAGATTAAGTTATAGTCCTCTGTTAAACGTACTGTCCTTTCCTGATGAATATGGCATTATTTTCACATCTGTTCATCCTTTATTCACACTCAGCAGGTACCTGTTAATGTAAACAGTATTATTCAACCATTTCTACTCATATTTTCTCTGTTTATTTTCACATATAGTAAAGTATTGTTGAGTCTGTTTGTGTGTCGGGAGGCTTGACTGTATTTAAAGATTTGTTCAAGTTTTTTCAACCAAATTTTTCTTGGTGTGAAGGTCGGTGGTAGGCTGGAAGGCAGGAGATATGAACTGTGATCCCAGTTTATGATCAACTTACAATAAATAGACAAGATGGGGGGAAAGCAATCAAATCATAGAGAAGTACAATCTCAAATAAATGAAATTAAAATGATAAATCAAAAGATGATCATAATGCTTTATAGCAATAATCATAAAACATTGTAAAGCATTTTATCATGACTTACAAGGTCAGGTATTATAATGTGTTATAATTCTTAACAACAGTTGCATTGCATTATCTATGTGGGCATTGTCAGTGAGATGTTAACAGTTATAACACATGATATCTGTAAGTCATGATAAAATGTTTTATAATGTGTTATGATTATTGCTACATAACATTATGATAATTTATGAGTGTTTATAACTCTAATTATACAGTGCTATAATGTAATTATAAGGCATTATAAATATACTTATAATGTGTTATAGAGATAGGCGTCAAGTAAAGTGCTACCGAAATGGGACATACAAGAAATGAAGTTCATAAAGGTGAAAGCATGTAAAACAAGTCTGAGTTATGAGAGTTTAATATGTATAATGCAGCATTATATGACACTATAAAGTAGGATACATTCAAAATAGAATAAAAATTCATATTATTATTTCAGTATCTATTTATCATTAGTTAGTGCTTTCTCATACTTTTCAATTAAGGCTAGACAAACAGCTGATACTGTCCAGGTGTTAAACCATGTTGTATACCTGTGGGATATTAGTTCTGTGTGTGTCTGTGTTTCTGCGTGTGTCTGTGTGTGTGTGTGTGCTTACACACATGTCTCATGCATGTGTGCCTGACTCTAAAATCACAGCTGTGCGTTCTGTAATCCAGGTCAGTGAGTGGAAAGAAAATCTGTACGTTCTGTGACACCCCGCTGGGAAAGGGAGCAGCCATGATCATCGAGTCCCTCGGGCTCTGTTATCATTTGGGGTGTTTTAAGGTGAGAGCTGGGCTCCCGACAGGCCCTCCCCCCCAAGGAGCACTTCGTCAACACTCTGCAAGCGATCCTTAAAAGCTAACCTGATCACTTCCACCTTATTTCTATCTCTACTAACCTGGTCAATCTGGAGGTCATGAACGACCTGTTCAAAGAAGATTTCCTGCACGTCAAACTTCTCATCCTCTCACTTTGTTTCTCTCTATGAACACAAGTCTGGTGGCTGATCCTGGAGCTTTGGTTTTCACTGCACTTTCAGTCCATGCATCCTGCTAATTTGTCTTTCTTTCTTCACTTCTCCCTTTCAGTTTTGTTCAAGGACTTTCTGTCTTTCCCCAGCCCTTTCGTCTTTGGACTTGGATATTCAAGTCGAGCCATGTTTTTCTGAAACTCCTCTCTTTTCTCCTCAGTGCATCGACTGTAAGTCAGATCTCGGGGGATCGGAGGCTGGGGCTGAAGTCAGAATACGAAACAAACAGCTCTACTGTAACTCCTGCTACATGCGATTCAAAAGTGAGTGTGAAATCAATCCCATCAAAGGGATGAAGCGTCTGTTCCCCTTTTTCTTCAAGCGTAATGTTTGTTTTCTTTCAGGTGGCCAGCCCACCGCCATGTGAGATGACCATGCTGCAGCAGATCGATGAGGAAACTACTTGTGACAACAACCCATGAACTTTAAAGCTGAACATTGAAGCCATTGTAAAACAGTTGGGACTCTTTGGTTTGGACCTACTTCCATTTAAAATTTGCAGATGAGAATTATATTTGTGCTTATTCAGTGTGTGATTGAGAGGGTGAGCTTGCAAAGACGTTATTTACTTACCGTATATCAAATTAAGTATTACTGTTGTACAAAGTGTAAGCGTCCTGCATGCACCAGAGATTTAATGTTTTAGCCACAAAAATAGTAACACATTAAATTGTCTTCAGGATTTCTGAGGCAGATATTAGCATATTGAGAGAGAGTTTTCTGGAGGGTCATCTCTTCCTATTCATGATTCTTTTTCGCTCCGTCTTGTGGAATTTACACGTTTGTGCACCGAGGTCTTCTTATCATGGTCATGTGCCTTTGTTGTTTGTAACAGGGAGAAGTTATTGAGCTTATTAGAGCTTTCTAAATATATATTTAAAACTGTCTGCTTGGATAGCACTTGTCTTAAGGTTTCAGGAGAACTGTACACATGAGCAGGTTTCTGAGTGAAGAATATATCATCCTGAATGGCATTGAACTTTAAACATTTGTAAATAAAACAACTAAACGCTCAACTCAGGTGTTTTTGTTTTGTTCTTTTTTTTTCCCCCTAAATGAAATCGAATAATTCTTTGTAATGATATGCCAGCATGTGATGTGAGGCTTTTCCTGCCTCTGTAATCAGAAATCATTATACTCCTCTTCTCAGTCTGTCCCCTCCGTTCTGTTTCTCTGTAGTGCCACAGTCGTAATGAAAGGAATTTCAATGAGCTTTTGTGCCAAGGGTTCAGAGGACCTGCCTGCTCTGTGTTCTCCAAAGCCAATTTGTCATGCATATTTCATCCGGCGTGCATGCATTACATTTGATTACACTTTGATAAGCTATTTTCTTGATGCATTCTGTCGTTTTTAGCTGTTTCATGGTATCATATCTGCATAAACGTAGACTGAATATTCATACAAGTAGAGGGGCTCCTGATCACTCAATTCAAGCTCCAAAATGCATTTTTAGACAACAGCCTGATTTCTTATAACAAATAGAAATGAGCTGAAGCGACATATGGAAAAAGGTTGGATGGAGCAGATATTGGCTCAGTATTCTTGAGGTGAAGCACAAACATTCCCTGAAGGCAGGCTTCTCAAATTCTTGGATTCCTTTTTTAGATTTTTCTTGGCGCTCTAGTGGGAGGAAGAGATTTTAATCCTCACGCTTAGAAAACAAGCAGGGCCTGAATGGCGCCGCGCAGAGTGGAGTGGCTGAGAAATTCAAAACCTTTCAGGATAAGTATGCCATCCTTTTCTCTCCAAAGCCAAGGCCACAACCAGACTCTGACGTACAGAATCAAATGGCTTGTGTGTCTGTGTGTGTATATGTGTGTGCTGGGGCTTACAGAGAGACAGTGTGCTTGGCTGCCCTGAAGAAATAGAGTCTGTAAAGATCTGGGTGAAAGATGGAGGAGCTTATACATACTTGTTCTCCCAACCTCAAAAAGTCATTCCTATCTTTAAGCTTTTTTTTTCAATGCTATCCTTCTGAGATGGAAGCCTTATTATTTTCAAGAACGGTTTTTCACCTCATGATCAACAATCAGAAGAAAGAAAGCCACATAGCCGTGCATCATTAGTAAACTACAGTCAAGTGTTGAGTTCTTTTGGTCTTTGCTGAAACCAAAAGGGGGCACTGTGATCTAAGACTTATGCAAAGAAAGAGTGCAGCTGGATCAGACTGTGTTTAAACGAACCATTAAGCATGTTATTGTACAATACTGAGGAAATATGGAGCATTGGACACGACATTTATAACAAAAAAAACATTCCATTTACATTTACCTTACAAAATTGACAATAAGATCAAAAACACAATACAACAATGAAGACCAAACACTGGGAAATAATCTGTCTAGCCTTGCATTTATCTCTAAAACGGGAGCAGAAAAACAACACAGTAATATAATGCTCTAAATTATTCCTTGTTTACTGTTGACGTACTCTTTGCATCTTTGGTTTAACATTTTCTGTTACTTTCTGCCTCAACTCCATCTTTGCCTCTTCTGAAGCCAATAGTGACTCAAGTTAGGTTGAGTCATTGTTCTTTTAATGATAACCGCTATTATTGGACTTCGGAAGAGTGCCTCAGGAACCAAAGGGTGACATCACTGAGAATACACCCATGTTTTTACACAGCCTGATTTTAGTACTCGGTGGCAACAGAAATCAACCCTCTGATGACTGTGGAGTAGGATAATGGATATGCAGAAAAAGGATGCTTCAATAATCCCCTCTCAGGAGTTGTTTTCGGGGATATTTTTAGTGAAGCAACACAGAAAATAATGCAACATGAGCTATGTTTTTTAGTATTCATCTAACTACCTTTTTTAGTACAGAAAGTTCTAAGCAAACCAAGTGTGAAAACACAATACCCTGGAATAAATGGTCAAAAAAAAAAAAAGATAATGTAGTTCGTAATTTTGTTTAAACTGACTGCAAACTTTGGCTTGAGTAGCATTGATGTCATAGCAGAACAATCTGTGCTTTTCAATCCAGTTCACGCTGTGAGGAGAAGAGTAGAATATAGAACAGAATAGAATAGAGCAGAACATAATAGAGCAGAACATAGTAAAGTAGACTATAATACAGAATAAAAAAGAAAAGATGAGAGTAGAGTAAAGTAGAGTATAACATAGAACGGAAGAGAATAGAGCAGAATAGAGTAGAGTAGAATATAAAACAGAATAGAATAGAACGGAGTAGAGTGGAGTGGGGTAGAGTAGAGAATGTGTTAGAGTAGAATAGAATATATATCAGAACAGAATATAATAGAATAGAGCAGAGTAGAGTAGAATTTAGAACAGAACAAAATAGAGTAGAACAGAATAGAATAGAAAAGATTATATCTCACTTACAAAAACCACATTTGAAGTATTCCTGACCCTCTTTTTGACTCGGTTTACTCGAGGAGTCTCCATAGCAGCACCTTTTGCCTTTTTGACATTTGAAAGGTAAGCTTTTCACACTGAAGGGAAGCCATCAGGCTCTAATTCACCTGCAGCTTGAACTGATGCTATAATTAGTCATGTAATTGCACACTTGTCTCACCAGACCTGTTGCCATGGCTTACAGGAACCGTGTATATGACTTGAAGTGCTGTCAGGTAAAATTAACTGCTGCGATTACAGGAGATGAATTCTAAGTTGACTAGGAAATTCCCAGGAGACTGATACTGTGAGACTACTCTCCAATCACAGAGTCAATTCCTACAACACTTTTATTCAACCTGGAAGAGAGGTGGCAGCAAAAATATGAGCATAAGTCAGTGAAATATAAGCCTTCAACATACCATGAATGAGGTACAAATTGCACCTTTATAGTGTTCCTGTATGCTGTGATTACTTAGGCAGTTACAGCCCTGTCTGCAACATGACGAGTGCATCAGATTTATGTAATTACAGTGTATATGTGCAGCTACTGGAAACAATTTTGAAATGGTAATAAGTAAAGATAAATATGGCCTTGATGTAAATTACAGTGAATGCATAATATCTTGCAGTGCCATAGCGGTTCCTCAGAAGTGTATAGATTTTTCACTCAGCAGTATGTAATCCATAAATCTACATTATGCACTTGCACAGTTCATTGATTTATTTAATTTATATTCTTAGAGCAGTCTTGAAACTAAAAGGTTTCCAATTTTTTTTTAAAGTGCTATCTTTCAGATGTCCTGCACAGGTACTTCTTTTTGTTGTGGATTTACTGTATCAGCGACATTATTTTGATGTTTCTATTTGGGAATACTGACAGATTATATGAGGCAGAAGGTCCCCTGAGCCTGCACCGCCCACGTAGGAGCGAAAGAGACAACCTTTTCGATGTTTTTGTGCCTCTTTTTCTTCCTCTTTTTTCTGTGTCTGTCTACTGTGTCTCTGTTGAAATTTTGTCTCCCTTTATGGCTGTGTCTCTTTTTGTTATCTTATGTCTCTCTCTTGACTCATTTTTCCTAAGTTTTGGTGTTTGTACTCTCTGTTTTCTTCCTTTATTCCTTTCTTTTACGATTTTTGTCTGTTTATGTGTCTTTGTTGCTCTTTTTAATCATGCTCTCTCTATTTTTTGTTTACTCTTTCATATGTCATTATCGTGATTTTAGCTTTTGCTTTAGGATAATTTTGCGTCGCTCTTTGTTGTTTTTCAATTGACTGATTATTTCAAGTTATTTCATGACAACGGTTGGTTTGTCCAATGCCTTTTTGAGGTCTTTTTGTCTTTTTTATCCTCTTTTACTAGTCTTCTATCTTCTTTTTCTTGTTTTTCGATGTTTCTGTTCATTTTTGTCCTTTTGTGGTCATTTTGTATCTTATACTGGTCATTTGGTGGCAGGGGTTAAAGTATAATAAGATTCTTGCAGGTACTGCACCTATAGTCTTTGTACATGAGGAGCACACCCAAGTTTAACAAGTGCACCTCAACAAATAAGAATAAATATATTCTCATTTATCAAGATGGGATACTTGAATAAATTGTACAACAGAAGCCTGCAGATGATTATGAATTTGATTTATTAGCTGGAAAATACCATAGGGACATAGTTTGAAGCCACATACAGTTCTTTAAATAATTTGAGAACAGTAAATCACATTTATAGTCATCTGCAAGCTTCTGTAGCACACTTTATTCAAGTATGTCATAAATAGAATATATTCATTTTGATTTATTGAGATACACCTGTACATAGATACAAATGAAAAGATTCATATTGAACCTATTGTTGTGCTGATACAATAACATTATCAGCCATTTGTCAGTAGATGTAATCCACTCCTGGTAGCTTTGCTGCTTCCCCCTCTGCTCCTTAACTTGCTCTGATGCCACAGTATCACCATCTGCTGCATCTCTCTTTCTCTTGAACATAAAATCATTTTTTCTCTGCATTTTGTTTTATATCTGCATTAAGATTTAAGCAGCTGTCTCTTTAAAATTTCCCTCCTTCCGCAAAAGGCAGGAGGCGATCCCAAATTCCGAGGCAACCAGCGTCCAATCAAAAGTGCGCATTTAGCGCTTCCAATTCCGGGGTTTGTTTGTTTGCGGAAGTAAATACGACTCACTCCCGAGCAGCATGGATTACTACGGTTACAATGCAGAGAGCAGACTGACGTGCGGCAACACGGTAAGCAAATGTATCTTATGTATTGCAGGGGTGAGAGTTTGCGTACCGCTGCGTACCGGCTGTAAACTGCTGTTCATGTCTCCCTGGTATGGTGTACCGCTGTGTACGGACTTACTTTCACCCCTGCTTGATGGTCCTTTTAAGGTTGTTGATTCCCCGGTGCCTCTTTTAACTTGAAGCCTCTTAGAAAATTTTACTCTAAAGTGCAGTTTGTCTGTTCATACTTATATTTTCTTTGGCTTAAAGAAACAAAGTCAAAGTGCTCAAAACTGCAGTTCCTCGAGTGTCCACTTAAGGCTGGCTTCAAAAGCCCTAGGGGCCACATGCACACCTACACTGTAGTGTACAGCCCAGACCGGGGGTTCTCAACCTTTAGTGAGCTTTTGTGTGACATTTTATGTTTTTTGAGGTCACGTTTCCTCCTT